TAGTCGTAAGGGATGCCCACTCTAGTGATACTGCCAGCTGTAACGATAGCAGCACTGATTCTTCCAAAACACTGAAAACTATCAGTTCCACAGGTGGTGGATACAGGAAGATTTCCTCCCAAAGCTTGGATCGTGATAACAGTTCTATGGAAGTAATGGGAGAACATTCTTCTCAGTGTCTGGTACAGAGCAATTCTTCAGGCCAAACCAGTACGGCTTCATAACCAAATTAAAGTTGTTCCGTCAGGACAGTTTGTTAGTTGTCACTTAAGACTGAAAGTTTTTACTGCCCATAATTAAAAGTTGCATTTTCATGGGGGTCGGGGGGAGGGTTCCCTGCTTTTACACTCCTATGGTGTTTCACCATTTTGTACATCTTACCTTGTCGGTCTTTTTTAAAATATAATTTACAGCTCTGCAAACTTCAGGTTATTTTAGTAATGGATCCTGGTATAGTTCTGGAGACCACATCCACAAGTTTACTCAGTCTCTTATTTTATTTATTTGTTTATAAAATGTATAAATTGCCAGGGCAGTGTACAGCAACAACCCTGTTTATTAACAAATTTATATTTTCAGATTTCCTCACCAATTATGTTTCTCTACTAAACACAAAAGTCAAATTTTATCCAGAGCATTGGTCTTCAGGGGGTTTTGTCATTAGAATTTACTCAGGAGACATCTCAGTGGCATGAACACACTGAAAACTATGTTACTGGTGGTATTTATGATTCTAGAAGCGGAAATCAAAACTGGCTCATATTTATTGCTGTGCCATATAACACACTCCTCCTGCTACAGTTTCTGTATTGTTATACTAATGTATTTGTATTTTACCAGTGCCTGGAAATTCCTATGCACTTGAACAAGTGATTATTTAAATCCACTTACAGAACTAGTCACTAATTAGAATCATGATAAGAGTAACTGCATCTAACCTTAATGTATCTCAACGGAAGTCTTCCTTCAAAATGTTTAAGAGTATGCATGTATCGAAGATAAACAATTCTAAGCTATAATAAAAAGTAGATATGTTTAATTCATAACAGCTATGAAGACTGATTGCTGGGTATTCTAAAGTGATATCACATACCCTAGGAGGTGAGGGGCAGAGTTAATATTTGGGAACTGGAGATCTCAAACATGATGTTTTGCTGCCTTGCAATGCTGTTTAGACCTTACAGGTGAGTGGGTTGGTGGATGTTTCAAGAAAGAAGAATGGGAAAGGGGCATATAGAACATATTAAAAACCCTAATCCATTTTTATAAAATCCTGGTTAAAATAAGATGTTAAAATAATAATGGAGAAACTGTTAAAATCACCTGACAGCTAATATTGCCATTATACATTTTCATTGCACTGCTAGCTATTATCTTACATATACCAAAATATTTTTTAATAAACTGATTCAACTTCTCCAAAAAGCAGCAGCTGCTGTCTCTCCTATGCTAGTCAGCTGAACAGCATGTTTTCATTCTGGAATACGGCATGTTCTATTATAATAGTAATTGTCAAAACCATCCTCTGTGGCATTTGCAGGTCTATCAGCAGTTTGAGATGATTTGATTAATTGTTTAATTTATGTACTGCTTAATAGATTAGAATTTTCTCTAAGCGGTGTACAAAAATCTGAAGCAACAACTTAAAATATTACAAAAATACACAATTACATATAAAAATGTTACATAAATACAAAGTTGTGAATATATCTATAAATCAGTATCAATTCATTTTCCTTCTGACGCACCCTTCAGCCTTTGGGTTCTCACCCAGGGTCCAAACAAACTCTCAGCTCAACAACAAAAGTCTCACAATTAGAAGACTTCCTGGAAACAGCAGGCATGTGAAGTTTTAAAGGTTAAAAAAAAAGTGCCTGAAAGGCAGTTCAGTAATTTACCGTATTTTTCGCTCTATTAGACGCACCGGATGATTGGACGCACCTAGTTTTTAGGGGAGGAAAACAAGAAATAAGAAAGGAACGCAAAGCATCCTCAGCTAAGAGGCTTTGCGGTGCTACCCCTGAAGCCAGGAGAGCAAGCAGGATTGGGCACACCGATCCCTCTTGCCCTCCTGGCTTCAGCGAAAGCAAGCCTACTGGCTTTCCTCCCGCAAGAGCCGTGCACTCTTTAAAGGGAGTGCGGCTCTTGGGGACTTTTCTGGGAGGTGGGGGAAGGGACAGAGCCGTGCGCTCTGTCCCTTCCCCCACCTCCCGCAAAAGCCAGGGATAGCCGCACGAAGCCTCCGCAGGGCAGCAGGATGAAGGCTCTCTGTGCCCTGCGGAGGCTTCGCCTGGCTAAGCCAGAAACTAGAACAGTCAGCGGGATCCCGCTCGCTGTCCTGGCTTCCTCTTTAGCCACGCACAGCCTCTCCCGGGCAAGGGGAGCCTTCATCCCCTGCCTGGGAGAGCCTGCACGCGGCTAAGGCTCCCCCAAGAGCTGCACTCCCTTTAAAGAGCGCGCGGAGCGTGTGTGCGGCTCCTGGGGGCTTTTCCCCGAGGAGGCCGCACACACACTCCACGAGGCTCTTTAAAGGGAGCGCTGACAGAGCCTCCTGCCTGCATTCACTCCATAAGACGCACACACATTTCCCCTTACTTTTTAGGAGGGGGAAAGTGCGTCTTATAGAGTGAAAAATACTATCTTCCCTTGCAGTGTTCACCTACAGGGGAGTGTTGAATGCATACTGGGGCGTGCTTTCAGTTCCAGAAGGGTTTTCACAGGTTTAAAACTGGTATGTGGCTGCTAGGGATGTATTAAGGCATCGTTTTCTGTTGTGTCTTGTATTTGTGGCATCCACTGCAGCTTGCCTTGCACCAGAAGCTTTACTCATCTTGTTGTCCACTGCAGCAAAAATATAGAGCCTATGTGATTTCTGGCATAAATTACTTTGTCATTGTTATTCCATCCCATTCATTTTAATGCAAAGCAAACATAATGCAAACAGGGGGGAATATAATCAAATACACGTTGGTTGAAGACTAAAAGCATCAACAGTGACATACCGCTCGGGACATGGGACAAATAAGGAAACATGATGTTGATTTCCCCTTCAGCTTCTGCCAGAATTCTCTGACATCCCTTGTGGCTGCACAGAGACCGCAAAGGAGGACAAGTTTTCTTGGCAGCAGAAAGATTGAAATTCCTTGGGTTACTGTGTCATCTTTGAGACCCTTAAACAATACAGTGGCCTAGTCTCGTATTTTGTAGGCTTAATATCCACTATGTAATGGAAGAAGCGTTTAGTTTCCACCACCCCATTCAGCTCATATATAGCTTGACAACTCCCAGGTACATTCAGCTTCAGGATTAGATACAAAAGCAACTTTTTTGCTTTGTTGTGAGGTATCACGGCAAGCAATGCCAAATAGCATACTTTTAACATTTAAATCTTCAAATCTACTCATTCATTGGGCCCAGCTGATGATCTGCTTCCAATGGGTTGTGTTCCAAAATAACTTAAATGCGCTTGTTCTAAGTGTTCAGAATTTCCCCCAACCCTGTGAAAGCTTTTAAACTTAAATTTACAAACACTACAGTTCATTAACAAAAATACATTCTCCATTTCCAAATATATTCAGCTATACACTCTAGCCATTAAAAGTCTAACATGTACCAGGTCAGACTGAGAGAACCTGCTCTTCACTGTAAAAATAGTGCAATTTCTCTGCCGACAGCTAAGTGTGATAATGGGAGTTTTATACTTCATCATATCCAGCCAACACTGGTCACAAAGCCTGCCATGTACCATATAATCTGCCCCCCGCTTAGATTTCCTAGCAATGCTACATGCTGCATTGGATATTTTTAGCTCACTAAGAACCTACCTGGAGAGTCAATTTACTTGCAAGCAGAGGAAGGCAACACATGTAGCCGTGTGCTCTGCTTTTGTACCTCTTTCTATGTGTGGACTGGCTTCAAGTTGAAAGTTTCATTAATCTGTACTCTCAACACAGGATCAAAACATGACCTGGGAGAAATGAGTGAAATAGCACTGGATGGCAGTTACAGTGTGACATTGGGAGACAATAACTTAGCACATTGTGAAAGAGAATGCCAATATTCTGTGTGCACAGGCAGACACAACACTGACTAATCACTCCTGTCCCAAGCATTTGGCACCTGAGCGGATAATTATTTACATTATCTGGAAACTTCTGTGGAATCTGCCGCGGAGCTCATGAGCAGGTGGTGTTCATTTGGAGATGCTATTAATAGGAACTGGTGCCTCCATCTGAAGACTGTATGCACTTCTGCTGCGATTAGAGTCCTAGGAGCTCAGAAATGCGCCATAGAAATTACCTAAATTGTGACTCCAATATGAAGGTGCCAGTTCAAAACAACAACAGAACCTCCACATGAACATCTGACTACAAAATCAGTGGTGGACCATGTGGTACTCCCGAAGAGTGTCAACTATTTTGTGCAATAACCTCTGGAAGTCTTGACTTTCAGAATGTAGCAATCAAAAGGGTTCTCCCAATAATATAGTACCTGGAAAAAATATGGTTTTCACCTGATTAGTTATTATTTAAATAAACTACCTCCAACCCTCTTGCACACACTATCATACCAAGAAATGCCAAAAGTAATAATGCAACGAAGTGGCAATTGTTTGAACCCTTGATTTTGAAGAGCCACACTCAATATTATTATCTCCAGGTAAATAATCACGGAGCTAGCTGTTCACTTAGAATAGCAAATCTCCAACATTTTACAGGAGCAAATACACATTTAAAGGTTTTGCTCTTTTCTTTTCTTTTGGAGCATTGTGCTGGATTACAGATGCTCTTGCTTTGTCACAGCCTTAATTTGATAGTTTAAATATGGGCTTGAATTTAAAAAGCACATGAAAAGCAAGCCTTTCTATTTGGCAATATGTTTTTGCACAGAGCCACTTTTAATGGGACATAACCAAGTGTCTATAAAAGTCTTGATTTAGATAAGTAGAAGGTGCAAAACATTACATTTTAAAATCATGAAAACATGCCGACACTTTGAAGGGTTGATGAAGAAAAGAAGATCCCCCCATTTTTATTTTTGCTCTAATCGGTTATTTATAACAAATTGTGAAAGGGGATTGTTTGATGAACAGAGAGTCTGCGTAGGCATGGATAACGTGACCTCTTAGTTGAAATTTTGAGGACTACCCATCCTTGGAGACAGACCGTCGGGCGATGCTTAGAAGGCAACTTGTTTTCCAATCCTCAGTATAGCTGTAGATCAGTGGAAAGAGCAGCAAGCAGTTTCCCCAGTGTTCTATACATACAGGTTCTAGGCATTCCTCTCCAAACTATGCTCCAAGTTACAATGTGTTTTGAATTCATTTAGCCTTGATAAATAGATGTGTGTATCATCCGTGAAATAAAGCTTCGGTGGAATAAGGAACAGCCTTTTATCCCACAAAGCGCTGCTGCCTGGTTAGGTTTTCGTTACCACAAGCTATTCCGGCCTTCAAAGAGGAGTGATTTCTTCATTCTCACAGAGAATGCTTGCACGACGCCTGTTTTAAAAAATGCAAAAGAACCACACATGAAGAAATGTGGTTTCTGTGGTTGATGTAGTAACATAGGTGCTAAGACAATGACATCTAATAAAGGTAAAAGGTAAGGGATTCCAGGATGGTTAAGTCCAATCAAAGGTGACTATGGGATGCGATGCTCATCTCGTTTTTCAGGCTAAGGGAGCTGGCATTTGCCCACAGACAGCTTTCCGGGTCATGTGGCCAGCATGACTAAACTGCTTCTGGTACAATGGAACACTGCGACAAGTGCCAGAGCGCACGGAAACGCCGTTTACCTTCCCGCCACAGCGGTAGCTATTTACCTACTTGTACTGGTGTGCTTTCAAACTGTTAGGTTGGCAGAAGCTGGGACAGAGCAACAGGAGCTCACTCCGTCACATGGATTCGAATTGCCGACCTACCAAACGGCAAGTTCAAGAGGCTCAGTGGTTTAGACCACAGCGCCACCTGCATCCCCGGAACCCAGCCTTTTTGAAGTGTTTCGTTTCAGTTATGCATCATCTGAAATTGTTCCTGAGGCATTGGGAACCTGGCAACTATTCTTCCATGCTTTTGTAACTTTCAGGGCGGTTACATGGTCCTGCCCCATTATAGTATTTGAAGTGGCAGCTTGTAGCTAGAGGTGGGGAATGCTTTTGGACTGGTGGGGCCTCTCCCTTACTGCTGCTTTAGAGTGTTGATGGACCCTCCAGAACACTGTAGGAGGTGGCCCTGAGAACTGCAGGGCGAAGGGGCAGTCATCAAAAATCACTTTCCTTTGCACTTCCCTTTGCAGCTTTGCACTGACATTATTAACAATGCAAAAATGCAATAGCAGGGCATTACATCATACCATGTAGAAAGCCTATAGAGCCTCTGCTGAAATGAAGCCAGAAAATGCTGGTAGTCAAGCAATGAAGTATGATTTTCAAAGTAAAAGGCTTTGTTTTCTAGGTCAGTAAATGGGTTCTCTGTATGCAGCATAATACAAAGTGTTTGTTTTTGAAATAGCCTATCTCTTTCATAGTGAGCACTAAGAGAATCTGTTGTAGGTACATACTTACCTTCGTCTTTCAAGGGCATGTTTCGTTTCCTGTCGAGTTTCTTCATTGATTGGATAGAAAATGAGTATAAACAAGCCTAATGGCACGAGAATAGATGGGACTGCTCCAACCAAGACTTTCAGCATGATAACAACACTGTGAGACTGTTTGCACACCCCTGATTTGAAGCCTGCAAGACTATTAAAAAAATAAATACAGATGTTACAGTCGTATCTTCATGCTACTATTTACTCTGTGTGTGTGTAACCTCTCCCACCCACAATGTAGAGCCTTCCCCATAATTTTTTCCCCTGGGGTTTCACTGGCTCCTTGATATCATCTCAGCTTCCTTGGAGATTTTTTTTCTTGCTGATGCCAGATCTGAGTAATGAAGAAGGTAGGGGCTTACGGATGAAACAGAGTCATGTTTTTACCTTTCGCTGTGGTCAAGACTGAAGCAATGAGCCAATTATTACCTACATTCTGTAGCCGAAATCTTTGGCAAACCAGTTTCACATTGTGGAATTAATTTATTTCACCCTGTACAAGGACATGTATTTATTAACCTTTGTATCCTATGAAACTTTTTTGACATTTTTAAGCAAGCAGAATGCAGTAGAATTCATTATCTGCTAGAAATTCTGTGAACTATAAGTTCCCTGTCTGCAGACACTAAACAGGAGTAGAGCATGTTCACTGCATTGAGGCAAGACTTAATTTTAAATTGTCTTGCACTAAAAAATGCATGTGGAGTCTTTGCTACTCACTCAAACACTAGCTGGATTTTGTGACTTTTTAACTGATGCACTTCCTATTTCACATCAAAATGCACATTCAGGCAGTTCAATGGAGCTCTGATGAAATTTGCAATATAAATGCACAGGGGTCCACAAACTTCAGATGGCTGTGGTCGCAACCAAAAGGAGCAGAGAGTTTACCCAACTTCAAACTGCATCTCGGAAAAACACAGTGCAGGATTAAGGACAGTCCTATTTCCCTCCTCCCTCTCTAAGCTTGGGTATAGGGAAGGTGTAAGGAATCACCTTTGCAGTAACACAGAGCTTCTGGAGGCCTCTGACCAGCTCTGGGGCACAACATCACTGTTGGAACGATTTCTACACACTTGGGAGCGGATCCATTTGATAAAGAGGACTGAGGCTTGTAGTTTGTGCTTCATAAGCCCAGTATAACTGTGGGGATGATACCCAACCCCTTTCCCCACTTTCAAGGTCAGTAGGGAAAGGTGAGACTCATCATACTAGCCATGGAAAGTGGACTTGTACATCTGTGCAGGTTCGCACAGCACCCCCAACAACAATTTGTACATGTGAACTGCTTTGAGGTTTTCTACAATCGAGCAGCATATAGATTTTATGAAATAAATATAATTTGACATGTAGGAACTTGTCTCTACACACTGCTTCCAAGCTGTTAAATGAGTGTTGTTGTTTTCAACCCTCATTAGGAAAGAGCCAAAAGCCATAGCTTGTATATATACCAAGTAGGTTGAAAACTAAGCAGGGCTGGCTTTGGATTCCAAAAGGCGTTTTTTATCAGGTAAACAAATATTAATTTTCACATTTAGATTCCGCTCGGAATGTCATTCGAGGGTCTCCTGCTGCCTATTTTTACGACATGGCAGGTTTGCAATCTGAGAAATTGAGACTCACCTAAGGTCATCTAGTGAACCTCTCTTTTTTGTATTTGTTTGTTTTTCTTTTTGCCCAGCAAACCTCATGGTGAGGATTTTAGCTTAGATGCTCCTCAGACCTAGTTTGACCCTTTAGCCACCTCACTTGACTGGCTCTCACTAGGTTTGATACTCAGAGATTCACCACTTCCTGCTTACTGATACTCCTGGGCGTGGATGCTGGTTCTAGTGGTAATAAGAGCCTTGAACTATAAGTGATACTGAGAGTTTAACTGAACAAACCCCACATTAGTTTACCATGCCCTGGGTTCCTATGTACCTAAAAGAACCCAGATACTGACACATGGATATTTATAATGTGGTCCTATATCTATGTCTGTGGGATGCGGGTGGCGGTGGGACGCGGGTGGCGCTGTGGGTAAAAGCCTCAGCGCCTAGGGCTTGCCGATCGAAAGGTCGGCGGTTCGAATCCCCGCAGCGGGGTGCGCTCCCGTTGCTCAGTCCCAGCGCCTGCCAACCTAGCAGTTCAAAAGCACCCCCGGGTGCAAGTAGATAAATAGGGACCGCTTACTAGCGGGAAGGTAAACAGTGTTTCCGTGTGCGGCTCTGGCTCGCCAGAGCAGCGATGTCACGCTGGCCACGTGACCCGGAAGTGTCTCCGGACAGCGCTGGCCCCCGGCCTCTTGAGTGAGACGGGCGCACAACCCTAGAGTCTGTCAAGACTGGCCAGTACAGGCAGGGGTACCTTTACCTTTTTATATCTATGTCTGGAGCAACCATGTGTGTGTGTGCGCGCGCACGTTTTACTCACTTCAGACTAGCTGCAGAAATTCCTAGTCCAATCCCAGCTGACATCTTATGAAAAAAGGTATATGAAGCATAAAAGATGGTTTCATGTCCTACTGAATTAGGATTTTGCACCCGAAAGTAGTCGACTACATCAGGCAACATGGACCTTTAACCAACCAATGAAAATAATTACACATCCATTAGATATTTCTGGAAAAAGATGTGACATTTTAATGAGCAGCACACAGTACTTTAAAAGAAAGACATTTTCATCTTTTGTGGCACAATTAATAAATATTATACCACTTATGTAAAACATGGAGGGTTTACAAACTAATTAGGTCAGGTCAGGTAGGAATCCTGAAGCAATTAATGATCTCGCAGGTTAATGGATAGAAACTTAACACTGGCAGAGGTTTGCTATTCTGGAATAAGCATGAGGGAGGGAGGCTGGGACTGCACTCTTGATTAACATCAAATTTAATTACTTCTGCTGATAGGTTAGTGATGTCTAGAACAACAGAGAATAAAACTGAATGAGTGTAGCATATTCCCCAGGAGGACTTTTGTAATGAGTTACAGTAAGAGACATTTGTAAAACCTCTCAAGCCATTACAAGAGAGACAGAGAGAGAGAGATCCCAAATATCTATGCTCCTAACAAGATAGCAGATTTTCAAAGCATCTGCAGGTATTATACTGGCTGAAAACACCAGTGCGACTCTCAAGAAAATTCATTCCTCTGTTTGAACAGCTCTTTGATCTGCTCTCAACCAATACAAATTATGTTGTACGTTTATTATTATGTTCCTATAAACCTTTTTACAAATGCAGTAGCCATCTTAAGGTGGCTGGCTGTGCTCTCTATAGGAGATGAATAAATGTAAGTTTAAGTCCTTCTTAGTGATGCCTCACATTTCAAGGAAGTATTAATATGGCAGAGGCTGCTTCTCCTAAGGTGAGGATTAAAGAGAGAAACAAGACATTTGTTCAACTCTTCTCACATCCCCTTTTGCATATTTCCACACCCAACCTCTTATCTATGCTAGGGGGAAAATAGCATGAAAAGTGGCTTTTAACTTCAGCTTAGGAAGCTGCTTTCACTGCGTGCAGGCGAAAAAAGAACTGGCCTGTGAGTTTGGGCAAGTAAATGTCTGCTGTGATACACTGCTCTTTTTCTTAGTGCCCTGATACAGGGCACAGGTAGGGCATAAGCGCATACCTTACAGAAACTACAAAGTCTGATGTCCCACACATCCTACTGTGTAACAGATATTTCCTTTTAAATGCCAATAACAGTTGATTTTGTACCTGGTACACATATGTACACACACACACCTATAAGACTGTCCTACCATGGCAACAGCAAAGAGGCTGCAATGCTAATTCCTGAAGCACCAGCCGAAAGGTAGGCAACAGCCGGTTCTGGAAAGAACACCAGCAAGGTGGAAGCAGGAATCATCAACTGGAAGAAACGGAAATCGGGAGAAATGTGTATGGTTAGATCAGTGTTACTTACTGTGGAGTTGAGAAACAGGAGTGCAGGAGTGGGGGACCTGGCTCCCATTTGGCCTGCAATGCTGTATCCTACAAATGGTGCTCACCTGCCTCATAACTGCTATGTCTGATGTGGATCAGGTACGGACTTTGTTATAAAGGAACAGCTGACAGCTTAAAGGGAGCTTCTGATTTGTTCCTTTGCAAGCAGGGCTCCCTGTCAGTTCCCATCAGCTGAGCAATGCCGACAGGGAACTCTGATGATCGGGTGCACTAAGAAGTTCCCTGTTGGGAACTCCCTAGGAAAAAGCCTGAGGAGGCTGGAGGATGCAGTCTGGGTCTAAAAGGCTTCTTCCAGCGCTTTGAATCCAAACTGCTTCCCTTGCACCTGCAACCCTGCCCTCGGTGGTGGCATGGGTGCTTTGGTGGAGGCTTATATCGTCTGTTAGTGGACCCCCAGTCCCTGAGGACGTCCCTTGGATCGTGACAACTGCTTGCTTTTTAACCATTTAGTCTTAAATTTATCCAAGCATGGGCACCTGGACCTTAACTACTCTAAATCGAAAGGCTGACTACCATTCCCCGCAAACAACATCCAGAATTACTAAGCCCAGTCTTGCACCAAATGCAGTATTGTCAGCCTAAGATCAGTTGATGAAAATAATGCATTTGGTTTGCAGTTCATGAAGCTTGTGTTTCTTTCATGGAACAGGGTGGGCATTCGGGGAAGACCCTGGTTTTCGCGTCTGTATGCAGGTAGAAATATGACCTGCTTAAAGCCTTTTGTCATTTGGAAAGACAATTACGGGGAGAGCTTCACCTGTTGACACTCTGAAGTCAAACCTCTTATTACGTGTGTGTGGGCCCTGATTTATTTTGGGGCCCTCCGCCCCACCTGCAGAAGCTATAAATCTGCACACAACAGACACACCTGTGCTTCCTATATGCAACATGTGGTCATCCACTCAAGAGGTTAAAGATGCAGGCTGTGTTTGCTGCAGGGGAAATCATGGACTTCCTGCCTCTGCTTCACACAGTTCATCTCGTATCCACCACAGTGTAGAACACACCCAGTTTGCTCTGTGAGGAAAATATCTGCCAATCCATGCTGACACCATATCTTTCTAATTTTATAATTTCTTACAGGTGTGCATGGGGCAGACATTTCTGGCTCAGCTCCCTATGCTATGCAAGCATCAAATATATACAGTCGTACCTTGGATCTCAAACGCCTTGGCTCCCGAACGATCAAAACCCAGTAGTGTGTGTTCCGGTTTCCGAAAGATTTTCAGAAGCCAAACATCCAACACGGCTTCCAATTGGTTGCAGCAGCTTCCTGTAGCCAATCAGAAGCTGCACTTTGGTTCCCAAACATTTTGGGAGTCAAGCGGACTTCCGGAACGGATTCTGTTTAACTTCCAAGGTATGACTGTACATAGCTGAGCAAGCTCTGCTTATAAGCACTGCCTAATCATTCATAAGCAGACACTCAGCTAGACAGCTTTGCCTATAATAACCAGTGTTTCTAAAACAAAAGAGTCAACAATCAACAGAACTCTGAATGAGAAATTCACACACTTGAATTAGTCTGTAATACTCAGCAATAGACCTTGTTTCACCACAAGAGAGCACTCCAACAATACAAGATTGCCATGTGCACAGATTAAGCACAGCAGCAGTGTTTACCCACTTGGAATCCAAAGCACCCAGATATTTATAAACCAATAGTGCCATAAAATGGGATTTTCTTGTAAAGAAGGAGTATGACCCAGCATTCCAGAGGCTCACACTAATATTCTTAAAAGCTTTGCTAGCATAAGCAGAGAAGCAGGAAATAAATTCACGGCTGATGTATCTCTGCTCTTTGCAGACAAATGATTGTAGGTAGTGCTTGCTCTTAGCCTTCTCGTTAATTGTAACAGAAAATCTGCCCTTACAAAGTATCTTCCTCCCTGACACAGTTCAGGAACTCCTGATATGCACAGATTTTATAATTAGCTCATTTGGGTAAGCAATTCTATGATATTCTAAACCAGAGTGGTGACAGAGAACCTTGATTAAAGGCATGAGAGAATAAGCCCTTAGGAAAATAAAATGCTCTAAGACTTCATGTTATAAATTTCAGAAAGATAAAAGTACCAGGTTGACCCATTTAAGAATGTTCTAAGTGTGCTTTATACTATACCAGCCAAAATCAAGCAGTTTGCCATCGTCAACATTCCCTGTGGTTAAAATTAATCAAGATTTCCCTTATACTGGATTAAACAATGGCTTAAAGGGAAACACTGGCTAGTCTCTTGAAGACAGCAGGAAAGAATGCAATGTTACCAGAAGTAGCCTTTAATTAACCTTGCGTTATATAATCTACATCCTACCTATCAAGGCAGAGTATAGCCCATAGTGTGAAGGAGAGAATGATCCAATCCAAAGTAGGAGGGAATGCAGGAAAAACGAAGACAAATCTGAATGATAACCAGAAATTGAGAGCCCATGTTGGCCTGGCTAGGAAAAGAAGCACAAAGGCCAAAAGGGGGAAGGTGTCTCAAGTTTCAAAAGCATTGTTAAAAATGTTTGGTGCAATCCCAGAAAAGGCTATTTCTAAAGTACAAAAATGCCAGCTTGCATTTAGTGCCTCAGTTGCTTACTTACTGATATCCCACCCGCTGTAGTCTTTTTGCTGTACTTGTTCAGAAACCATTGCCAGCATGGAACGCTCAGTGCTGCAGATATCTATGAATGATGAGAAAAACCATTACAGGAGAAAGCATGTTTCATATCAAGGGGATCAAGGAAGCACCATATGAATAATTGCACACATCACAAAAAGGGAGGGGCACAAACTAAGCCATATGGGTTCACTGCAAAGCAGTTCTCATAGAATCATAGAACTGTTATCTAATCCAACCCCCTTGCAATGCAAGAATCCTGCCCAAAACCACCAACCTTCTGGTTAAAAGCCAGGCACGCTAACCCACTGCACCATCTCTATCATGTGAACTCGATAAACATGGGTCAAAAAGCTGATCAGAGAGTTAGCAAATAATATTTTTAAAACGCAAATCAAACTCAATGAATTTCACATCCTGCCCAACTTCCTAGCTGCAATCCAGATCATTTACTTGCCTGATGACATGAAATTAACCCTGGGTGTGGCATGATCCAGGGTCTAAATAGTGATATGCATACCATATTATGAAAATAAGAGCTTAAGAGCAACATACTTTGCAAGGAGGCTCTGCTTTGTCCACATGCTTACCAAGACAATCAGCACTAAATAATCAATGTGGTTGTGAAGATTAGTTGCAGCAGAACAAAAGAGGACAAAGTTGTTTTGTACAACCTGGAGAGTTGAAGACAAGAGGAGGAACAAAACGATAAATTAGTCACAAAGCAAACATGGAGCAGGGTTGATTAATCAAGGCCATTTAAATGGTTAAAAACCAGATTTCCCATTTACAAATGCTGAACAAGAGCGCATGTGAACTGATATAATAATTAAACACATGCTGGCTGGCAACAAGACAAAGCTGCTACTAGCAGGGAGCATAATCAAAATCTCTCATTATGCATGCCATTTAAACAATGCAAATATATATACATGCACTTTTTGAATATATTAAAAACAACAAAAATTGTTCCAATATAGGTACATTTAACATAAACTAGCAGTTGTGCAGTTAGGTAATTTTAGACTATCTACGTACAGTTACATACGCTTCAGGTTACAGACTCCGCTAACCCAGAAATAGTGCTTCAGGTTAAGAACTTTGCTTCAGGATGAGAACAGAAATCGTGCTCCGGTGGCGCGGCAGCAGCAGGAGGCCCCATTAGCTAAAGTGGTGCTTCAGGTTAAGAACAGTTTCAGGTTCAGAACGGACCTCCAGAACGAATTAAGTACTTAACCCGAGGTACCACTGTAATGGTCTTATAGAGAGTTTCCTCTGTAGGTGGTAGTGGATTAGTTCACTAACATCAGATAAATAACCCTTCATGTGTGCAGCAAACAGAGGGTTATCACTGGCTTATCTCCCAACTTTCATCAAAATGCCCACCGAAGAGGTGGATACCTGTGTCTTCCAGGCAGAGGCTGCCCAGTTTATGTCCCTGATAATCAACATCTTTTACTCCAACGAGGACATATTTATGTGGGAGATCATTTCCAGTGCCACCAATGAACTGGACAAGATCCACTATAAAAGTATGACAGACCCCTGAAAGTCACAATGACTGGCAGTGTCTCGCCAGGGTTATTGCAGATTCCACAGCTTAAAGCAACTTGATGCATAACAACTGGTTCATTTTGGAACAAGCCATTGTCCAGACCCATGTTTGATTCAAAGTTTTACGTGCAGAACTTTATTCAAAACAGAACAAAACACAGTAAATGATACATCCAAAATATCCATAAGGTCATGTGCAATGGCCAGCACAGGCTCAGCTTCTTAGAAATAAAATAACATAACCAGAGCTGACAAACATAGCTCTCTCTCAAAGACTCCATTAGCCTGTATTCCAGCCCCAAGGCTGTTGAGCTCATTTACGTATCCCTACCCCAAGGAGTCTGGGAACAAAGACCAAAGGCCATTGCAATTCAATACCTCTCATGTGATCTAAGGTTAAACACCAGGTGTTAGCTAGCAAGAGAAGAGTAACAGTAAATTATCAACCCATCTAGGAGCTTAGAGAGCTTAATATAGCCCAATGGAAAATCCCCAAGTTAAAGTGTCCAGTAATATACATAGGCATTCTCCATTTCAGTGGGAATTGAACAATTATACTTAACAAGGGTTTCAGGCAGTGGACATTTCCAGCCCCACAGGGAGATGCCAGGTATTGAACCTTGGACCTTCTGCATCATCATCCATTGCTGAGCTAATTGGACTGCTTTTGGATAAGCTGCTGTTCAATTATTGTTATATTTTAAAATGGTATTTGTATTTGTTAAAGATCCAAAGAATGAGTTTGGTAGAAGGAGCTCTTGAGATGGTCCAACCATCTTGAAGTGGGGGGAAATCCACTACAGCTTCCAACTTAACACCGGTGGTTTGTAACTATCTATCTATCTATCTATCTATCTATCTATCTATCTATGACCATGTCTTTCATAGTTCAGGTACAATCTATGCTGCTGCAAATCCTCTTATGAACTAGAATTACCTGAACAGCTGTTGAAATCAGGAGAAATGATGCTGCAAGTTTCACATATGGTCCAAACATCAGTGCAAGTTTGTGTCCCTTAAGGAAGGGAATTTGTTGGTCTGATTTTAAGGCATAAGGATCTATAACGAGTGGAATAAATAAATAAATAAATAAATAAATATATAAATGCATGTCTGATACCTTGTTATTAAAGTAGGAAAGAAATGTATTAGGAATGTTTGTTGCGATTAAATAAACTCACCTACTTTTTCTCTCACTCCAGCGCAAAGGGCAATAATGCCAATGATGTATAATACTGATATTGTTCCTCCTGCAATCATGTAGAGTTTTTTGTTCTAAAAAATAAAAATAGGTGGTAGTGGTGATGTGGGGTGGAAAAAGGGAATCAAATTTCAGTAAGACTATATAGGTGAGAAAATGCTTGATACAAACAAAATGAATATATATATATATATATATATATATGAAAATCTATGAAGCAAAATGGGTAGAGGGGCGAAAGGATTAGTTTCTAAATTGTACTCTGTATTGCTTAATGTAACTTACGGATCTATGGAACCTCTTAAAAAAGATATGGGAACTAGATACTGGCACATAAATTTCCCCCAAAGATTAGAATAAAATTAACATCTGTTTCCAGTTTTCTCAGGGTAAACACCTTAAAATTGTTACACAGATGGCATCACACTCCTTTCCAAATGTCAAAAATATTTTCTTCTGTATCACTTAACGGTTGGAGAGGTTGCAATAAACTTGGCACATATTATCATTTATAGTGGGAATGTCAATTGGTGCAAGATTTTTGGAACATAAATTTGATAGAAATGATAAACATTACTAAAGAAATTGTTGTTTGCTGTCCGAAATTAATATTACTGAGTATTTTTTATGATAACAATGTAAATATATTGTCAAAAGAATTGGTCTTATATATCACCTTGGGAGCATGAACAGTAATTGTAAATCAATGGAAAACAACCCCAAATCTTAATACTGGACACTTCATACTGATCACTCTGGAATATAGCTATAATGGAGAAAATCATGCAGAATCTGAGGTTTTGACAAGGACTAGAACCTCAAGAAACATTTTATATGATTTGGCATTCCTTTATGACATATATAGTACAACGGAACCATCATTTTAAATACAATCCTTGTCACAAGCCAGCAAATCTGGAATTATACTTGATCTGATAAAGTTGATAGTCTTTACCCGGACTTTATTATTTTAACTCATGTACAACTACTCATTCTATTTTATAGTTTAATTTTCATCTTCACCTTCCAATTAAATAAAAAACTTTACACTGCAACTTTACTTTACTCTGAGCCAAAATTCCACCTACATATGTAATCTATAAAGTTGTGGCCATTTTAAATCCAAATTGTTGTCTGTTTCAGTTTGTTCTATCACACCTCACTTTAGTCACTGCCTAGGGGAGGGTGGCACTGCGACTGGGACCACAACTCCCAGCACACATCAAATGCCAAACATATTTTATTTTATTTTATTTATTCACACACACAAACAAACATACTGTGTGTGTGTGTGTGTGTGTGTGTGTGTAAACCAAAGCTCAGTGGTGTTGAACAGATAATTGAAAAAATAAGATTAGCAGACAATAAATGAAATACTAAACATCCCTCAGAAGTAATGAATCCCACTATCATGTTTAGGCTCAAAGTTCATTTTAGTAGGGTTACCATATTTCAAAAACTGGTTGGCAAAGATGATGAGCTTCTCCTTTTTTGTCAAAGTGGTTGAGCTTTTTTTGGCAAAACTGCCCCCCCCCCCAAATGACAATCTTGAACTATTATTAAGGGAAATCAGCAAAAACAACACTGCTGACATAGGTTGCCATACGTCTGGATTTTCCCAGACATTTTTCCAATTTCTGCCGAGACACTGCTTCCTACTACAGTATTCTGGGTACGTCCAGGGAATTCTGGACACAGAGGCGTAGCGTGGGGGGGTGCCAGGGGTGCCGGCCGCACCGGGCGCAACATCTAGGGGGGGCGCGAGTCCAGAGGGCCCAGCCCCGTCGTGCCCTCGGCCCGCCCCTATTGTCAGAGCGGCCGGCCAGCCTCCGCCTGCTCCTACCTTGCCCACCCGAGGACTGCGGCAGCGCCCGCCCCGTGGCCACCTACCCCCGCCTCGCCCATTGGCTTGCCTCCCTCGGCCCCGCCTCTCTCCGATGGCCGCGAGGGTGTCCTCCTCGGCGCCGGCGCCTTTTTTCAGGAGGTAGGGAGGCTGGACGGGGAGGTGGGGTCGGAAGCGGGCAGAGAAGGAGGGGAGCTCGTAGCCAAAAGGGCTGCGCCGGCCGGCAAAGGGCCGGGGAAAGTTTGGAGAGGAGAAACGCACCGTCATGATTTCCCGGTGGAAGCGGCAGGATTAGGGATGGCGAAGCGTAATTACGCACGAATTTCGCTGGGTGAGAGCTTCGGGGATCGATTGGCGGAAATGGGAATCAATTGGAATATGAGAAAGAGAGAGAGAGAGGGACCATCATTCATAGGCATAGATCTGTAGGGTTAGGGGCGCAAATCCACGGGTTAGGGGGCGCAAATTACTTGACTTGCCCCGGGTGCTGACAACCCACACTACGCCACTGTCCGGACATATGGCAACCCTAATTTTAGGAAAGTTCCTGTCCCAATTCTATTGCCATTGCTATTAAGAAAATCAATAACATATCTAGACAGTAGGATGGTGAAATACTCCCTTCCCATCCACCCCAAATCTTTTGAAAGCTTTTCAACTTACTGCCTCAGACATGTCTGGAACACTGGAACTGTTTCCGTACAGATTGGTGGGAGAGTCCATGTTATCCACACTATCGTTACAGTGGTCAGAGCTGTGAGCATCGGAGACCATACTGACCTGGAGTGTAGCTCCAACCAATGTTCCAAGACCTTCAAATCCCATTCCTAAAGTAGGGGGAAAAAGCCCACTTCTTTTTAAACCTGAAATGGTGCAGCAGCTGCCAACAAGGCTCAGAAATAACTGAGCACGCCCCTGTTGTGATGTCAAAAGGTTTTTGTGACCCCCGCCACAAATATTGCCTTTTAAATAAAGAAATAAAACTGCCCCCAGCTATTCTTGCTTGGCCACACCCACTTTTAAACTTGGGGGCCAGGAGGGTTGACCATGTGTCAATGTGACTCTTAGCTCAAAAAAGAAGAAGCTACCCACCCCTCCCTTAAAGATTATGAGCTCCTATAGACAAGAACAGACTTTCTGGAGTCATCTGTCTTCCAATATAGTTCAAACTATGTTACTAGAGGCTACATTGAGCCATGATTCCTCCTCTCCCTCCATCTTCATGCTTCAATTCCTTCCCTGCATCTGAAACAGGGGGAAACAGAACTGAAACCAGCTCCAAACCGTGACTTCCAGTTCTAATTTGGAGGGCAAGTGTTAAAGGAATTTGTTAATTTGGATATAACAGTAGCAACTGTGGTTTGCCTGAAACACTGAGGCAGGGAGAGAATCCGGGTGTGGAAGGACAGGAAGGAAGGGGATGGGGAATCATGCAATTCTGAGGCTTGCTTACAAAACACCAACCCATAGTTTGGCAACACAAGAGAACTGAGCTTTTCTGTTTTTCAATACTAGTCTCCACCCCTTTGCCACAGCTCCCCCAATATGTTTGGGGGGAGGGGAGTCTCCAGAGTAGCATGCTACATGCAGCATGCTCAGTAAGACTCACGGTATGCCGTTGCTGAATCTCGTTCCTTCTGGTCTGCGCTCAAAAACATGACGAGAGCTGTATATGGTACATGGAATAGCTGTAACGAAAGTACACACACACACACACACACACACACACACACCAGTTAGGAAAACGCAGGGGCACGCATACCCCTAAACATTTTGTGACTCTAAGTTTGGCTTCATTGAGGGGTAGTATTTCAATATGAGTAGGAAAATGAGAGTACCCCTAAACATTTTTTTAAGAGAAAAAAAGCACTGGAAAAATGTATCACTTTAGCATGCTGCTTTTCATCGTAACCAGAAGGCTTACTATGTAGTTAGGCCCAGTAATCCTGCTCCTTATGAGGCATGCTGTACCTTTCTCCTCCAACCTTCAAATGTGCAATAGCTCAAAAAGGAAGTAAAAAGAGCCTTAGCCATCCTTGGAGGCAGGAGTTTCTTCGTTCAACTCCCCAACAATTTTTTTCTGGTCCCCAAAGACCTCACTCGTTTTGACGGTTGTGGCTGTAGGATAATCAGCCTCATATAACCAAAATTCTTAAGTGTAATTAATGCACGAAAGGGTTAGTGCCAGAATAAGCTGTCCTGCCAGGCTTAGCTAGGTCACATACACCCTACTTTGGCAGAAAGGAAGTCTAGTCCATTGTTCCCTCAGTCTACCATGCGAACTCTGGTGTGTAAAGAGGTCTGAGCTTGGTTTCTACAAAGCCATCTTTGTGTATCTATACAAATTATTTAGGAACTTCCACCACTTTGGAACTAACCTAAGTCTTTACTGCCTGTGTTTTCTGGATGCTGTATGGAAAAGCACATGATTCTGACCTTTGAAGAGTTTGTAAGTAAACCATGTTAACTTACCAACGGATGGTATTTTTCTATTCTAAGAGAAGTGGGAAAATTTGGAAGGAACTGAGAAGGGCATATTTTAAAGGTATAATGGCCTGTATTTCCGTGCTTTAGCTTGCTGCATGTTTTGTGATTTTAAATCACACCAAAGAGTACTTGCCCCAAACCTGGGTCTGGACATCCAGGAATTCTCCTTTTTATACCTTTCCCAACCAACAGTGGCAAGGTAAATAAATAGACACAGCGCACTGTGCACAGTCAAGTGCACTGATGGGGAGGTAGATCACCCCCACCCTGGTAATCAAGGGAATCATTTTGTAAGTGGGGACAGAAAGATACCCCCCCAGCTGTTCTGCATGGCTCAGCTGATGCTTTGTGTGGCAGAGTATGGGTTGGCCACACGCTTCAAAAGCATATATCCGCCCCCCTTGCAAAAAAGAGGAGTTGGCAAAAGGTGAATGCAGCCCTTAGACCAAAAATGGGTTAGCTACCCCTGCTCTAGAATTTCCTGAAATGCTGCTCTGCAGGAGGCACAGATCCCAGGTGCGTTGACAGAGGTCTCCTAAACACAGGGTATAACCTACCAGGAAAGCTCCACTGCTCATCCTTGATTTAAAACTTTTAATATTTGAAGCAAGCATTTATGGTAAAAAAACGACAACATTACTGTTCAGAAAAATTAAGGGCATTTTCAAATATGAACTAGAAGAATGTTCTGCATTTCTTATGTCTATAATGCTAATAAAAAACTTGCACTAGCTAGAACTAAGTACCCATTCAAATTAAAAATTGGCCTTCCCCTTTCTATTCTGATCAAGCATGCACAAAAATGATGAGATAAATACAGGGGTGCTGTTGGTATATATCCGAAAATGCCCACGCATTGCCTGGCAAAAGGGTATGAGGAAGTTTGTTCTTCTTAATTCTTTTTTGTAAAGATGAATATATTACCCCGGATGACTTTTCTGTTCCAGCAGATTCCGCCCCCCACGAAGGGATCAAAGAAGGAAGCTTCAGGATTGGCAGAAGTGTTAACTACTGAGATTAAAAGGCCCAGAGCAATATCCCAGAGTCCTCTTAGATAGCAGTCAGGCTGTGGCACCCCCTTGTGAAAGTACAACGTTTCCAAAGCCTGAATAGGTTCAATGGAGGCATTAAGGAAATGAGTACAACTGAGCACAAATATGGGTACAGAAAGTATAATAAGCTGTGAGGCATATTTGTACTGTGCGATGAATAACATTTCGCGAGGGTGGAGTGCACCTTCATCCTAAAAGAACAACAAAAAGTCACTCTAATGGAGGGCATTGTTGTTTGTTGACCTATTTCCAAACAGATTTATAGCAAGGCAACTGAGTAAATATCTCAGATGAATAAAGAAACACAAACTCATCTCTTACTTCTAAAAGCCCATTGTTACAGTATAAAGGCATGAGAATTTAACAGAATTTAACAGCTGTACTGAACCTCAGGCATATATGCTTATATGTTAGCTAAGAAAGCCAAACAATCACTGGTGGCTCCCAGCAAATATTTCTTTGTCTTTGTGACATATTATTTCATGAATGTTGTCTCACTGATGCAATAGGATCTAGAGTACTGTTTGTATCTTTCCAAGATATGCAAAAAAGCCTTTGCGATGTGGTAGCAGATCTACATTAAAATATGATGTACAGCAGCTTTCATTAACTGGCCTGCTGAAATCCCTCTGTACTTTCTAAATTAATCAAGTTACACTGCAGAGGTGCAGTTCCTCACTTCCTAGCCTATATGACCAAATAGTTGTCTCGTTCTATATTAGAAATAATTGTGATCCGACAGATGCGATGTCCAGAAGCATCTAATTGCAGAGGAAAAGGGTGTCAGTATTGATCAACTTACTGTACTCAATGCCTGGAAAAGGCAGAAGAAAGCCATATACCATACATCTTTTGCTTCTATAACGCTTGGGCAGTACCACAGGAAGAAGTAGGACACAATAAGGAAAGGTGTAGTACCCAGTAACCTGGAATAAAAACAATACGGTGAATACCAAACATATCTATGAACCACTTTGATTGTTAAAAAGCAAAACTAAAAAGGGGATAAAATCTGTCCGGTTCAAATTCAATACTGTATTGTCTGCACCATCTCACTTGTCTAATTTTTTTAATATTCTCTATGGGCACGGTTATTATTATTTATTTACATATATTTTACACAGCATCTAACAAATTTAGTGGCTTAATAAACAATATGATTATTTTTACTACTACTACCTCACTCTGCTTAAGACACAGGAAGGGCTCACTATTGCTCTATTATCTATTAATGTAGACGAACAGCCGTATAAGAGACAAAAGCCTCTCTATCACTGTCACCTAAATACGGTCCCTCTTTAGTCATCCCTGTGTTTTACGATGCTGGAAGCAATTCAGCTGTCATTTATTTAAATGGCAATGACTCCAAGGAAACACAGACCAGCCCTTCAATAGTAAACATGGTTCTAAAGGCAACCGGTAAAGTGACACTCAGGGCTGATAAGCTGCATGTCATTCAAGGCTTGTGTAAAGCTGGGAGACAGAATCTAGTATATTCTAGCTTTGTTATGTGCAAGTGATGGGCAGATGCAATTAATTCCGCAGAGTGTGACCTCTAACTACAGCAGAATTCTCCAGTGTACTTGTAAAGCAGCCGCTACACAATGTAATTAGATGACCACCGACACTATTAACAAAACCCTGAAACGAACAGACAACACAGATTAATCCTTTCAGAAGAGTGCTATCTGCACAGTATTTTCTTATACATTACATGAATGGGACTGGGTATGTCAGCTGATGATTTGCAGCAGGGGATTGGCGAGGGGGAGGAAAGAGGTGGAATGCACTAATTCAGTATAATAGCTCTTCCATTCTGTTGTAAGGGATACAAAGGCATTGTTAGAGGCTGGCATGATGGACTGCAAGGAAAGCAGCCATGATGTGGAGCAGGGCACTGAGGTTAGGTCAGGGTGGATCATTAATCCACCACAACTAAGTGTGACAACACAGCATTACTGTATCCCATTCTAGATTTGCTAGCCCAGCAATTCAGAGGGAAGGCCATGTATTTTACAGAAATACATACCGTATTTTTCGCTCTATAAGACGCACCAGACCACAAGACGCACCTAGTTTTTGGAGGAGGAAAACAAGAAAAAAAAAATTCTGAATCTCAGAAGCCAGAACAGCAAGAGGGATTGCTGCACAGTGAAAGCAGCGATCCCTCTTGCTGTTCTGGCTTCTGGGATAGCTGCGCAGCCTGCATTCGCTCCATAAGACGCACACACATTTCCCCTTACTTTTTAGGAGGGAAAAAGTGAGTCTTATAGAGCAAAAAATATGGTAATTTCCACAGTTCAAGCCATGCTCACGGCAGCTTACATCATGAAAAAATACATAACTACAACGTGACAAAAGTAGCCATCAATAGTAAATACAAAAATACAAAATACAAAACCAAACTGAACAATTTCCACATAAATCACAGCAAAAGATACCAAAAAAAAGCAGCAACAAGAGCAACAACTCCCTCCCCAACAACACCTCAGCTGCCTCAGGCTCTGCCCTCCCAGGTCAGGTGTAAAAAGGCCAGAACTTTGTGGGATGCTCAATTCTCATTTCCAGTAGAAGAGCCAGTCTGCCCAGGTTAAATACCTTAAGACAAGGGCCAGCATCAAGGATCAGCATGAGTGGCATCTGCTGAGGGCTCACACTCATTTTACAAGGCATTGACTGAACTTCCTTGCTTTGGTCACATTTCTTGTGCTATTTTTGCAGAGCTTTTTTTTTCAGCTGGAACTCGCTGGAACTCAGTTCCAGCACCTCTCAGGTGGGCGCATAGAAAAATACCACTAGCTATTTGGATGCAAGTTATATTTAGGAATAAGATGCAACATTTATCTGGTGATTTAAAACAAACAACACATAAAACAAACAATCCAATATAAGATTATGGAACAACAACAACAACCTACCAATACCAAATCAACACTGATCATGCAAACAGCAGTACTAAATTAAAGTTGCAATCCTAAACAGGAGTAAGTCCCATTGAACTCAATGGGGCTTGTCTATGAGTAAACAGATATAGGTCTTTATCTGGATGTAAGTCTAAGGAAATTTGCAGCCTAAAGAAAAGCCATGCTTTGTCCACTGAAAAAATAAACTGTTGGGCTGCAAGTCTCCTTAGAGCATTCTGTAGACTGCATAGGAACCAGACTCCTAGGAGCTGTGGGGGCTTCGGCCCCCAGAATAAAATATTTGAGGGGGATGAACGTTGCCATTCAAATGGTGTGTGTACACCATGTCATGTGATCAATTATGTGGACTGGGGCTTACCTGGGACCCTACAATATTTTATTCAAGTTGGCACCCCTGTCAGAGTGGGTGCCACCAGCTACCCACTGTACCTTATTTGGCAGTAGCATCTGGAACAAGGCCTCAGAGACTAAGTGGAGAGTACAGGGAGGAAGATATCTAAGATGGTGTTCCTTAAATACCAGGTTCCAAGCCATCTAGGGCTCTAAAAGTTCAAAACAGCACCTTGAATTTAGGTTGCAGTTACAACAGAGCTAATAATGGGAAGGGAAGAAGAGAACATGTTTTTCTTGCCTCTCTCTCAGTTTGTTATTTCACATACCTGAAATGCAAGTGCAGAACTTAGCACATGGTACAGATCTTTCTGGGCTGTATTCCCCAGATTGTTGTTGCAACTTCGTACGTAAAGAAAATTTGCACATAGAAACCTAGCACATCTGGGAATGCTAAGACAGAACCCTTCTCCCTGATTTCCCACCAGTTGCATGTGTGAGAAGTTAAACTCAGGGCGCATACATGCTGCAGGGTAATGTGCATTCAGCGCTAGATGGTAGTGACATTTGGGGATGCTACGCACACAATGCCATCCCCATTTCGTCCCTGCCCCACACTATTTGTCAATCTAGAGTGCAATCTGCTAGAAGAGCTATAATCCGCTCTGTGTTGAGAATGCACTTCTCAAGTGCTTGGTGCATACATGTGCAGCCTTGCATCACTCCCGTGTTCAACTTCTCCATGAATAAAACAGGCAAAATTGGAAGCGGTATAGTAACTTAGTCGCTTCTGTATATCAATACAATGGAACCTCGTGTTACGTACTGTCCTCCTTGCGAACACTTTGGTAGATGCTCCCGGTTGCAAACTTTGCCCTGGGATGCAAGCGGAAGTCGCGCACCAGTGGTGCGCTGGCAGCAGGAGGAGCCATTAGCGAAAGCGCGTCTCATGTTAAGAACGGTTTCAGCTTAAGAATGGACCTCCGGAACAAATTAAGTTCGTAACCGGAGGTAACACTGTATACATATCCTCGGCATATCATCATACCGGCTTCCAGGCTTTCAAAAGACTGAAAAATACACATATTTTTAAAAAGGCTATGGAAACCATAATTGAAGGAAGGGGGGATAGAGATCACCATTGTCATATGCTAGTTTGGAAAGATGCCCACCTGTGTACAGACAACATGGATAGTAGCTGCCACGTTCAGATGATTTTATTGCACAAAGGTGTATACAACGACACACACACCATACGAAAGCATACTGTAATATAGGCTACAAAGAGCTAAATTTAATGATGGCTCTGTTTAGCTCAGCTAAATTATAGACTGGCTGAAACCGGCTTCAACCGGTTCAAACCGGTCTGAACCGGTTCCAACTGGTCTAGACCGGTTCAAACCGGCTTCAACCTGTTCAAACCGGTCTGAACCGGTTCCAACCGTTCTAGTCCAGCTGAAACTGGCTTCAACCAGTTTAAACCAGTCTGGACTGGTTCCACCTGGTCTAGACCGGTTCAAACCGGCTTCAACCGGTTCAAACCGGCTTCAACCGGTTCAAACCGGTCTGGCAAGTTCCACCTGATCTAGAAAGGTTACAATCAGCATGGACCGGTTCCAACGGATCTAGACTGGCTGAAACCAGCTTCATCCGGCTTCAACCGGTTCCAACTGGTCTAGACTGGTTCGAACCAGCTTGGACCAGTTCAAACTGGTTTCAACCGGTTCAAACCGGTTCCAACCTGCTTGGACAGGTTCAAACCAGCTTCAACCGGTTGCGACTGGTTTGCACCAGATTTAACCGGTCTAGACCGGTTCCAACCAGCTTGGACCGGTTCCAACCGGTAAAGGTTGGCTGAAACCGGCTTCAACCGGTTCAAACCGGTCTGGACCGGTTCCAACTGGTCTAGACTAGTTCAAACCAGCTTCAACCGGTTCAAACCAGCTTCAACCGGTTCAAACCGGTCTGAACCGGTTCCAACAGGTCTAGACCGGTTCAAACAGGCTTTAACAGGTTCAAACCAGTTAAGACTGGTTCCAACCAGTCTAAACCTGTTCCAACCAGCTTGGACCAGTTCAAACTGGCTTAAACCGGCTCAAACCAGTCTGGGCAAGTTCCACCTGGTCTAGAAAGGTCACAACCAGCTTGGACCGGTTCCAAACTGGTCTAGACTGGCTGAAACCAGCTTCAACTGGTTCTAATTGGTTTGGACCCGTTCCAACCAGTCTAGACCGGTTCAAACCAGCTACAACTGGTTCTAACCGGTCTGAACGGGTTCCAGCCAGTCTAGACTGGTTCCAACCAGCTTGGACCGGTTCCAACCGGTCTAGTCCGGCTAAAACTGGCTTGGACCGGTTTAAACTGGCTTCAACCAGATCAAACCGGCTTCAACCGGTTCCAACTGGTCTAGACCTGTTTGAACCAGCTTGGACCGGTTCCAACCAGTCTAGACCTGTTCCAACCAGCTTGGACCAGTTCAAACTGGCTTCAACCGGTTTAAACCAGCTTAAACCGGTTCCAACCGGTCTAGACCGGTTGCACCCAGCTTGGACTGGTTCAAACTGGCTTCAACTGGTTGAAACCGGTTAAGACCGGTTCCAACCAGTCTAGAATGTTCCAACCAGCTTGGACCAGTTCAAACTGGCTTCAACCAGTTCAAACCGGTCTGGGCAAGTTCCACCTGGTCTAGAAAGGTCACAACCAGCTTGATCCGGTTCCAAACTGGTCTAGACTGGCTGAAACCAGCTTCAACTGGTTCTAATTGGTTTGGACCCGTTCCAACCAGTCTAGACCGGTTCAAACCAGCTACAACTGGTTCTAACCGGTCTGAACGGGTTCCAGCCAGTCTAGACTGGTTCCAACCAGCTTGGACCGGTTCCAACCGGTCTAGTCCGGCTAAAACTGGCTTGGACCGGTTTAAACTGGCTTCAACCAGATCAAACCGGCTTCAACCGGTTCCAACTGGTCTAGACCTGTTTGAACCAGCTTGGACCGGTTCCAACCAGTCTAGACCTGTTCCAACCAGCTTCAACCGGTCTAGACTGGTTCAAACCAGCTTGGACCGGTTCAAACCGGCTTCAACCGGTTCCAACCGGCTTGGACAGGTTCAAACCGGCTTCAAGCGGTTGCGGCTGGTTTGCACCAGATTTAACCGGTCTAGACCAGTTTCAACCAGCTTGGACCGGTTCCAACCGGTCTAGACTGGCTGAAACCGGCTTCAACCGGTTCAAACTGGTCTGGACCTGTTGGAACCAGTCTAGACCGGTTCAATCCGGCTTCAACCGGTTCAAACCGGTCTGAACCGATTCCAACTGGTCTAGACCGGTTTCAACCTGTCCAAGCAGGTTGGAACCAGTGTAGTCCGGCTGAAACCGGCTTCAACCAGTTTAAACTGGTCTGGACTGGTTCAAACCGGTCTAGACCTGTTTCAACCAGCTTGGCCCGGTTTCAACCGGACTACACTGGTTCCAACCTGCTTGGACAGGTTCAAACCGGCTTCAACCGGTCCAGACTGGTTTGGACCAGATTCAACCCGTCCTAACCGGTCTGAACCGGTTCTAACCAGTCTAGACCGGTTCCAAAGAGCTTCGACCGGTTCAAACCAGCTTGTACAGGTTCCAACCAGTCTGAACCGGTTCCAACCAGTCTAGACCGGTTCTAACCAGCTTGGACCGGTTCCAACCAGTCTATTCCGGCTGAAACTGGCTTCAACCAGTTTAAACCTGTGTGGACCGGTTCCAACCGGTCTGGACAGGTTCCAACCGGTCTAGACCAGTTCCAACCGGCTTCAACCAGTTCAAACCGGTCTGAACCGGTTCCAACTGGTCTAGACCAGTTCCAACCAGCCTGGACCGGTTCCAACCGATCTGGACCGGTTCAAACCGGCTTCAACCGATTCAAACCGGTTCCAACCGGTCTAGACTGGTTCCACGAAGCTTGGCCCGGTTCAAACAGGCTTTAACATGTTCAAACCGGTTAAGACCGATTCCAATCAGTCTAGACCTGGTCCAACCAGCTTGGACCAGTTCCAACCGGTCTAGTCCAGCTGAAACTGGCTTCAACTGGTTGAAACCGGTTCAAACCGGGGTGGACAGGTTCCAACCAGCTTGGACTGGTTCAAACTGGTCTGAACCGGTTCCAACTGGTCTAGAGAGGTTCCAACCAGCTTGGACCAGTTCCAACCGGACTAGACCAGATTCAACGGGTCTAGACCCGTTCCAACCAGCTTGGGCCGGTTCCAACTGGTCTAGACTGGCTGAAACCGGCCTGGACCGGTCTGGACTGGTTCAAACCAGTCTGGACCAGTTCCAACCAACTTGGAGCGGTTCAAACCAGCTTCAATCGGTTCCAACCGGTTTGGACCAGATTCAACCAGTCTAGACCGCTTCCAGAAAGACATCTACTTCTGCTTCATTGACTATGCAAAAGCCTTTGACTGTGTCAACCACAGCAAACTATGGCAAATTCTTAAAGAAATGGGAGTGCCTGATCACCTCATCTGTCTCCTGAGAAATCTCTATGTGGGACAAGAAGCTACAGTTAGAACTGGATATGGAACAACTGATTGGTTCAAAATTGGGAAAGAAGTACGACAAGGCTGTATATTGTCTCCTCGCTTATTTAACTTATATGCAGAATTCATCATGCGAAAGTCTGGGCTGGATGAATTCCAAGCCGGAATTAAGATTCCCAGAAGAAATATCAACAACCTCAGATATGCAAGTGACAACCTTTTGAGAAGAAGCTTGCTTTGGTGATGGCAGAAAGTGAGGAGGAATTAAAGAACCTTTTAATGAGGGTGAAAGAGGAGAGCGCAAAATATGGTCTGAAGCTCAACATCAAAAAAAACGAAGATCATGGCCACTGGACCCATCACCTCCTGGCAAATAGAAGGGGAAGAAATGGAGGCAGTGAGAGATTTTACCTTCTTGGGCTCCATGATCACTGCAGATGGTGACAACAGTCACAAAATTAAAAGATGCCTGCTTCTTGGGAGAAAAGCAATGACAAACCTAGACAGCATCTTAAAAAGCAGAGACATCACCTTGCCAACAAAGGTCCGTATAGTTAAAGCCATGGTTTTAATACAATTTAATATAATATTTAATACAATTTGATTTTATCCAGCACTAGAAAAGCTTCCTACAAATGTGAAGGTAGTTTACCAGGAAAGGAAGAAATTCCCCCCTTTTCCCATTCCAAACCTTGAGTAAGCTAGAAGAGTATCAATGTTGCAGCATCTGTTTCCTGTCAGGGCCTCATATATTTAACATGCTCTTGGCTCTGGTGAATTTGTCTAAGCAGAGATAAACTACTGGACACATCTATTTTGGCAAGCCATCACCCTTACCCACAAAGGGTCTCTTGGCCATATATGCTTTGCTCTATGCAAGGCAAATGTGGAGGCTTTTGAGTTTAATCTACAAGTCCATTTTCTAACTTATTCTCAGTCTGAAATGTAGAAAGAAAACATTTTTTATTTTTTCCTTCCCTTTCCATTGGCCACAACTGGATAGTTTTGTTTTAAGCTAGCACCTCTTTCTGTCTGCGCAAGCTTGTTTAAAAAAAGAACCTGGAACTAATACAGTTTCCCCAGGGGCAAAAAGATGTGCAAGAGTTAGTTTGTTCTGCAAGAGGCTCATAAGAATGAGCATAGCCAGCGTAAAAGGTAGACAAATGCCAAACTTCAGCAAGGATGGCAAGTACCTGGCCACCAATTGCTGCTATGCAGTGTACTTTTCCTTTTGCAAATGTGGAAAATGGATAGGTTTTACAATAACATGTTCATAAAAATCAACCGTCTTAGGGATCGGGCATGCATGTAGAATACAAAGGAAAATATGTTATTATAAGCAATCAGCAAAAATCAGCTTACCAAGGCATAAGTAGGCCAATTTTGGTCCGTTTGCTTTTACTAATAAGATAGCCGGCAACAGGGTCTGCTGCTGCCCCCCATGTTTTGCCAATAAAAAGCACCAAAGAAGTATGAAATGGAGTAATCTGAAAAACAAAAAAGGACACCTACCTTAAGAAAGGCGTAACCATTACAAGAATCAGAGAGCACAAAATAACTCTCCAAAAATGTACTTCAATGCATTATATAAAATGAGGGAAGAATTCTATCACTGTATTTTGTTGCTAGAGGTTTCATTTGTGCTACTGCTAGTTGGTTTTACTGTATATTTTGGCATCATTCTAGTTGTATGGAAGCTTGATTATATTTTAAGAAAAGTGAGATAGAAGATTAAATAAACATGGACACAACACCATATGCTGGTTACTACTGAAGGCATCAAATAGATGACTCTCCATCATCAGTGAGGAATAGCAAGCTAGCACTACAGTATGCTGATAATGAACAAAATAGCACAGTGATCCATAAACTGTGCTCCATGGACAGCTTTCAGGTGGTCTGTGAAATGGCACCCAAAATAAAGAGGTAAATTTAGGCCTTTCCAGAACAAACAATGACAAATACTTTTAAGCATTACTAGCTAGTGACTGGGCAGTGATAGAGTCATGAATGTTCTGTCACTGAAATTCTGTCAGGCAAGAAGTTACAACTCAAAGTTCTTCTCCACCCCCAATGTACAGCTTCACTTCAAAGAAATTGTGTCACAACTTTCAGGAAGTTTTCTACATAATGTATGCAATTACGGTGGTCTTCAAAGGATAGTTTAATCTATTATAATAGCACTGTTAAGAATTACTACTACACAGCATTTGAGGGCTGATGCAAACATTTTCCCAGCAGTGCAAGGGGTGTTCCTATAAGGCTGAATTCTGGCTGCATCTGCATCATACCTCGGGTTACGAACGCTGCGGGTTGCACGTTTTTGGTTTGTGGACCACACCAAACCTGGAAGTACCAGAACGGGTTTTGGTGCTCGCACATGCACAGAAGCGCCAAATTGCATCATGCGCGTGCGCAGATGCGGTGCTGCGGGTTGCGAACGCTGCAGGTTGTGAACGTGCCTCCCGCATGGATCATGTTCGTAACCCGAGGTATGACTGTATATGCAGTAATCATGTGGCTCATGCAACTGGGGAAAAAACCAGGAATAGACTGCAGTTCACATGTCAATCACTCATTTGACCGTTTAATCACAAATTTGTCCAAAGGTCTGAAATGGCATTGGGGGGTAGAATCAAGCTCTCCTGTGGAGACAGCTGCAACTTCAAATGATTTGAACTTTTCATTTTAAACTTTACATCTTAAATGAACCTTCACCACGTGGCTGTTAGGTGAGCAGTGGTCCATAGAAAGGGTTAAACAAAAATCCACAAAACTGCACACAGGTACGTGAATTATCCAATTCCATATACAAGCTGCGAGACATATTTGTGCAACTGCACTCAGGAGACATGGCTTGGGGGATCCATGCCAGCTGAGCATGCTGAACCAACCCAAAGTCCTAAACAGATTACCGGAGGTTTGGTTTGGGCTGAAGAGAAATGGCATCCTGCGACTGTTCAGGGGGTGGAAGAGAGGGAGACAGGCTGGTTCACCATCACTTTGCTACCTAAATGATTCTGGGTGAGGAAGTGTGGATTTGGCTCCCCCTCTAACAATCAGTATATTGTGGGATGTGAGGCAAATATTCTTCACGCTCTTTTCCTCCCGTTCAACAATTCTTTGGTGGCTCCCACTCATTAGTAAGTCTTTTTACTCCTAACGAGTTCAGCAAGTGCTTCCACAAATCTTCCTAACTGGAGATGTGTAAGAGCAAAGAGAGATGTTTACAAGCTCAATTATCTCAATATTATTAATTTTAATTTAATTTTATTTTTAATACCACCCTATACTCGCAGTTATCAGGGTGGTTCACAAGATAAAATCACTATATAAAAACACAAAGTACATAATAAAAATTAAAACCACCACCACAACAATCCAATAATCCCCCCGCAACACATTTTAAAAGGGTATCAGATGTCAATCAGCCAAAGGTCTGGTTAAAGAGGAACATTTTTAGCGGGTGCAAAAAATGTACAATGAAGGCACCAGCCTAACCTCCCTAGGGAGAACATTCTGCAAATGGGGAGTCACTGCAGAAGAGGCCTCTACTTGTGTTGCCATCCTCCAGACCTCTCGTGAATACCAAGTTGACACACATGACACCGGCAAGGATGACATTCTCTAACTTGTGCCTGGAGCTTACAAAACTACTTACCATTGCTATATCTAAGAGAAAGATTTGCAGAAAGAAAGAGGTGGCACTGCTAGCAGCCTGGTTTGGAGCACCTCCAATGCCATAGCACAATTTGCTGCACACCGAAAGCTTGTCCTCATTGCTGAGCTGAAAAGGCGAAAAGACAGGCCAAGATCAAGTACAGAAAGAGTGGCGATCAAATTTCAAAAAGTTATGAATAGATTCCAACCGCTTGCTTGCTCTCTCTCTCTCTCTCATTAGAATTTATCTGCTCACCTAAAAAATAATTGACAGAGAAACAATAGGTCTGAATCACTTTTAATCAGGAGCCCACAAATATGGTTGCCATGGCGATCAACTGTGCACTGCAGCTCCTAGCCATAAGAAGGAATTTGTCTGCCCTTTTTTGTTTGTAAAGGAAATGTTTAAAATAAATTTGCCAGACCAGACTCTCCTACTGTCACTAATCTCGCCACATCCATTTCTGTGCCACCCCTTGCTGAACAGAAGCAGCACTGTTTTCAAACAGGGTTTTTAAAAAATAATAATGAAAATAGTGGCAATTGCAAACCCTAATGCATATATTTAGTTTGTGTCTTTTTGAAACATTGTTAACAAGGAACTATACATAGACGGGGTTATTTTGAGCTACTGATTTCAAAATCTGCCAGTCCCATGTTGTTGCTGTTTCATTATCAGAAAGGACCAGGATTGAACCAGCAGGAGTTTGAAAAGAATGAAAAAGAACTACAAAACATGGGACTCAGAGATAAAGCTACAGGCTGGCCTAATCAATGAGAAATGAGCACTGGAAATTTTGACAAACTCTCTGAAATTATCTTGTGAGCATTAGTCGGTTTCATGCTTTCCAGCCTTCTAAAATCCAACCATTTTCCATTCTCTTTGCATGTACAGTACTTGTTGGAATCCACAGAATTTCCAGTGTTCCATTCCTTCCTCGTCTTTATTTATCTATTTCATTGTTCTAAGGAACAAACTGGCTTATTGATGGATTAACTAAGTGGTTCTCAAACTTTTTTCTCTGGGCCACCCTTTTAGAATAAAAATTTGCTTGCAGTTTTTTTATTGATAAGAAATAAATTGGGAAACAACTAGGAATGGCCTCAGTATCACATGATGCTCTTGATGCATTCAGTAATACTGCATTGCACACAACACTCCTAGAATTGTACTATTTCAGGGACAACGCTTTTCCAGGTACTAGACCTAGCATTCAGTGCTGCTAAATAAATATTGAAGCACACCTGCTGTATCCAGCTCCTTCCGTCTCTGAACAGTGAAAGCAGGAGGGAGTAATAGGCAACAGGACACAGTGGGAAGGACCATTGGTGGTGTGGAGAAAACATACTAGCCAAGAGGAATGTTGTCGGGGGAGGAGAAATAATTGTATCTGAGTTAGTTTTACTGTTGTACCTTGGATTTCAAATGCCTTGGCTCCCGAACAAATTGGCTCCCGCACGATCGAAACCCAGGAGTGAGTGTTCTGGTTTTCGAAGGATTTTCGGAAGCTGAATGTCCGGCACGGCTTCCGTGGCTTCCAATTGGCTGCTGAATGTTTCTGCAGCCAATTGGAAGCCGTGCCTTGGTTTTCGAACAGTTCCGGAAGTCAAATGGACTCCCAGAACGCATTCTGTTCCAGAACCAAGGTACAACTGTAATTTGCTTTAAGGATTATTTTGAATTAAAAGGTGGGGTAAAGTTAATAAATAAACAAATAAATATATTTTTTTGCAAGAAAACAATTGAATACAATATCTTTTGAAAAAATTGTACATTTTGCAAGGAGTGATGCTTTTTATATTAAGTTGTTTGCTCAATATTCGCTTCATTTGGAAGTAACCAGAGCATATTTTAGGCTGCAGTCTGATGCACATTTATCTGTCCCAATAAACTCATTGAGGCTTATTCTGAGTAAAATGTACAGGATCGCATTGTAAGGAAAGTGCAGGTTTTGTACTCCAAGACTTTTTCTTCACATTCTCTCACCTACTCATTGAATGAAAGCAAGACATTTAAAAGCCACTCGCTCTCCTTGCCCCACATTCTTCTTCTTCTTTTTCTTCTTCTTCACCTTTACTTTTCTCTAAGTTTGCAAGGGTTTGGATTATGGGTGTGTGATGGTTTATCACAGAAGAATGGGCTATTCTGTAGATGCATATTGTTTGTATTGCAATGTTAAACCAAAAAATCAAATAAGGTTTACATTTTTAAAACAGGCACCTATCTATAATATTTTGCAATTAATTTAATTTACAGAATGCAGTATTTTAAATTCAACTGGAGTTTCACGCCGTGTGATCTTTTTGTTTTGTTCATTCTTATTCTTAAAACTTCTCTCTATACTCAGAAAAACCTTACGCAGCCTTCACAATAGGTTAGCTACCACTTCATAAATCAGTTGGTTCACATTGATGGTAAAAAAAGGCTTCCCCACTCCTGCTCTTTCCTTACACGTTTTGAGTGACAAGAAAAACTATATTATTATTATTATTATAATATTATTATTATTACCCTTTATCCATAAATGTCAGAGTAGTTCAGAGCATTTTGAATACCGATCAAGAAAGTCAATAACCTCCGCTGGCTTAATTTAACCTTGAAGTTGTGATCTTCAGAATGACATGTGAAGCTATGTTTTTGTGAAGAAAGAGATGTGGGAAATTTTATTATTATTATTATTATTATTATTATTATTATTATTATTATTATTATTATTATTAACCTTCATCCGTAGATGTCAGAGCGGTTCAGAGCATTTTGAATACCCAGCAAGAAAGTCAATTACTTCTTTCTGGCTTAATTTAAGCTTGAGGTCGTGATCTTCAGAATGACACATGAAGCTACATTTTTCTGAAGAAAGAGATGCGGGGAATTACTATTACTGTATTATTATTATTATTATTATTAGGCCCGCCTTTATCCCTGACGGGACTCCAGGCGGCTTACGGGTTAAACAAAAACAAGTCTTGCCCCCGGGTTAAATTAAGTAAAAGCACTTGATGGTGAGACTTCGCGGTGTTCCCTGCCTCGACGTGGTGTTTTTTTCCCCGAGGGACGGACGAAAGCGCAGGCAGCAATCCCCTCGGGGCGTCCCGGCCAGGCGAGGGAGCCGGGACGCCGCTCCGTGTGGAAGAAGGGAATTTTCTGGACCCACCTGTTCGTCGCCAGCTCCCTCCAGCCTCGGCTCGGGCAGCAGCGCGCCGCTAATTCTCGCGCCGGCCGTCGCGCCGGCCATCGCGGCGGCGGCAACGGCAGCCCTTCGACAGCGGAGCCCCGCGGGCTGTGGTTCGCCCAGGGGCGGGGCCGCCCGCCCGGCGCTCTAGCCTCCCTTCGCCCGGGCGGGCAGGGAGAGAAGCGGCCCACCGGGCGGCCCCTCGCCGCTCAGCATCGACCCAGAAGAACCGCCGCCGGCGGCGGCCCTGGCCAAGTTGGCTTCTCCGCGGCCCATGAGGCGCGCGTCCCTTTCCCGCCCCCTCCAGTTCCTCAGAGCCCACCCGGTGCTCAAAAAAAAAAAAAAGCCTCTGTGTAACTCAGTCTGCAACCCCCAAGTGCTCCCTGCCTCCGTGAACCGCCCTGAGACTTCCGGGGTATAGGGAGGTATATAAGTTCAATAAATAAATATGAAATCGAATGCTGTGGGGCTCGCTTCCGCGCCCAACGTCCGAATGGAGTTTAGACGCCTCTGCGTGTTTTCTACACGGATGAACTGCCTCAACTCGGTTCCTCTGGTGTGGACTTGGGTCACATCCGTTGGATTCCTTTATTTTCTTGTATATAATTTTATTAAGTTTTCTGTTTTACAGTTTAAAATACCGTACTCATTTGACATCCTTAAAATACCAATGGTTTCCCTTCTTCTCTTTCCATGGTTCATTTTAACATATCATAAATCCCAGCGTGTTTTACAAAAACTATGCCATCATCGCATCCATCAAAACTTGTTTACACTGTTGAATTTATCTTAATGCTGCCAGCGTTTTCAGCTGCCAACACAATTATTTCCCACATATTCAATAAACGTTTTCCAATCTTCTTTAAAAGCGTTTTCTTTGTGTTCTCTTATTCTGTATGTTAAGTCTGCAAGTTGTGTCTATTCTGTCAACTTAAATTGTCATTCTTCAGTTGGGACCTCGCTCGCTTTCCACCCGTTGGCTTCCTTTAAACCTTTTCTCTCTCAAACAATTCTGAACTACAAGGGCCCACATTTATACTGACGTGTATAAAACCCCTGAGCTTTGTGTTTACAACAGAAACTTAAGGACCCTGAGCATGGCGTTCAAACAGAATTGCTGGCAAAAGATGTGTAGAGGCCAATCTTTCTGGGCTAAACTGGGTATTTACACCTCCTATCCTCCAAGGCATCTCCTATCCTCCAAGACAAGGCATCTTCCAGGGTTACGTCTCTCCTCTCATTTTGTCCTCACAAGCCTGCAAAGTAGGCTAGTCTGAAAGGACAAAGTCTTCAGATCATCCAATAAGCTTCATGGCTGAGGTCAGAGGGTTTTGGACATGGGCCTGTGCTGTCTCGCTCCAGCAATCTCATAAACGCTATATACCAGGGATGCCAAGTTTTTGCATTGGAAAAGATTCAGCCCATTATTTATAGCGCTGTGCTGTTAAGTTACCATCAGAAACCCCTGAACCTCCCCAGCAGCACCTATCAGATTTTACCACGGCAAAAAAGACTGATACTGATGGACTGGAAGAATAAAAATGGGGTTCCCTTGTACGACTGAACTGAAGATTTACACAAACTCCCAACATATGAGCGACTTGCATATAAATGCAGACTTGCCATGGACAAATTCAACATTTGGAATCCATTCTTACTAATACTGTATTAAGTTAAGATCTTGTTAAGTACAGTAACAATTGTAAAGTATAGAGTTTGGGGTCCCCCCCCTTTACTTTCCCTTCTACACGGGTGCTCTTTCTTTCTCTCTCTTTTATTTACATCTCACCATGTTTAGTGCGGACGCGGGTGGCGCTGTGGAGGACGCGGGTGGCGCTGTGGGTTAAAGCCTCAGCGCCTAGGACTTGCCGATCGAAAGGTCGGCGGTTCGAATCCCCGCGGTGGGGTGCGCTCCCGCTGCTTGGTCCCAGCGCCTGCCAACCTAGCAGTTCGAAAGCACCCCCGGGTGCAAGTAGATAAATAGGGACCGCTTACTAGCGGGAAGGTAAACGGCGTTCCGTGTGCTGCGCTGGCTTGCCAGATGCAGCTTGTCACGCTGGCCACGTGACCCGGAAGTGTCTCCGGACAGCGCTGGCCCCCGGCCTATAGAGTGAGATGGGCGCACAACCCTAGAGTCTGTCAAGACTGGCCCGTATGGGCAGGGGTACCTTTACCTTTTTATGTTTAGTGCACATATAATTATGTACTTTTAACTTTCAATAAAGATGTCTGATAATTTTTTATTTTGTTTAAAGACGTATCAAATTTTAAGCCATGTGTGAATTACAAGGACAAAATATAGCCAAAGACAATTCAGGCTTGAAACAGTGCTTTTAATAGTATTCATTCCACCACCCTCTCAAAAAACAACCACCCAACAACTTTTATAAATACAAATAGTTCTACAAATAGCCCCCTATTAATATTGTGCCTCATCTTTCCAGTTCGGTACTGTGCTGGAAATATGTTTCAAAGTAAAATCTTCATATTGTGCTTAAAATCATAACAAATGAAGAGTTTAAACTGCATCCAGTCCAAAAATTGCAACTGCGACCTAAGCACACACCAGCTCCTTTTGAGAAGAAGCTTGCTTTGGTGATGGCATGCATAGTGATTGCGCTGTGTATCCTGCGTCTGTAGAATCCCATTTTCCAGTCTTCAACTCTCTGGATGCCACAGTTCTCTGGCTGCAAGCCTCTAACACACTTACCTGGGAGCAAGTCCCGTTGAACTTACTTTGGAAACAACATGTATGAGAGAGCACTGCACATTGCTATTTCTATGGTGATCTGAACAAATGGGTCTGTAAACAGGTTTGGGCTAACCATGGTTGACACAGCTAACCACAGTTGCCTCCAAAATTGAAAGGTGGTAGGAGAGTAATGCCTGCAGGATTGTGCTTGCCTGCTTTCCAGCTCAGCAAGTTAAAGCAATCCTTATGTCTCCTACCACTTTTTAAGAACTGTAACAGGAAGGTTATTGCCTATGCTAAGTCATTTCCCAGCAATTTTAAGAAATGCACTAATTAATTTGCTTTATCATCTAAAATTGAACGCCCAGCTTCTTGAAACAACACTGCTCATCTCTTATTACCAGGCCATTTTGACTTTGCTGCATATTATGATATTAAGGCACTAAGTTCAAACAAGTATTATTATACTGGAACACTATGAAACAGATACTGTACGTGTGATTTTCAACATACTGTAATATAAAGTTGATGTTGTTACTGGATTGGGTGTCCTACAGTTCAACGCATAGCTACGTAAAGGTATGCATATTAATTAACGTCGACAATTTGGTATCAATACATAACTTTTTTTCAGGGGAAAATACCATCTGGTTCTTTTAATACTTCAAAAAAGCAAATCCTTCTCGCATGAAGAAAAAACAATATTAGCAGGCACTTGCTTTCTTAGGATCTACGGTAAACAAGACACAACAATCAGTTGCTTTGAGAAATATATACAGCATTCCGTCTAGCAAAGAACAGAGAACACTATCCAGATTTTCTAATCACTAAAGCAATTAGTAGATTGGATAATTCTATATATTGTTCCATGCTTCACTAACAAAATATGCTGTTTCTACGAACAGTACAAGTGCATCATAGTAAACATACAAGAAGATTGAATATATAACTTTGTGCATGTGTGTTTGTATGTGTGTACACACACACACACACACACACACACACACACAAACATACATACTATGTATCAGGAGGGCCCATGAACACACTTGCAAACATCCTGGGCATCACACACTCTGCAACTTATACTATTGGCTACAATAGAATACTTCTTTCAAGCCTAATTTCAATGTGAGAGGGTAAGGGGAGAAGAACTGAAGGGCTCCATGGGTACTTGTGTACCCACCGCACTGGCAAATATAACACATGTCAGCATTTATTTTTTTTAGTGGTTTCGTGCAAATTTGGGTGAGCTTTTGTAATGAAAAACAAATGTCTTTGTGTGCATAAGGGCTGATTAACACAAGACGAAATATTCCACATGGAAGAAGTGTGTAAGACTTGTGCGAGGTTCCATCAGGTATAATGAGCAGACATGTCTATTTCACTGAAAGAGCATACAGATTGGAAGTCCCCATTAACGCACTCCAGCAAAACACATTTCCATTTTTATACAAAGAAGGTAACTGAGAAACTGTCAGAAATGCAATTTCTCCTATTAGTTCTTTGATTTTCTTTCAAAAGTGCAAATACAGTCAATACTGTTTAAAAGAAAATAAGGACTTTCAAAGAGAGATTTCTCTTAGAGATGGTGTTGACAATAACACTTAATGTCCATTAGTTACGGCTCTGTTTAATCTTTTAAAAAAATATATACAGAAAAAACATTATTGGGGTATGTGTTGAAATAAATAAATAAAAACCAGTTTAATGTTCCAAGAGGCTTTCAAACCTGAAGGCAATATAAATCTACATTCATGGCATTTAGAGCATTCCAGGTTAGCTTTCCTGAAATGAGCTAAAAATTTAATTACTCATCTCCCTGTACAAACTCCATGTCGGCTATGGTAATCAGATCAAACCCTGTTCTTATTTCCTTATTACAGAAAAAATGGCTAAGAGCAGAGTTTAGTCAGCTGAATAATCTGGAATGACTCACTCAGTGAAGTCAGAAAACGTGCATTCCTGATAATGTTTTGGTTTTAGTAAAAATGGTATACAAATATCTCAAATATAATAATAATAATAATAATAATAATAATAATAATAATAATACCATTTAAATGCTCCAGATATTTGGAGTCAGGGAAGGGAGATCCTTTGAGGCTAAGGCATGGTTAAATTACAGAGTGACCTTGTGAATGCATCCTAAAGTTTGGAGTACTAAACTGCAGTATCAGGTGAAAATTAAAACATCTCTTCTTGCATGCACAACAGAACTTCTCCTGCCTTTACTACCCCTCTATCCGCCACCAACATCTGCTGTAAACCTCTTCCACACAGCTGGATTCAGCAGAACATAAAGAACTTCTGCATGGGACAATTACACAGGTCATTCTCCTCACTCTTATTTAGAGTTTTTATAAGCCACTGGGAAAGACACCTGCAATTGGCCCTTGCATACGTTGCCATTGTGATGTGGCGTCTGGCTACAACATTTTCGAAATGCATGAATGTGTTCTGAGCTATGGCTGAACAAAACTGCACTCTTTTTCTCCAGCAAACAGAGGACTTCCCTGTCAATTCCTCTGCTCAGTGGTATCAGCGTGAGGCAGTTGACTACTGCACTAGGCTCCTTCTCTTGGTCATCAGGCAGAAGCCATTTTTTGACCAAGCCAAGCCCAATATTCAGGATGACACCTCAGCTGTAAGAAAACTTCCACTGCAGCTGACAATAAATCATCAACCCAACAGTATTAACAGCAGAAGAACTTTAACAGGTGAAAAATACAGTACAGTATATAGGCCTTCATCTAAAACAGAGTTGCATGGAGAACAAAAAAATAAAATAACTGTACCCAACAGTCATGAGGGGGAACTGTATGTCTGAAGAACCCTTTGACAGGTGGACTGCCCCACCAAGAATGGCAACTCACAGATAAGGCTGTTTCCCATCCTCCAGTAGTATCTGTGTGCGACAGTCTTAACAACCAGGATGCAGATAAGCAGCGCCCCCAAATGCGATTGCCACCTGTTTCTGACAAACATTCCTATAACTGGAAGATGAGAACTAACATCCTCGTTGTTCAGTGCCCTTCCTGCCAGAGTGGGATGGGGATAAAAGCTGCTCGAAATCAGGCAAATTCATCTTATAAAGATACATAAGCCTAAAACCCCCGAAAACACCTTAAAACTCTCCTCTGCTTCCGAATACGTCTGGTTGTATCTGCACTGTGGGCGGGAAGGTGAAGGTGAAGGTGAAGAAGAAGAAGAAGAAGTAGAAGAAGAAGAGGAGGAGGAGTTTGGATTTGATATCCCGCTTTATCACTACCTGAAGGAGTCTCAAAGCGGCTAACATTTTCCTTCCCCTTCCTCCCCCACAACAAACACTCTGTGAGGTGAGTGAGGCTGAGAGACTTCAAAGAAGTGTGACTGGCCCAAAGTCACCCAGCAGCTGCATGTTGAGGAGCGGAGACGCGAACCCGGTTCCCCAGATTACGAGTCTATCGCTCTTAACCACTACACCACACTGGCTCTGGTGAGACGCCATGGCTTGACTAGGACTAACATGGCTCTTTGTTTCCCAGACCTGTCTTCTTCAATGACCATTCCACCGGGTCATGAAGCAGCTGTGAAGAATTAATACCTGAATTTCTCTCTATCTCCTTACCATAGGGCAGAGGCTTTCAACCTTTCTGAGTCCGTGGCTCCTTTGACCAACTACATTCTTTCTGTGGCACCCCTATGGGGCTCAGGAGCCCAGTTAGGTCACCCCTTGCCTGCGGAGCTTCCAGCCTCTCCCTTTTTCGAACACCTTCCCTTGTGGAGGGCTCCCTCAGCCTCCTCTCCCCTTGGGAGTCCTCTGGGCAGCCGCTGCTGTCGCCCCTGGTCTCTGAGCTCCCCCCGCCCTGCCCCAAAGAGAGGTGCCTCTTCACACTGACTCATGGGACTTGCTTGTCCCCCTTGCTTGCTTACTCCAAGGCCACTTCAGCTCCTGGCACCCAGCACCCCCTGGACCAGCCCCATAGGCAACATTTGCCTGGGGAGTTTGTAGCCAGGGCTGCTGCAACAAACAGCTGTGCAAGACTTTGGGTGGCAGAGATGCGAGAGGGCATAAAAGCAGGGAGGGAAGGAAAGAGGGGCAGAGGCCAGTGTTGCCCATGGCACCCCTGACTATCATTCAAGGTAATTAATTAATTAATTAATTAATTAATAATAATAATAATAATAATGTTCTCTCCAGAGGAGGGGTGTAATCCAGCAACACCTGCATTCTAACGCTTAAAAAGCAACATGCCCAGATAAGCCCATGCCAAATACATCTGATGGTTTTAAGACAAGCTTCAAGGTGAAAACGTGTTCCTTTTATTCAGTGAGACTATTCAGTTGTGACACGGTACGATCGCACAATGAGAACGTACCATTTCATAATGCATGTGTGATTAGTTGTGGGAAAGTGCCCACAAAGCTTCCTGACTTGTGGCAAACTTACAGCTGAACTTTTGAATACATACTTCTCAAGACAATTGGTTGTTCATCTCATATACTTCCATCTCACTAGCTAAAACTACTATCCCAAGCACATGAGTGCAGAAGTTCTATTGATATCAGTGGAGTTCAGTTTCAAATAAATTTTTCAAGACTGAGCATAATGTATGGATCTAATGGCACAATACAAGATTAAGGCTGCAGTCCTACACTCACGTAAGTGTAAGCCCTGCAGAACTTTTACTTCTGAGTAGAGATGTATAGGATCGCATTGTAAGACATGAATCGGCAGATATGTTTTCAAGGAAGGTAGCAACTACTTCAAAATTTAGAAACTACTGCCTCAGATGTTAAAATTAGTTTTAGCTTTAAATGTTAATATTAGCCTCCCATAAATTTTGCACTGTGGCACTGAGGAAACAATAAAGCATATTGGGCTATAGCAGAAAGCAAGAATAGTATCAACTGGCAGTACCTTCAAAAAGCAAGGAGCATTTCCCTCCCCGTTTGTAACTAAAAGTGCGAACAAAAGCCTAGGCGTTTCTCTAGAATGCCCCTTTGCAAGACTATCACAGCTATCTAGCTGACAAAACACACAGCTTAAGATGGCTGGCCTGGTGAATTATTGCCCGTTATATTCTAGTTAGGTTGATTAATAGAAAAAGAGAGAGAATGCACTGGAGTCAATACAGCACATGCTATATGACTTTTCCAACAAGCGCTGCAGATGTTATACACCACACCACAAATATTGCTATTGATTTCTTTTGGGGGTTACATACACCTCCTGAGCTTTGGTAAAACAAACCCAGCCGAGCAATTGTTTGGTGGGTACCATCTGCTTCTTCTCCAAGACTCCACCGCTAATGTATCTTAGGCAATCTTCAGAAAGGATGCTAGGACAAACTCTGAAAAGGCTCGCCATTTTTTTTAAGTCTCTGAACAACAACAGCATTTTTTAAATTAGCCTCCTCTAAGGTGAGAGATTCGTTCAGCAGCTCGTGAAAAGGAAGCGATGTGGTCAGCGTGAAAGGACTTCTTCCTTGATGTCCTTGGTAATTTGCTATGAAGTCTCTGACGTGCCATATTCTAGGAAGAAAAGCATATATATATATTTTTAAGTCTGTGGGTGGTATTCAACAAAGTTCTACTCATCGAGTCAACATATTAAAATTAACGAGCACGACAAAGTTAGGTCTGTAAATTTCAACAGGTCTACAATGGTAAAAACCAAGCTGAATACCACCGTTATTTTGAATCATTTAGGGTACAAATACAGTAAGGAAAGGGTGGTTCAGGGAAACAAGTTTTTGACAGAACACTTATATTGCCCAGTGAGTGGCATGTCCACTCAGAATCTGGTTTGTGTCAACTCAGCCTCCTTCACTGCTAGGTTAAGTGTGCAAAATGTTTATGAGAATAAATTCATTAAACATTTGCCAGTTGGTTCAATTGAAGACAGAAGCTCTTATCTTTTGCAATTCTCATAAACTATCCAAACTGGTATGTAAACAGCTTAGAGATTTCTTCTTTCTTCTTCTTCTGTTTCTTCTTCTTCTTCTTCACTTTATAAATTTTGTAAAATAAATAAATAAATAAATAATCCAAATTAACTAAGCTGCATACTGATGGATTTTACTGTAGAGCTGCTAGTGTCGCTCTTTGAGAATATGCCCAACCATTAATAGCAAGAAGGATAATCCTTTATCACACTCAAATCTATAGATTACCCTTCCCATATAAACAAAATTTTGCCACTGTTTTATGCACAATAATCCAATAGGAAATGTAATAACGTGTTTAACCTAAAGTAGACAAAGTGCTTTTCTTCAGAGCCTCTTCAAACTTTCAAATAGGCTGATCCTACGCATGTTTATTCAGAAATCATTCCCAGTAGGTTCAACAGGACTCTCTACGTATGCATGCACAGAACTTCATACCAAAGTAACTAAACTAAACCAGAGAAATAATAGGAACAGGAGACAAGGGGAATGTTTTGTTCTGTCTGCAGTAGAGAAGAGAATTCTGTCCATCCAGAATTTTCATTGTTAATAAACATATGTCTTCTGGTACAACGAATGCTTGCAATCAGGGATATCTGTTCATATAGTACCCCCTTCCTTATCCTGCAATACTTGTAAGATGACAATAGAGGGTGTTCTGGTGATCTGAACAAAATGATGAAATGATTGATGGCAAGGCAAAGCACTGCTACACCTTATGTGAAACTATGTAAAAACAAGTTTTTGGTGTTATGAAACCAAGAAAGCAGGGTTTACAACACTGGATATAACCAGAACATTGAAAAATATATGATTCTAAGCTGTCACAAATCCAAAGACTTTGTGCTAACTGGCCAGCAGAAAACAAAACAGTAAAGGTAAAGGGACCCCTGACCATTAGGTCCGGTTGTGACTGACTCTGGGGTTTCAGCACTCATCTCACTTTATTGGCCGAGGGAGCCGGCGTACAGCTTCCGGGTCATGTGGCCAGCATGACTAAGCCGCTTCTGGCGAACCAGAGCAGCGCACGGAAACGCTGTTTATCTTCCTGCTGGAGTGGTACCTATTTATCTACTTGCACTTTGACGTGCTTTCGAACTGCTAGGTTGGCAGGAGCAGGGACCGAGCAACGGGAGCTCACCCCATCGTGGGGATTCGAACCACCGAAAACAAAACAGTACTGTACTACAAATTTTCATTTTGAAAACGATCATGTTTGGGACTTAAGAAAAATGGTATTAAGTCAAAACTAAATGTCTGGTCTCGATGACTTCATTCTGAAAACCCAGATAGATCTGAGATTCTTTCAATGGAATTCTTTCCATGTTACAATCTCTTCCTCTGTAAGCCTATATGAACATTTACCTGGGAGTCCCGTTGAACTCAACAGAGTATAATTCTAAATAGACATGTACAGGATTGCATTGCACTTGTAAGGGTGTGTGTTAATACGGTCGGTTCTTACCTATGAGAAATATTAAAGTTTTGTACTATCCTTGTTCCATCTGCTAGCCAGATCTGGATACTAGTAATGGGTTCTGAATGATTTAATACCACTGTTGGTTTTTTCTTTTCAATTTCTTCTACATCACTTTTTACTTTAGAAATTATTCTTGGTGTGGCACTGCAAAGTAAAAGAAAACAACATGAACTCAAACAAGGTAATATCACTTCTCCAAGAAGGGTCAGGCCACACACTGGCTAGTCTTATTTTCTGATGACTTCAAAATGCTTCTAAAGGCTAGATAGCTTTAATCCCATCAACAACAAATAGATTAAACAACAGCATTTTCACTACATCCTTAAAGGATGTTTAAATTAAAAGCAGACAGAATTTTTCAATCTATTTGGTAACATAAAAAAGTGCATTTGAGGCTGGCAGAATAACTCAAGAATAAGCATGTAAAAACTGCTATCTCATTAAAATCCCTGTTCTGCTTTTAAGCTAGTAGGCACTCTACTATTCCAGTTCCCTCTTCAAGGGAGCAGTGATTTATAATTTGCTTCCGAGCTACGTTTCTGAGCACAATTCAAAGTGTTGGTGCTGACCTTTAAAGCCCTAAACGGCCTCGGTCCAGTATACCTGAAGGAGCGTCTCCACCCCCATCATTCTGCCCGGACGCTGAGGTCCAGTGCCGAGGGCCTTCTGGCAGTTCCCTCATTGCGAGAAGCAAAGCTACAGGGAACCAGGCAGAGGGCCTTCTCGGTAGTGGCGCCCGCCCTGTGGAACGCCCTTCCAGCAGATGTCAAAGCGATAAACAACTACCTGACATTCAGAAGACATCTTAAGTTCAGGGAAGTTTTTAACGTGTGATTTTACTGTATTTTTGGTTTCTATGGAAGCCGCCCAGAGTGGCTGGGGAGGCCCAGCCAGATGGGCGGGGTATAAATAATAAATTATTATTATTATTATTATTATTATTATTATTATTATTATTATTATTATTTTGTGGCTTTATTGTTTGAAATAGATTCTCATTCTACCTTATCATGGACTTTATTTGTATTTTTACTGGAAAGACAGAGCTATCACTATTTTAAATCAATCAATTATAATATACACAAGAATCTGAATGGCAAAATTATGCATAAGAAAAAACAATTTCTAGAAAATAGAATAAGCTCTATCAATTGATAAGATTGTGTCTACCCATCAACACCTCCCGAAACTTCCTCACCATACAAACTTCATTTTTAATGGAAAGCATGGGACAGGTTCGCACATGTATGGTGGAGCCAACCTGTTGCCTTGTACATGTAATGGCAGAGGACTATTTCCTAATCAGAAGTAATTATTTTGGCCGGCATCTCCTCCCCCACTATAGGTCACACCTGTGACATATTTACAATGGGACACAGTCCCAATGGATCAGCATAAGGGATTCCCCCCCACAAGTGACCTGGTCTGGATAGGGTTCAATATCTTCCCAACAACAATGGCTAGTCAGATAAACTGGTCGGGTTAACACGGCTAATTAAATATTGTCAGAACAGCAGGACCGATTAGGCATCCTAATGAACTCTTGCCCTGCATTGGTGAAAGGGAATTTGCACAGTAGTGATTGATAAAGGAGCAGTTCCGTTGCTACGGTTGTTGCTATAGCAGTTTCTACATTTACTGTTCTTTTTGGCATCAATCCTGTACTCACTTTACTGGGAATATGCCTCATTGGACTCAGCAGGACTTGCTTCTGAATAGATGTTTAGAATTAGACAGTTAACATCATTACTAATGATTTGTTAGTTGCTGGTGAGGTAAAACCAGGCAGAGGGCCTTCTCGGTAGTGGCGCCCCGCCCTGTGGAACGCCCTCCCATCAGATGTCAAGGGAATAAACAACTACAGTGGTACCTCTAGTTACGAACTTAATTCGTTCTGGAGGTCTGTTCTTAACCTGAAACTGTTCTTAACTAGAGGCGTGCTTTCACTAATGGGGCCTCTTGCTGCCGCCGTGCCGCCAGCACACAATTTCCGTTCTCAACCTGGGGCAAAGTTCTCAACTCGAGGTAACTCTTCCAGGCTAGTGGAGTTTGTAACATGAAGCGTTTGTAACCTGAGGCATTTGTAACTTGAGGTACCACTGTATCTGACTTTTAGAAGATATCTGAAGGCAGCCGTGTTTAGGGAAGTTTTTAACGTTGGTTGTTTTATTGTGTTTTTAATATTCTGTTGGGAGCTGCCCAGAGTGGCTGTAAAAACCCAGCCAGAGAGGTAAGGTATAAGTTGTTGTTGTTGTTGTTGTTGTTGTTGTTGTTGTTGTTGTTACCCTGTGCTGGTCTAAACCGACTGCAGCAGTAGCCACCGTAAGAGGGCTACATGTTAAAGCAAGTTGCCTGTCTCTCCTTTACAAGTTATAATCAAAATCCTGAGAGGCAGGCTAAACCTATGGAAAAACCCTGTTGATATTGTAATCCTATGCATGTCTACTCTGAAGTAAGCCCCGCTGAGTACTCCCAGAAAAGTGAGTATTGGATTGCAGTCTCAAAGAAAGAAGCAAGAGCAACAACCTTAATTATTTTCCCAAACCGTTTTTCAGTTTTATAGAAACACCAGGCTCTTCACCTTCCTAATCTGTAGCCTTGTCCAGAGAAAGGATGGAACGGTGGCTTCCTCAAAGCATACACCTCGTTCTTCTTATCGTCTACCTTAATGTCCACCTCTTCTTTATCACAAATCTTCTGCAACTCAAGAGGCAGCTCCCTGTAAAATAAACATAGAAAAAGTTCCTATGCGTGTGGAAAATGATATTTTAAAGATTTTAGTTGAAAGGAAAAATGATAGCCACTATTATAGGAATTCTAAGGTCTCAAATATAGAATAGATGTTGATAATTGCAGAAGGTAAACACACATACATAAGTAAGTATATAAACCACGTGTAAAATAGTACAGGAGAGCAATCCAAAAGCCACCTTCGCTCTTCTAAGGGCACTAAATATTTCCTCTGCCTCCTTAATCTCCCTTGCCTGAGAACAGATAGCAATCAGGGGAAATTCCTGAAAGGATTCCTCTCTTATATCTTTGAACCTCTTTTGTATTAATTGTCATTGTTTGCTTTGCACTGAGGGATGTCCAAACAGCATCCTGATTGTCTAATCAAATTGCTGATGTTTTGTGTAAATTGTGTCTGGAACTATGTGAAACTCGCTAAATCCTCAGGAATATCACACCTAGGCCTGCCTGAGCCACAGTTAACACCACCTTATGTGTGATGGAATTTCTGACTGTTTGTAGAGGGGATGCCCTTCTTCTCCGTGCCAAAATGCAAACCCTTAGAAGAGATGTTTCTTCTTGGTTCTGGGTCTCTCTTGCCTCCTTGCTAGGAGGGAGGGAACTCTGTTGCAACAGAAAAATAAAGATCTGCCTTGCTTTCACTGCATCCTGCCTCCAAAAATTCATTTCTGACTGACCGATCATGGACTTAGCCAACCAACCCTATTTTTCTATATCACCACAATTACGTAAGAGCAACAACATAGGCCATGGTTTATGGCAAACATGGGCTCATGGTTTGTCCCCTTCAGACAAACTATGAGCTATAACCATGGCTTATTCTTGGGTTCACAGTTCACAGTCTGTCTGGAGCAAGCCCAGGTTCACACATTACACTAATCCTGGAGTAGGGAACTGTCCAGGCACACAGCAGGCATTCTCAGAGTTCAATAACATATTTCAACCAGGCAAAAACATCCATGGGGGCTGTGAAGGCGGGACAGTGAATGGCATGACCTAGGGAGGGGTGCATGTGGCTGGGGAGGTGGTATGGTCTAGGAAAAATCCCAAGGTCCAAATTTGGAAAGCTGCATTTGCCTCCCAGGCCTCCTCATCTCTGTGCTAAGCCAGAGCAGAAACAAAGCTGTGCTTGTGCTATTTGGCTCAACATACAAAGCTGACTTGCCCTTTTTTAATCGAGTCCAAGAAACGCTTGTTTGCAACATCTGTGTAGCTTCGGAGCTCGCCATCATTCACCGTGAACCCATTTTTCCATAATTTAATTGTTGTATCAACCTGCAAAGCAAAATAAACTCAAATGAGCATTATGTCACAACAAGCAAGCAGCAGGTTCATAAAACATATCCAAATAAAACAGAGGAGAGTTGCACAGGTAGCAGCCTTATGTCAAGTCATTCATTGGCCCACCAGCTCAGGGTTCATTTACAATGACTGGGCAGTGACTCCCCAGGGATTCAGACAGGGCCCTTTCCCACCCCCTTCCCAGAGATACCAGGAATTGCACTGGGGAACATTTGTATGCAGAACATTTGCTCAGCTATTGGCTTTGCAACAATTGAACCTAGACCAATCTATGCGAGTGCTGTCACCAACAAGGAATGAGTTGGTTTTTAGTATGCACTGGGACTAGAAAATCATACCAGAACATCTGGATCTGCAGATTTGGAAAATAAAGGGCATGGATATGGGGACACACACACATATATATTCCACCCCCCCTTTCCTTATCTTTGTTGCTTGCATTCTGGGTGGGTGGTAGATTTCAAGGGGTGGGTGGGTCCTCTGGAGAGAACAGTTTAGCTGTCTCTTAGTGCAGACTCAAGGGACGCGCTGTGGGTTAAACCACAGAGCCTAGGGCTTGCTGATCAGAAGGTCGGCGGTTCGAATCCCCACAACGGGGTGAGCTCCCGTTGCTCAGTCCCTGCTCCTGCCAACTTAGCAGTTCGAAAGCATGCAGTGCAAGTACATAAATAGGTACCGCTCTGGTGGAAAGGTAAACGGCGTTTCCGTGCGCTGCTCTGGTTCACCAGAAGCGGCTTAGTCATGCTGGCCACATGACCCAGAAGCTGTACGCCGGCTCCCTTGGCCAGTAAAGCGAGATGAGCGCCGCAACCCCAGAGTCGTCTGCGAACTACACCTAACAGTCAGGGGTCCCTTTGCCTTTAGTGCCGTCTCAAGTCATTGAGACTGACCTTCCACAGCCACTGCTGCGCTGAACCAGGATTTGGCAGCAATAGCAGCGGATACGTTCTATTCTTATGATAAAACTTTATCCTCTTGCTAATTATGCTGTTTTAAATGTGCATTTTATATTTGACTTCCCATTAATTATGTTGCTTTGAATGTATACTAGAATTTGTTCAGTACAGAATAATGTTTTATTCTGGATGGTTTTGTTTGATATTTTAATGTAGGTTGTAAACCACATTGACCCCCCCCCCTTAAAATTATAATGCGGCATAGAAATGAAATTAAGAAGAAGAAGAAAAAGACAGCTTGTAGTACTGCATACGTTGAAAGAAAAACCTTAAACAAAATTGTACACAACTACTTAAACTCACATACTCTGTTTTTAACTTGAGACTGTTGCGTGCATACAGCTCCAAATTTCTGTGCTTCTTCAAAAAGTTCATCAATAAAAAGGTCACAGCCTTTCTGGTCTGCACCATCATGAATTTGGTCATCAGTTCTAGGTTTGCAAGCCCTGCAAAAAAAAGGAAAAGGGGGGGGGGAGCGGAAGGTGCATATGAAACACATTGCTTGACTTAAACCACATGTCTATTGGCCTGTCAGTTATGTTAAATCTGAACCAAACATTCTTGTAAGCATTCCAGAAAATTATGAGTGTGCACCTTGTCCTAAATACTGCGCAGTAAGATAGGATAGTGTTCGCGAAGCTACCAGCATGAGTTTGACCAAAGTGCGGGAGGCAGTGGAAGACAGGAGTGCCTGGCGTGCTCTGGTCCATGGGGTCACTCACGAAGAGTCGGACACGACTAAACGACTAAAAACAAACAAGATAGGAGTATCATAGATCAGGCCAGCCATAGAACAGGAGGCTCACAAATCCCTAAACACCAGCAACAGCTAGTTATATTTATTTGAAAGTATCTTCTGCTTAACAAGGCAGCCTCAGTAACGTACCTGGAATCAGAAAAACCACCTCCATCCTCCAAATCAGACGAGGTAGCTAACTTTTGGCACTTGCACTCTATAATGCCCCGCTCTGTAATACAAGTCGCCTTGTATTCTATAATGTCCCAGTTCAGATTTATAATTTTTGTTCTCAAAGCAAACTTAGTGGTGTTTCTGGTTATATTTCAGCCCAGCTACCAAGGCCAAATTTGGTAGGGTGGGGTGTGCGGTGGGGGAATTCATATGCAAAAGGAGTATGTACCTGTCCACGGGCTGCTTCCAAGTTAGAACCAGATTTAATGTGGCCTGGCAATTGGCTCATTTTGATATGAACAATCTAGATGTGCTTCACGTTCCTTTGTGAACTGCAAGTGTAGCTATCCTGGTGCATCGAATCTCACTTCACTGTGGCAGTCTATTACTTGTAGTAAGACAAGAGGACTAAATATGTGTCATTTTAATGGGCCCTAGTTTATTATCTCTTTATGTTTTCGAATGCAAGCCACCTTGAGTTTCTTTGAAAATCAAGCAGAGTACATATGTTATATATGAGGAGGGCAGGACTGTTAGCATGTGGTCCATAAGATCCTGCCTTGCTGCAGATTATACTAAACAATTCTCCAACCTTTCTCAACTTCTTCTCGTGTTTCAGTCTGCAGATTTATCTCCAGCTCCTTCTCTCTTATTTATAAAATATGGTCCCTGGTCTTTAGTCAAAAAATACTCTTTGGGTGACAACATTAGCAAGTAGAGATATCCTCCACAGTCAACTATCTAGTAACACTGTATTATGTTGTTATTGTTTAGTCGTTTCCCGACTCTTTGTGACCCCATGGACCAGAGCACACCTTTAGTTTAAGAACAGACCTAAACTAAGCATTACTGAAGGGTAGTCATGGTGTTTATATGTAATATATATGCGCACATTTTTTAAAACAACAACAACCCTGGAGCACATTTAATTACTGATCTTAATAATTCTAAATAATTAAAGAACTTAAGATGGTAATATAATATGAATGTCTGAAGTGGTCCATTTATACTTTATGCATAAACAAAGATCCACAATGCAAAAGCGAGTTAGACATTATACTGATTAACAACTCTATGGATAATTTACTTTACAGTGCAATCTTGTGTGTGTTTATTCAGAAGTCTGTTCCACTATGTTCAATGGGGCAGTAACAAACCCCTATGTTCTGATGCAGACCTACAGAGTATCTGGGATTCAGAAGTGCTCCCGAGGAAACCATGTTTTGGATTTTGTGTCCAATACATTTTCTCAGTTTCAAATGGTTTTATCTTCTCCTTAGGCAGAAAATAGGGTGAAGCCCCTTCTCTTTCTCCCTCTTCCAAAATAAACTTTTAATAGAATGACGTTTGGTTAAATTGGTTTTAAAAAAAATAATAATCTCAGCTTGACTCTGAGGCTTCCCAAATCTGCATGGTTTTTTTGCAAGAAGTCACCAGAAAAAAAAGCAGTCACTGCCAATGAGTCTCTGCGGCTGCCCTTGTTACATGTCCTGCCTGGCCTGCTCCTTTGGCTCCTTGTCAAAAGAGCATTTTCCTCCTGGGGTGGATCTTGAACCCTTGCCCCCAGGAGGTCTTTGCGCTCTCTCTGCAGACCCCCTGCCTTGGGAGCTATGTGTGTGCCACATTGTGGAGGCCAGCCTTTCTCAACCTTGGGTTCCCCAGATGTTGTTGGCCTACAACTCCCATCATCCCTAGCTAGCAAGGCCAGAGCTCAGGGATGATGGGAGTTGTAGTCCAACAACATCTGGGGACCCAAGGTTGAGAAACACTGGTATAGGCTCTCCTACCTCCCCTTTCTGTATTGGGTTCACAGAACAGCGGCTAGGAGGGCCACGGGTAGATTCCCACTGGGAATGCTGTGGCATTGTATGTTCTGCATGTTGTGGAGGAGGCAGGCTGTGACTGTTGTTTAGTTAAAAAGGGCCAAAGCTGCACTTACCCCAAGTTTCCAATAATTTATTTATTTCTATTACAGGCAAGTTACAGGGAACCAGGCAGACGGCCTTCTCAGTAGTGGCACCTGCCCTGTGGAACGCCCTCCCACCAGATGCCAAAGAGAAGAACAACTACCAGACTTTTAGAAGACATCTGAAGGCAGCCCTGCTTAGGGAAGCTTTTAACATTTAACACACCACTGTATTTTAATACTTTGTTGGAAGCCGCCCAGAGTGTCTGGGGAAACCCAGCCAGATGGGTGGGGTATAAATAATAAATTATTTATTTATTTATTATTTATTATTTTTATTATTATTAGGCAAAGAAAAGGGAAAGAAGCCCTATGCGGTGGTGTATCCAGCTAAATATTTCCACTAGTTCAATGTCTTCCGTGCACCACCCCTAAATATTTTCTGGGATTTCCTCCCACTCTTTGAAGCAGATTTAGGGGTTGTGCAGAGAGAGAAGAGGGCAGAGAACATACATTGTTCAGCTCCAAGTCCAACTATGCAACTGGATACCACCCATGATCTTTCACATTTACTTGCAAACATATACGCGCAATTACACAAAACATTTAAGAGAGCATTTAACGCTCCTAAAATATACTGTATAGGTACAAGTGCTGGGTGCGTGGGTGGGGGTGGGGTGGGAAAACCCATTCATCTGCTCCACAAACAAAAGCTGTTTTGGAAGGAAAATGTTGCTTTTGCAAAGCAAAAGATCAGAAGAGAGCAGCTTTGTTCTTTAACAGCAAGCTTACCTCGGCACTTTATTATAAAGGAGAAGGCTTAATAACGTGGCATGACAGAAGCCATAGCCCTCACTTCAGCCTGCAGCTGCAGCAGCTGTGTCCTTCAAGAGGAGAGGAAACCGTGAACAGGAAGCAAACTAGCCTGACAAAGCATTTAAGGCTCTGCAGGACAAAGGATTTTTAGAACACGCAATGTAGCCAACAGTAATAATTAAGGCCTTGTTCCAGCCAGGGCAGGTTGAGACTAACACGACTAGCAGCCTGTCTCGCCTGTCTCGCAAATTTAGATGTCATCGTATGGGCAGAGTAGCCAAATCATTCAAATGCCAGTGTTTCCCTTGGTCTAGAATCTAGATATATTTATATCAGTGGGCCGATCAGATGGACAGAACCTCTAGGCCTTCTTACGCCACACCTGGATCTGTCCGCTAGTCCCCAAGCACACCCCCAAATTCAGGTGTTACTCAGAGTAAGCCTACTGAAATTAATGGACCTAACTTAATTTCAATGGGTCTGCTGCTCTCATGGGGGCTTAGTTGGATACCACCAGAACTTTTTTTCTGGGGGGACGCAGGGGTACGCATACCCCTAAACATTTTGTGAATCTTTGTACTTTTGTCCATTTACTGTATTTATTTCCCCCGATTTGAACTATAAAATGGTGATTTTCTTGAGTCAAAATGACAGTACCCCTAACATTTTTTAAAGAAAAAAAAGCACTGGATACCATCCTTCAGCTTTCATTCAGGTACCCAATCTCTTCCCTGTAACAATTCCCCTCTCCCTCTTATTCTGTACACAAGCTCTTTCCCTAACAGAAAACCCCTCTCGCCTAGCCTTCCATGGTAATTATTGTGCTGTCAGTTCCCAAGTTCTCTATGCTATGGTTCATCTCTGCATGGGCTGGATCTTCAGTTCCCAGTTCTCATGAGTTGCTCCCACTGGTTAGGGGATGTCCTGAAGTAGAGGACCTTATGCATTATATCTTGCGCTGCCCCTTGTATCATGAAGCAAGAGAAAGATTTTTAGCACCTATAATGACAAGGTCCCCTGGCCAGAACCCCTCTGACATGATTTTATATCTCCTCGCAGACACAGATAAGCAAGTGACTTGGCGTGTAGTACTCTTTGCAACTGCCGCTAGGAAAACTAGAGCAAATTATGTAGCCAAGGTAGCCACCAACTGTAAAGGAGATGAATTTATTTGACCCTATCTACATCAAGCTATATTCTATTTTTATCACCAAACTCCGAATACAATTGCACATTGTATTAATTAACATTATTATTAATATATTAGTGGCCATGTGATAATTTTAGCTTATAAGACATTGTTTAATGTCTTAACTTGTATATTAAGGTACTTTTATAGCTCTGTTTAGAGTAGATAATGTCTTGATAATATAAATGTTTTAAGTTTTTTGTATCAATCCAGTATATTTTCTTTTAATTGTTGAATGATTCTGTGTACACTGCAGCAGTAAAACTATGTACAATAAAACTGACTGACTGACTGACTGCTCCCACTTGTGGAAGGTTGGGTAAAGTTAATTTATATTTATCCCTCTTTCCCTCAACAGCCCTACTGTAGATCTTCCATCGTGGAATAAAGACAGAGAGAGAGAGAGGGAGGGAGACTCCCCTATATGCCTGATGTATCTATGTCAGAATCTGTCTGGACTTTTGCCACCAGGGCAAAAAGCAACACTCCTCTGGAAGCACGACACGGACCAAATCAATAACAATGCCTGGGTCAGGGCCACAGCCGCCAGACAATTATTCCCAAGAACAGCTGGCTTGATAGCAATATGAAGCCCCCAGCGGATTTGTCCCTCAAAGTACGTGCCTCAAGAATCCGTTCCAACCTAAGCAATAATGGACCCCTAATTGCCCCACGGGTCACATCTCGACTCCATTACCAAAGGCTTATCTATTAATAAAAAATCAGTTTCGTTGTAAGACCGTATTTAAAAGGCATGAGATCACAAACAGCAAAAATGCAACGTAACCGAAAAATACCCACCATTCTTGTTTCAAAGTTTCAGACTTGTTGACTTCTTGCATTGTGCTGCACCTAGCATTGGGGTGAGAGAGAGAAAAATCGATAAAAGCCAAGCAACAGAGATTTTCTAGACTGAGTAAGATTTTGGAACCATTGAAGTAATTTGTTTGAAATACAGATTGCTTTTCCCACAAAGGTGTCCGATTCTTATGGAATTTGACAGGTGTTGACTTTAAAAAGAACAGGAAGACACTTATGGGTCCATGTGCTGGAACTACTCTGATAGTTAAGAAACCACCAAGTTCATTATTAATGTCAACCGTCCCTCCCAAAAACATTCCCAATCGTAGCTGGGCATGTGAGAGACTGGAACACAAATGAGTAGATTGTGTTCTTTTAGGACATGTGGAAATTGGGTAGGGGGCAGAGGAGGGTGCCAGGCAACTTGCTCCTAATAAAACCAATAATAGCATTAGATCCCACACAATGCACATACCATAAAGGGAGGCTTGCATGACTGGCAAATCCCAGAAAACTCCCACTGTACACTCAGGCAAGAAGCGATACGATTACCACACGTTTGGTTCATTGACACTGATAGACAACCGCGACTAGAGACAAAAATTCCCCGAAATACAGTGGTACCTCGCAAGACAAATGCCTCACAAGACGAAAAACTCACAAGACGAAAGGGTTTTTGGTTTTTTTAGTTGCTTCGCAAGACGGAAACGTCTTGCAAGTTTGTTTCCTTTTTCTTAACACCGTTAATACAGTTACGACTTGACTTCGAGGAGCAACTCATAGCACGCGGTGTGGTAGCCTTTTTTGAGGTTTTTGAAGACTTTGGTGATTTTTGAAGCTTTTCCAAAACTTTTCCGAAACCGTGCTTCGCAAGACGAAAAAATCGCAAGACGAAAAAACTCGTGGAACAAATTAATTTCGTCTTGCGAGGCACCACTGTATGTTCCAATGGAAAATATATATATATATTACTCCACCCAATATAATTGTTTCCCTCAGAAGTGGCGCCCACCCTGTGGGACACCCTCCCTTCAGATGTCAAGGAAATAAACAACTACAGTGGTACTTTGGTTCTCGAATTTAATCCGTTCCAGGAGTCCGTTTGACTCCCAAAACTGTTTGAAAACCAAGGCATGGCTTCCAATTGGCTGCAGGAACTTCCTGCAGTCAAGCGGAAGCCGTGTCGGATGTACGGCTTCCGAAAAACGTTCGCAAACCGGAACACTTACTTCCGTGTTTGCGGCATTCGGGAGCCGATTTGTTTGGGAGTCAAGCTGTTCGAGACTAAGGTACTTGTACCACTGTATCTGACTTTTAGAAGATATCTGAAGGCAGCCCTGTTTAGGGAAGTTTTTAATGTTTGGTGTTTTATCGTGCTTTTACTATTCTGCTGGGAGCTGCCCAGAGTGGCTGGGGAAACCCAGCCAAATGAGCAGGGTATAAATGATAACATTATTATTATTATTATTTATCATCATCATCATCCCTGACAAATGAATCTCAGTCGAGCAACTGGGCATATACAAGGAGAAATAAGAAGACGGTTGCTGTGATTCTTGCATTTCGAGGATTGACTCGATGACCTCTGGATTCCCTTCCAATGCTACAATTCTATGATTGTATGGTTATATGACCAAGAGCGTAGGGAGTGAAGTGTGCACAAAGCCAACTCTCTCATACACCCCTTAACACAACCATTCCTTTTTCAAGTGCAAACCACTGAGTGCCATTACAGTGGTACCTCGGGTTACATACGCTTCAGGTTATAGACTCCGCTAACCCAGAAATAGTATCTCAGGTTAAGAACTTTGCTTCAGGATGAGAACAGAAATTGCGCGGCAGCAGCGGGAGGTCCCATTAGCTAAAGTGGTGCTTCAGGTTAAGAACAGTTTCAGGTTCAGAACGGACCTCCGGAACGAATTAAGTACGTAACCAGAGGTACTGCTGTATTAATGTGCATCCCCCCTCCCTGCAAGTATCCATCCACTACAGTGGTGCCTCGCAAGACGAAATTAATCCGTTCCGCGAGTCTCTTCGTCTTGCGGTTTTTTCGTCTTGCGAAGCACGGCTATTAGCGGCTTAGCGGCTATTAGCGGCTCAGCGGCTATTAACGGCTTAGCGGCTTTAAGAAAAAGGAAACAAACTCGCAAGAAGTTTCGTCTTGCGAAGCAAGCCCATAGGGAAATTTGTCTTGCGGAACGACTCAAAAAACGGAAAACCCTTTCGTCTAGCGAGTTTTTCGCCTTGCGAGGCATTCGTCTTGCGGGGCACCACTGTACTCATAAATATCCTCTAATTCAGGGGTCAACAGTGTCTCCAGCGCCGATTGTGTGGTGGGCCAGAGAGCGCGTGCCCATACGCTATTTCCGGCGCACTTACAGGTCAGAGGAGCACCGGAAATAGCTTGTGTGCATGGGCCTCCTCCAACCCGGATGTGCACAGGAAATAACGCTTGCACATGCATACAAGCTATTTCTGGTCTCCCCTGACCCAGAAGTGGGCAGCTGCACAGCGCAGCGCTGGCAAGAGTGGGCAGCGGGCAGCGCTGCCGGCTGGATAAGAGTCCCTCAGGCCTTATCCAGCCCGTGGGCCTTAGTTTGGGGATCCTTGCTCTAACTAATGCCCTATGCATATGAGAAGCATGGATCCGCAAAGAGACCAAGAATTAAAAGTAGTGAGCTGCCAACCACACAGCCATGATATTGCTGTACTATCAGTGCCATCCTCTGTGCAAGTGTGTCTTGTCTGAGGGTGACACTATGATGAATAGGATAACTGCTCCTGTCTTTCTTGTTCTTTGAACATTAATATGTGTTAAGTTGCTGTTGCACAAGGATAAGCCATCAATTAGAGTCTGTCTGTGTAGCCAGCTGCAACAGCAGAACCAGCAGATTGGAATTGGCACTGTGTCCTTATATGTGACAGATATTATTTAAAATCAGTGTGCCAAGCTACACGGTATATAGGAGGTGTGTGGCCAGAACTCTCTTTTAAATGAAACGTAGCCATGGGTGGTTGCTGATTTGACCAAGAGGAAGGGGATGTTTCACTTACCGGTGCAGTTTTCTCCATCAAAACTGCCATCACCCCTTAAAGATTCTGTAGGTAAAACCATACATCTCCACTCATGGCAAACAGAAGCTCAGGTTTGGAATAAATCACCATCATCATAATATTGATAAAAGTATTTTATAACTCATAGGTGGGAAATGGTAGCATGAACCAAAAAGCACAATAAAAAGAATGAAACATCCATTAAAATATAAATATACATGGGGAAAGCACCCTGATATTGTCAGCTCCCTGTGGCTCCATTTCATTAAAAAAGAAAACATTGGGACATCCAACAACAGATCTTCCACATGGTACTTTGGCCCACTGAAAATTTAATACCTTGGTAGCATTAAAGCCATGATTTCCCCAGTAGTGATGTATGGAAGTGAGAGCTGGACCATAAAGAAGGCTGATCGCCAAAGAATTGATTCTTTTGAATTATGGTGCTGGAGGAGACTCTTGAGAGTCCCATGGACTGCAAGAAGATCAAATGCATCCATTCTTAAGGAAATCAGCCCTGAGTGCTCACTGGAAGGACAGATCCTGAAGCTGAGGCTCCAGTACTTTGGCCACCTCATGAGAAGAGAAGACTCCCTGGAGAAGACACTGATGCTGGGAAAGATGGAGGGCACAAGGAGAAAGGGGCGACAGAGGACGAGATGGTTGGATAGTGTTTTCGAGGTTACCAGCATGAGTTTGACCAAACTGCGGGAGGTAGTGGAGGACAGAGGTGCCTGGCGTGCTCTGGTCCATGGGGTCATGAAGAGTCGGACACGACTAAATGACTAAACAACAACAACAACAGCATGAGAGTCCACAATGGCATTACCTACAACATTGGAAATAATGTCCTGTGCCACCACAGCTGAAGTCTAATTTACCAACTATTTCCCTGCCAACATGGAATGGCTGGCATAGGTGTGTGTTTGCCCCAGTGATTATGCCCATGGACAAAGGGGCTACTGTCTCTTCTAGCGATGCACTTCCACACAGAAGCAACCCTTGCATCTAGCTCCTAGGTACAACGCTAGGATTTATCACCCATGTGCCTTCTTACACCATTGTCCGGAGCACACACTGTGGTGTTTGCGTGGCAGTAGGCTTGGGCCGTATATTTCATCAATGGTCTTTTCTGTCTCTCCAGGCAGAAAAAAGCTACAATACAACACAGAGACCGCAGGATATCCCTTGTACATATAATTGCAAACACAGAAATAACAGTGTAATCCAAACAAGAAAATATGGCACCTCTCCAAAATATCCAGGGACCATGCCAGAAATAGCTTATATCTTCATCTGATCGGTATTCATACGGCCAGGAAGAAAATTCTTGGTTATCCATAATTATAAGAGAAATCTGCTGCTGGGCCCATAAACGAACGGGAGCTTGCGGTGCTTTCCAGAACATTTTGCCCAAGGCATGGCAAGCCAGGAGAGCTGTTGGTTAGGGATGATGGTAGTTGTAGTCCCAAAACAGTTGGAGGGCTGAGTTTGGGGGTGCCTGAATTAGGGTAAAATTCAGAGAAGGCCCACATGGGAAAGAAAGAGCAGGTTTTCCACCTGCTAAAAATAGTGCCACTACTACCAGGCGCAGTGTTTTGGCCAGTTTGGTACCAGTAGGAGTCCCACTGCCACCAAGGCTAATCGCAACATGGGGAAGCAGATTTTTGTTGAAATCAATGCTGGGGAGGTAAGGGTTAAAGCATCTACATCCTATGTGCTGTGGTCCCGGGGAAAATCACCCCCATGCTTAGTATTAAACAGCAAAAATCAGAAGAAGTTGCTAAAGACAAATGCCTGGTTTGGCCCTTTGGTAAACACACCATGTTTGCTTTTCCCTACTTGTTTGAAAACTAAGCACTCTTAATAAAAAAGTTTTAAGCAAAATAATATTCTGAATTAACAGAAGCCATTTCTTAAAAATAGACGTACAACTTTGGGGCTTCTCTTCCCTTTTATCCCCCCCCCCTCCATTTCCTTCTCACTACAGTTAGATTCATCCATCCAAATTTATATTTGTTGTTTTGCTGATAGGATGCTTAGCAGCAGTTCAGAGACATGCCGTCAGCACTGCAACACCAGCCAGTTCCCCTCTTAAAGGCACACCTGTCAATAAACCTGGGTATTGAACAACCCTGCTAGATAACTGATCAAAACATTTCAGTTTTCAAAATAATCACGTTCAAGCATAACACCTTCACCAGGTTAGCTACCGATAGTGGAAGCCCAAGTACTGAGATGGCAAACTTTAATTTCTGACATTACCCCTAATATGCTCAATCTGAAACACGTCCAGATTTGAGGCTTGCTCTCTAAGAATTTTGATACTTACTTAACAGCACATTTCTGAAGGCACATAGACACACTGCCTTAAGTAGGGCTGACCCGCTAGTAAGACTGAAGACCTATGAGTGATAGCCTATACTTGACTACCTATATTTGTCTACTTAGAAGTAAGCCTCGTTAAATTCAATCAGACTTATTGCGAGGTAAGGATTGCAGTCTTAACTGGCTTTTCTAAATCATACTTGATGGTTTAGGTTTATATCCTTTTGGCTCTTTCTGTACTTTTACGGTGAAATATTTAAATTAGAAAATGTCATTTTATTCGGCATTTATTTCAGCAATTCATCATCTCCCCCGCCCCTCTGCAGGTGGGGCTTGAGGCAGAGACTGGCTTACCTAGCCTACTTCCCAAAATTATAGCAGACTCCAGATCTGAACTGGGATCTTCCCGATTCATAGCTCAAATTTCTGAGCTACAGCATTACATTACTTCCAATCAGCTTTACCATCAGCAGGTACAGTACTGATAGATCTTCCAGGTGTCAACAAAAACAAATTATGGCAGAACATGCTTCCATAAGCCATAGCCAACATTTATAGACAGATGAAATGAGTTAAGTAGTACAAAGAAGTCTCTTTCCCCCAATGCCATGCATTTGTTTGTTTTTGTAACAAAGCAAGGCAAAAAAAGTCAAGCGATAGAGCGCAAATATATGCAAATCAAATGTGTGCATGATCAACCTTTCCATAGAACTTTCTCTAGCCATTTCCAGCACCTGCGGCAACCAATTTGTACAGTCGAATTTGCTGAATTCCAGTTTGGTAGCATCACATTGAAGTCTTCCTTTGAAACCTATTTTTTGGTTTAAGACTATCCTGTTGCTGGGATGAGGAACCTGCAGGTCTCCAGGTGTCTAATTTGAGTCCATTTAACCTCTTCTACAAAAGATGACCTGCAGCCTATGGGACATCCTCCAGAAGCTATAGACTGCAATCCCCATCACCCCTGGAGAATCTTGGAAGGTACTGATGGGAGCTGCAAGCCAGCAACATCCACAACAGCACTATGTGGCCTGCCAACAGGAGGGAACGTTAGCGGAGAATGGCCTGCATCCGTGAGCGTAACCTTGGCTACACCCATGCCCTGCATCACAGATGAACCAACTCCCAATGGCATGGCTGGTGTCATACGGTTCCCCAAGAGTGTTGCGCAGCAGATAATGTGTTTCAAACAGCATATAAATCAGACATGGCCAAACTTGGCCCTCCAGCTGTTTTGGGACTACAATTTCCATCATCCCTGACCACTGGTCCTGTTAGCTAGGGATGATGGGAGTTGTAGTCCCAAAACATCTGGAGGGCCGAGTTTGGCCATGCCTGATATAAATAAAGGAACACTAATACCCCCAGCAACTCATTGCATGGCCAGAATGCAGGCTACGGTGTGACCAAAGCATCATGCAGTTCCTGTATCTTGTCATGTTTGCAGCTACCCTGACAACGATGAATCATGGTGCAAAACAACAACAGAGAAGGGAAAAGCAGCAGGTTGTCATGTTTCCCTTATATGTCTTTCACCACGCATTTGCATTACTTCTACATCTGTGCAAAGGTTCTTGGAAAATCCCACTGCCATGTCAACAATCCTGTTTCCAAGCTACACGAGAGAAATAGCTTTGCCGCTAAGGTTGTTATCCAGCCACCCCCTTTAAAGATGTGGCTATATGAGCCTTCTGGTAAAGGGCAGAAGGGACATGGGGACACGATACCAACTTCCATTTACCAATCTAACCTGTTAATGTCTACACACTAACTAGTAACAGCTCCTCGGGGTTTCAGATAGGGGTCTTTTCCAGCCTTTCCTGGAGATATCAGGGCTTGATTCAGGAACCTTCTACACGCAAAGCCCATGCTCTACAAAAGGCACCCCCAAACTCGGCCCTCCAGATGTTTTGGGACTACAACTCCCATCATCCCTACCTAACAGGACCAGTGGTCAGGGAACTGTAGTCCCAAAACATCTGGAGGGCCGAGTTTGGGGATGCCTGCTCTGTAACTACTGAATCATAGAATTGTTGAGTTGTAGGGGACCCCGCAGGTCATCTAGTCCGACCCCCGGGTGGGCTCGAACCACCAACCTTCCGAGACGCAGCACTAGCAGGCTGTGACAATTTTTAAGTACTCGGGCATGACCTCGGGTTAAGTACTTAATTCGTTCCGGAGGTCCATTCTTAACCTGAAACTGTTCTTAACCTGAAGCACCATTTTAGCTAATGGGGCCTCCTGCTGCCGCTGCGCCGCCGCACGATTTCTGTTCTTATCCTGAAGCAAAGTTCTTAACTTGAAGCACTAGTTCTGGGTTAGCGGAGTGTGTAACCTGAAGCGTATGTAACCTGAAGCGTATGTAACCCAAGGTACCACTGTATTTTAATACTACAACTAAACAGATTATCCTCAGAAACGGCAGCACATTGTCATAATAAAGGACAATGCTGCTGGTTGCCACGTCGAAAATTTTCATAGTAATACTTAGCATGTATATTTTAGTACTGAGACTGAACAAACCGCACACATAATTGCAATAACTCTTATCGGTAGGCTATATTGCTATCTGTTTGGAAGAGGCAATTGAGAAGTTTTGAAGCAGCTGTTGTGGCTGCCGCTGCTCCACTTCCAAGCGCCATTAACAGCGCTGGTTTTTATCCGAGACTACAACTCCCATCACCCCTGACCACTAGTAATGCCAGCTGGAGCCAATGGCAGATGGAAACCACCATCTGGAGGGCCCCACGTTGCTCATAACATCTAGCTGGGGGGAAAAAACTGACAGCAAAAAGGCCACAGATGCTTGAACTTTGCACCTAACAAGGAAGCGCAAAAAAGACATGGTTATTGGGTTGTTGTTTTTATTTTGATGTTTTATATTTTGGTTTTGTTCTGTGAACGGCCCTGAGACCGCCGGGTACAGGGCGGTATATAAATTCAATCAATTATATAAGTGAATGTGTAGAGTGCTATAAAACCTCCGAAAATGGTCAAAGCCAGGTGCATTTATACCCAGATCCGAAGTTTGGTGCCTGCAATCCTATTTATTATGCGCGCTTCGGAGTAAGCGCCACCTAACGCAATGGGAACGACCTTTAAGCAGACGTAAGGCGAGGAGGATCGGACGCTACAACCAAAACACATTTACCGATCCACTGAACGGGGCGAGGGGGCTTACTCGTGAGCAAACATGCTTCCGGACCTGCCTGTAAAGGTTTGTTTTTTGGGGGGAGGGGGGACACTGGGGGAGAGACAGAGAGCTCCTTGCATAACGCAGCAGACGCTATAAACTTTCTGGAACTTCAGACACCAGAACCTACAAACCCGACGGGGCGATCTCGGCGCAGCCCAAGCAGCCGCTCCATGGTCCCCGGCGCACAAAAAGGACAGATCGCCGTCGGCCCGGTGGGTGCCCACCCAAATCGCCCAAGTCTCTCCCCCCCCCCACCAACCCCGGAAGCAAGAAGCCCCTACCCCGCCTCTCCGGTGGAACATCGACCCTTCCCGCCAGGAGAAAAGAGACGCGCCTTCCTCGCTTGCGCGCAACTTGGCCGAAGCCCCGAAGTGCCAAGTCATGCTGTCGCCCCGGGATGCGCCAAGTCCCTGACCCCCGAGGGCACCGCCGGGAAGAATTCTCCGGAGCTCCGTAGGGGGTGGAAACTCCCCAAACCCGGTTGTTTCCTCCTCCGCCTGCGAGAGGCCCGCGATCCCTTCGCTCTGGCCCTTACCTGCCGCCCCCTCTGCGGGAGGAGAGCAGCCCGATCCCCGCCGAAGCGGCCGCCACGCTGCAATGTTTCCCTTCGATTGCGCTATAGCGCCGGCGGACGGCGAGCCGGGCAGGGGCGGCACCGGCGGCTCCTTTTTTTTCCGCCCACCAAAGAGGAGGGCCCTGGCGGGGGCGGAGCGGGAGAGGCGACGCCAGCGGCTCGGGGGCGCGGCGCCCGTCATTGCTCAGGTGTCAATGGCGCGGGGGCGACGCGCCCTGGGTCGCCCCTTGGCTGCAATCGGCGGCGCGCGCAGCTGCTGCTGCACGTTGTTTGCAACCAGAGATTTGTGAGCAAACATTCATAGGATCGCGATTTCTTCCACAGGAAGGGCTCTCGTGGGCAAATCAGCGGAGGAACGGTGGAGCTGTCCCCCATAAAGAGCCTGTCCTTCCTTCCTTGTTTATTATCCCCAAGGATTTCCACAGGAGTCATTTAGCAACAAGGTGCAAGGCTCAAGGTTTTTGGTGAAAGCTTGTCCTGGAGATTGGGCTGGGAGGAAAATCCCAGTTGCACATTTATGTGACACAGTGAGCAGCCTTGACTTTTGACTCTACAATGTTTTGTAAAAACTACTGTAAAATAGACTAAATGCAGCTCAGATTAAGAGAGACAACAAATTAGTAGTGTAATGGAATATTGGTTGAGTTAGCATTATGAACCAATGTACGCCTAGTGTGTCGGCACAAGAACTCTCTAGTTTGTGGAAAAAGTTCTACACTGTGTAGTCATATTTTTATAGATGTGTAGTGCTGGCAGTCACTTGGCTGCTTATGTAAGTTATTACAAACTCTATTGAGATTTTTCATAGAATTGGAAGGGGCCACTGGAGTCATCTAGTCCAACCCCCCCACAATTCAGGAATCTTTTGCCCAACATGGGGCTCAACAGTGTCAACAGTGTGATGCGGCAGCAAAGAAAGGCTAATGCTGCTTCAACAGAAGTCTAGTGTTCTGATCAAGGGAAGTAATAGTACAGCTCAGGCCACACCTGGCGTACTGTGTCCAGTTCTGGGTACCACAATTTAAGAAGGATATTGACAAGCTGGAACATGTACAGAGGAGGGCAACCAAGATGATCAAGGGTCTGGAAACCAAGTCAGTTGAAGGAGCTCGGGATGTTTAGCCTGGAAAAGAAGACACTGAGAGAAGGTATGATAGGCATCTTCAAATAGCTTAAGGGCTGTCACATGGAAGATGGAGCAAGTTTGTTTTTTTCCTGCTCTGGGGCGCAGGACTCAAACCAATGCCTCCAGGTTACAAGAAAGGCGATTCTGAGTAAACATCAGGAAGATCTTTTGGACAACAAGGGCTGTTTGACAGCGGAACAGATTCCCACGAGAGGTGGCGGACTCCTTCCTTGGAGGTTTTTAAGCAGAGGCTGGATGGCCATCTGTCATGGATGCTTTTGCTGAGATTCCTGCATCGCAGGGGTTGGACTGGATGACCCTTGGAGTCCCTTCCAACTCTACAATTCTATGAATAGGTGGGTCACTGGTCTGATCCAGAAGGGCTCTTCTTATGCTCTTAGGTAGCTAGTTTGCTTACAGCAGCAGCTGGGAACCTGAGACTCAGGGACTAAGTAGGGACTGTCCCCAGGTGTTATGTACTGAGTTGAATAGGATCCAGAATGCAGCAGTCTGATTGGTCCTAGAACAATAGGATCCAGAATGCAGCAGTCTGATTGGTCCTAGAACAATAGGATCGAGATGCAGCAGTCTGGTTGGTCCTAGAACAATAGGATTCAGAATGCAGCAGTCTGATTGGTCCTAGAATAATAGGATCCAGAATGTATCAGTCTAATTGGGCCACAGGAGCCACCCAATCCAGTTCCAGGTGGAAGTGAATCCGCAACCTGATTGGCCTACAGGAGAATCCTGGAATTAGCCAATCACGTGGGGCCCATTGTGTAAATAATGTATATAAAACAGACATTCTGGGGGAACTTCCATTTTTCCTCCTCACCACTATGAGCTGAATAAAGAGCATGAAATCCACTCTCGACTCCGAGTATATTTCACCAGGTCATGCCCATCTCTAGGCCACACCCTCCACTGGCCTTTATTGCACCTTCCTTGAATGTTCTTGCATGCCAAGAATGTGTTCTTGAACTGTGCTCATGCCGCTTGTTTGCCTGTGTGAAGAGATGTGTGTGCATGTAGAGAGCTCTGGCTTTTACATAGCTGGAATGTGGCCTATGGTACAAAGGTACATGTTGCTCCACCCACTTTTGTCTCTGGCTCCGCCCACCACTGGCATCTACCCCAAACCCACACAGACCTGCATGAACTCATCAGCCAGGGTGCAGAAAATAAGTCCTATCCCTTTTTACATGTCTCCCAGTCATTCAGAACACGGGAGGAAAAGCCAGCTATTAAGAAGAATCAGCCAACCTCCTTTTCTAAAATGAGGTCCCTGGCAATTATGCCAAGACTGATAAAGGGAATCTCCAGCAGTACCTCTGTTTCCATTAATCCTGTCCTGTCTAAATCCATTTTAACAACAATGTCAATATCCATGCAGGTTAAAATGCCCGCTAGAGCCTAACAACAGTGTGTTCCAGTAAAGAGGGAACATTAGGATTTTCTAACAATCTGTTCGACCACAAGCACCTGAAGAATCGCACGAAGTTGCAGGGATTGTCATAGCTAAGTTTTTTTGTTTACTGCATCAGGAAGGGGAAAAAACCCTAGATTCTTATCCAGTAATGTGGAAAAAATGATCTAGCACACATTTTAAGGACTCCTTTGTTTTAAAACAAAAAGCAGGCTGTAGTCAAACAGAACACAATACTGGCAAAAAACAATTATAACAGCCTATGAGATCACTAAACTCTGGGCCCATCAGTTTGTTTCCAGACTGCTCAGAAAATGATTTCCCCCCCCCTCACCATATGTTTCTACTGCTTTAATACACAGATTCCTAATCCTGAAAGGGCCTCTGGGCACTGTTCCAATGCATACTGCTTGCTTGAGAATTTGGAATACATGTTAAAGAGATTAATGTGCTTTTTTTAAAAAGAAAGAAATATAAATCAATGCTAGGATCTAGTAAGGTAAAAAAGGTAACGGATCTCTGGACGGTTAAACCCAGTCAAAGGCTACTATAGGGTGCGGCGCTCATCTAGCTTTCAGGCCGAGGGAGCCGGCTTTTGTCCACACACAGCTTTCCAGGTCCTGTGGCCGGCATGACTAAACCCCTTCTGGCGCGATGGAACACCATGGCGGAAACCAGAGCGCACGGAAACACCGTTTACCTTCCCGTCACAGCAATACCTATTTATCTGCTTGCACTGGTGTGCTTTCAACTGCTAGGTTGGCAGTTGACCTAGTAAGACTCCAAGTGAACCATCACCAGCATAAGGTTGCTTGCCACTACCTTCCACTGCTGCTACTAAGGGCTATGGAGCTTGCAGTCGTGCAAGGGACTTATGTAGCACTGCTGTACCCGTGTAACTCTTCTAGCATGCCCTATGCAAGGATTTGCACAGCTGAGAAATGAGCAGAATGTCATGGCTTCACCTGACAGAGCCAACAATAATGTTAAAGGTAAAGGTACCCCTGACCATTAGGTCCAGTTGTGGGCGACTCTGGGGTTGTGGAGCACATCTTGCTCTATAGGCCGAGGAAGTCGGCATTTGTCCGCAGACAGCTTCCGGGTCATGTGGCAGTATGACTAAGCAGCTTCTGGCGAACTAGAGCAGCGCACGGAAACGCCGTTTACCTTCCCGCCAGAAGACATGCTTTTGAACTGCTAGGTGGGCAGTAGCTGGGACCGAACAACAGGAGCGCACTCTGTCGTGGTGATTCAAACCGCTGACAATAATGTTACAGCTACACAAAAGGTAAAAGTAAAGGACCCTTGGACGGTTAGGTCCAGTCAAAGGAGACTATGGGGTGCAGCACTCATCTTGCTTTCAGGCCAAGGTAGCCGGTGTTTGTCCACAGACAGTTTTCAGGGTCATGTGGCCAGCATGATTACATGACGAGTGCCAGAGCACACAGAAACGCCGTTTCTCTTCCCACCGCAGCAGTACCTATTTATCTACTTGCACTGGCATGCTTTTGAACTACTAGGTTTGCAGGAGCTGGGACAGAGCAACGGGAGCTCAACCCGTCGTGGGGATTCGAACCACCGACCTTCTGATCAGCAAGCCCAAGAGGCTCAGTGGTTTGACCACAATGCCACCCGCATCCCTATACAGCTACACAACACACCCATGCCAAGCACTTCCAAAAGCAAAGCAGCACTGATACACACACACACACAATATAAAACAAATAACTCTCTCTCACACACAGTGAACACCACAGCACAGAATTACAGCGTCATTCCTCTTACTGTGTCTGATTTTTCTTTAGTGTAGGTTATAAAAAGACTTTGTCACCTTGCAGATATTACCTTTCAATGCGTTACTCTGACAACCCCATGTAGTGCTATTGTTTCCAGGGTGGGGGAACACATTCAGTAGATTTAATTCACAGATAATTCATAGATCAAACAAAGGATGGTAAAGTGAGGGGGATTGCCTCTCCGGTTCATTCTGGAACACTTGGGGATTAACTGTACTAAACCCAGGCCAAGCCTGTGTGAACCTCCTGGGAACAACTGAACTGTACATATGCGAGACAGGAAGCCAAATTAGGGGGGTGTTTTTGGTTGCTTCCCCAGTACTGTACTTCACAGTCTTCAGCTTCCACCTATTAGCAGTTGTAATTGTTTTCTTGGTCAAGCCATCTCAGGCATCAGTCCTGGGTAGCCCTATGCTACTGATATGTTTAATTGGAAATAAGTATCACATAGAGTTTAATGGGGCTTGCCCTCACCTATGGGACGCGGGTGGCGCTGTGGGTTAAACCACAGAGCCTAGGCCTTGCCGATCAAAAGGTCGGCGGTTCGAATCCCCACGATGGGGTAAGCTCCCGTTGCTCGGTCCCTGATCCTGCCAACCTAGCAGTTCGAAAGCACGTCAAAGTGCAAGTAGATAAATAGGTACTGCTCCGGCGGGAAGATAAACGGTGTTTCTGTGCGCTGCTCTGGTTTGCCAGAAGCAGCTTAGTCATTCTGGCCACATGACCTGGAAGCTGTACGCCGGCTCCCTCGGCCAATAAAGCGAGATGAGCGTCGCAACCCCAGAGTCGGCCATGACTGGACCTAATGGTCAGGGGTCCCTTTACCTTTACCCTCGCCTAAGTTTGTCGAGCAGCGGTGCTGAATCGGCCCAAATTACATCACAGACAACCTCCTCCGGGATCACATATTAGTACTGCAGGGGACCAATGGCAAAATAGTGGAGAGCACCAGATGTGACTCTAAACTGCATGACAAGAAACTACATTCCAGATGTAAATGTAAAGCAAGGAGGGTGAGGGAAAAGGGGATTTAAGGTGAGTATGGGGTTGCAAAAAGACAAAACAAAACAGACTGACTGGAAGTGGTAGTGGGCCCGGCTGACCGTAAAGGAGGGGCATAAAAGGGTTTGCAAAACAGAGAGGAATAGTGACTTCATAATTGGGTGGAAAGTGTGCTTAGTAATAGCAATGTGTGGAAGGAGGAAAATTGAGGTTACCATAGGGGGGTGGTTTGTGGGGGGGGGCTGCAAAACAGAAAAGTAGGTTCAGAAATGTGGTTGGAAAGTTGAAAGGGGAGCTTAGAGGTTGTGTAGGGTGGGAAAGGGAAGGTCTAGGGCAGCAGTTCCCAAACTTTTTGAGTTTGGAGCACTTTTCAGGAGAGAAATTAATCACAGAGCATTATCGCTGCCCTTATGCCAAAGAAACATTTGAGCATTTTTATTTCCAATCTCTGCAGGGCAGTTTGGAAAATGCTACTTTAGGGGGTTAATGTGGGGGCAATGGCAAAGGGCCGTCCAGCAGACACAGCAGGGGAACAGACCCTAGTTATTGTGTGTTTCTAGAGCTTAATGCCCTGTCCTGGCATCAATGGAGCTGAAGATGGCCAGGCTATAAATTGGAACTAATAAAATTGGTTGGCCACTGTGGGCATAGAATGCCTTTAGTGTGATCTAGCAGGCCTTGTCTTATGTTCTTATGATATAAATAAACATGTATTTGATCAGGGTGATTAGTGAGTTGTTCATTGGTTCAATTTTATTTATAATGCATTTTAAAAAAGGGAAATTGTATGCTGCACCAGAGTAAAAGAAGGGGGGGCAATTTCCTCCCATGCCTATTTCAATGAAGGCAATGAAGACTTACAGGTGAAGCAGGGATTCTTTCAGGTGAATCGGGGATTCTTATCTGTATTAGTTGTGAGAGCATTACTGGTGAGTTGAGCAAATTATCCCAGATTAGCTAACAAGGAGCAGGAGTGGAGAGTGGGTTATCCTGCTGGTGGCCATAATCTGTATGGATTTTCTCCTGGGTGGGTGTGAATTCTTTCCCTAGGAGGAAGGAAAGGAAATAATTAGATTTGGGGGGCTTTATTTCCTTGATCAAAGAACTACAACAGGCCAGCAACATTTCTTTATCGGAAAGGTGAAGAACCTCCCTCATCCATTATTTTGCAGCCCTGCCACATTCACCACAAAACACTGATTTTTAAGAGGACAGGACTCCTGTATTTTTTGAGCTGCAGCTCTCCGTTTGTGGAATGCTCTCCCCAGGGAGGCTTGCATGGCGCCTTTGTTACCTATATTTCAGGTACCAGGCAAAATCTTTCCTTTTCACCCAGCCCTTTGGCCAATTAAACAACTGATGGCCTTTTAAACTGCTGGCGGCAGCAGCGAGGGGCAGTTTGCTTGTAACTATGGCACATGCTTTTGTGTTTTTATAGTATAAGCTGCCCTGTAATCGTCTGAGGAAAGGCTGGAACGGACTTTGGTGATATGGTGCTCTGAAAGAACTCAAAATTTGAGGGGGGGGGCGCGTTATATATTTCTTATTTTCACAAGAATTACTTTTTGTACAGTTGCTTTTTAAATTGATCTTCTCAATAGTTACCTATATAAATATAGGTATGATTGTGATGGTGATGTGCCCCCTCAGCTTGGTGCCCTGTGTGGGGCAACTGCCGTAAATCTGGGGTTGGAAGAAAATAACAACAACAATCACTATGCAGAAGAGGGGTTTTAGGCAGCAACGAAATTGCCTCTGCCAAGCTCCCCTTTTCTGCATAACTACTGAGAGGTGCAGGAGTTCTGCCCTCTTTCGCATCTGGCCATCCCATCAAGAGACAAGGAATTTGTGTGTGTGCTTTTGTTTATTACATTTATATACCATATTTTCTTCCCAGAAGCAACAACACTGTGAGGCTGGTTAAGAGGTGGTGATCGTCCCAAAGTGAACCAGTGTGGTCCATGACTGAATGGGGATTGCAAAAACCCTGGTCTCCCAGGTCCTAGGTCTGAAATTCTATTTTATTAAAAAGTATAAAAAAGTTAAAGGGACGCAGGTGGTGCTGTGGGTTAAACCACAGAGCCTAGGATTTGCCAATCAGAAGGTTGGCAGTTCGAATCCCCGCGACGGGGTGAGCTTCTGTTGCTCGGTCCCTGCTCCTGCCAACCTAGCAGTTCGAAAGCATGTCAAAGTGCAAGTAGATAAATAGCTACCGCTCTGGCGGGAAGGTAAACGACGTTTCCGTGCACTGCTTTGGTTCACCAGAAGCGTCTTAGTCATGCTGGCCACATGACCCGGAAGCTGTACGCCGGCTCCCTTGGCCAATAACGTGAGATGAGCGCCGCAACCCCTGGTTGCAGACCTAATGGTCAGGGGTCCCTTTACCTTATAAAAAAGTTATTTAATTTTCAGATTTTGAAATTTACAAACATCAAACAATCAAAACGAAGAGATTTCCGTAAATTCCCACAGACTTCCCTCCTCCCCTTTTGCGGGTTGTTGCTGTTGTTTAGTCGTGTCCAACTCTTCGTGACCCCATGGACCAGAGCACGCCAGGCACTCTTGTCTTCCACTGCCTCCTGCAGCTTGGTCAAACTCATGTTCATAGCTTCGAGAACACTATCCAACCATATCGTCCTCTGTCGTCCCCTTCTCCTTTCCCAACATCAGGGTCTTTTCCAGGGAGTCTTCTCTTCTCATGAGGTGGCCAAAGTATTGGAGCCTCAGCTTCACGATCTGTCCTTCCGTGAGCACTCAGGGCTGATTTCCTTAAGAATGGATGCGTTTGATCTTCTTGCAGTCCATGGGACTCTCAAGAGTCTCCTCTAGCACCATAATTCAAAAGCATCAATTCTTCCGGGATCAGCCTTCTTTATGGTCCAGCTCTCACTTCCATACATCACTACTGGGAAAACCATGGCTTTAACTATACGGACCTTTGTTGGCAAGGTGATGTCTCTGCCTTTTTTTTGCGGGTTATGTTAACTTTTTTCTTCCTGCACCTTCTCTATGAATCTCCAGTACAACCATAGCCCAACAAGTATCATTCCAACCCTACTTGTAATTTTAATGGTTCACAATGGTGTGTTTTTTAAGGTAAATGATATATTTTCCCCGTTCCTTATTTAAAATGTTAGTCTCCCTGGTTTCTAATTCTTCCCGCCCCGCCCCCTTTTTGCTATTTCAGTATAACCCATCAGTTTAATCTGCCATTCTTCTCTGGCGGCGACTACCTCGGTCTGACCGCTCTAACCACTACTGCACACTTCCTCTTCCTGGGGAAAAACGGGCCTAGCGACCCCAGTGGAGGCCGACTCGGAGGCTCCCCTCCGCGGAAAACGGGGCTTATCAAGCGGCCCGGCGGGCCAAACCTCCTTTGCGTTTGCGGCTCCCCCCCCCCAACTGCCAACAACTCCAGCGCGCCAGGCGGGCCTCAACCACAGAGATGCAAAAGGGCCCTTCCAAAGCCGGCCGGAAGTTCCGGACGCCGCTCGTCGTCACGCTCTCCGTCGATCTCTCCCCCCCCCCCTCACTTCTATGTTGCCAGGGGTAGGGAGGAGGCGGTGGAAGAAGAGTCGGCCCTATGAGCGGCGGCGGCAGACCGGCGCCCCTCAGCGGCAGCGGGCCGAGGAGGAGAAAGGGGGAGAGGGAACCAAGTAATGGCGGCCAGTTAGTGTGTGACTGAGCTAGAGGAGGAGGAGGAGGAGCAGCAGCTCCCCGCGTCCCTTCGAGCCCTTGTTCCTCGCCCGGCGGCGGCGGCGGCTGAGGCGCCGCTCCCCAAAGCAGAGGCGGCGGCGGCGGCGCCAGAGACTGAGCCTCCCTCTCCGGGGCGGCTGAGGAGGCGGCGGCGGCGGCGGGAGGGGGGCGCCATGGTGAACACCCGAAAGAGCTCCCTGCGCCTCTCCCGCAAAGCGGCGGCGGCGGCAGGCTCCGGGCCCGGCAGCCATTTCATCTCGTCCAGGACCCGTTTGTCTAGGACCAGCGCTCGGGCAGCGGCGGCGGCGGCGGCAGCAGCAGCAGCGGCGGCCGCCGGTCAGGATGAAGAGTCGGCCCGGGTCAGTGGGGGGAGAGGAAGACGAGGCGGGTGCCGAGGGGGGGGGGGAAGACTCGGGGCAAGTCCCGTAGCGACGGCAGTGGCGGGGGAGAAGAAGGGGCCGTTGTCGGTGTGGGTCAGCCATTGTGGGGGGGGGGAGAGGGGCGAGCTTGCGGGGGGGGGTGTTGCTGGCTCATTGTCCGGCTCCGAGGGGCTGAAGTGCAGCGCGACCGCTCGGGGCCGCAGTACCTCAGAAGGAACCCCCCCCCCCATAGAACCGATCTGGACTCTACGATGACGGGGACTTTCTCCCGGAGGGTGGCAGCAGGGGGAAAAGGTTGGGGAGGCTTTTCTGTGGTGGCTCCCCATTCGTGAGAGAGGCTCGCCTGGTACCTTCATTGCATAAATCCGGGCCTGGGCGAAAGCATTCTTTTCCCCCAATTAAACCATCTGTGTCCTTTTAAACTCTCGATGTGTTTGTGTGTGTGTGGGAGGGGGTGTTATCCATTTATTGTTTGTGTTCCGCTTTAATTTCGCGTGGTTTTTCTGTTGTGAAGCGCCCTGCGATCTTCGGGTGAAAGGGCAGTCTACAGATGTAATGAACAGGAACAACAAGAAGAGGAGGGGAAGGGGCTCCGGCTGAACTTCTCCAGGGTGACTGACTGCTTGCGTGTTTTGCATGCAAGCACAATATTGTGTTTTTTTTTGTGGGGCTTCTGCTGCTCTGTATGTGTGCGGAGGCTTGTCTGGTTTGTGGGACTAAAGAAAGGCACGAGAGTCTGGAAAGGGGGGGGGGTCCTTTACTTGTATCCGAGCTGGCCGCCTTGCTTTGGTGTTGTGCCAGAGTGAGGGTGGGTGGAAAGCATCGGGGCCTGTCTGGCTCTGTTGCAAGAGGTGGACGTGAGCAGCGAGCCGGAGGGAGCTTGGGTTTTTTTTTTTTTGCAGCAGCTCTCTATGCGAGCGAGTGAGCGAACCGAGGTCATTTGAGGTAGGACGTGTTGTGTGAGCTTGCACAGCTGAAGGAGGACGCTGCTGGCTGCGGCCAAGAGCTAAGCGGGGGCAAAGTGTGGCTGGTTGGGCGGCTCAAGAAGTAGCTGTAGAGGCGGTTTCGGGCGAAGAAGGGGCAGTTGATAAGAGAGAGGAAACAAAAACCCCAATGTGCGCTCTTGCTCTCTTTCCTTCGTCCGTCTCCTGTATGTAGGAGGAGCAGAGAGACTGGCAGGGTCTGCTGTGCCAGCCAGGTGTCTGGGGCACGGCGAGGCTCCCCCGCTGGCCTATGCTGGGACTGCATTTTAAAAGACAACATGGGGAAGAAGAAAAAAAGTTTAGGCTTCGAACTGCCAATTTTGTAAATTTCTTAGAAAACCTAAATGGAGTGCAGTTTTCTTTATTAAAAACTGTTTCCTGTTTGGCAGGGTAGGGGAAACTGGGTAATTCTCTGACAATTTTGGATAGAGATGCAATTATTCCTCTGAGGAACGTATTGATAGCTCAGTCCGGCAGAGCATGAGACTCTTAATCCTAGGGTTGCGGGTTTGAACCCCATTTTGGGCAAAAGTTTCCTGCATTGCAGAAGGTCGGACTGGGTGACCCTTGTGGTCCTTTCTAACTCTACAATTCTATGACTCTATAATTAGTTATTTGCCTACATTGCCAGATAGTTGTTGTTTTTTAAAAAAATGACAATCAGTAATGTGGGTAGGTTCTTCATCTGTTCATTTATTAGTTTTCATTGGCCATGCACTACGTAAATGAAGGAAAAATCATTCCCCCCCTTCTTTGTCCAACATCTCTAGTCCCACACCTTTCTCTGCCACCCCAACCTTATGCTTACAATAGCAGTGGTTCACACTGAATGTAACTGACCTGTAGATAGTACTATGTGAATGAAAACAGCAACACTATATGTATCTTTGTTATCCATTAAAATCTATTAATGAAAACAATAAAAAATGACAAGCAATCATGAACTTTTAAAAAGAATCACAACTGAATCTTCTTATACCCTGTTCAGGGTACCTTATTTTAAATACTGTATGTGAGCTTTGTCTGTCAACCTTTCAAATATGAGAAATTATAAATTCCTGGCATGACACATTCAGCCAATCCGTTGTTCCTGTAGGGACAGACATAGATGTATTAAAGTGTGTTGTTTCTGTTGCTTCTTTGTAAAGTCACAAAGTAGCCTGATCAATGGGTCACCAAAAGTATTGTATAAGTACGGTATGTTATATATACTGTAAAATGTTCCAATTATTTTTAACTTAGAAAGAGCAGTCAAGTGATTCTGTCTGATAGCCTTGGACACTGAAGCACATCTTTTTGTTCTACTTACATAAACTTATGGGGTTTAGATCTGAACCTATGAACTAGTTTACAATGTGTGAATATGAAATATTTTTCCTAAAAGAGTTAAAAAACCTATTGAGTGTTAGCAGTTTACAGTGCTTTTTTCTGGGGGATGCAGGGGTACGTATACCCCTAAACATTTTGTGAATCTGAGTAGGAAAATGAGAGTATGGCTAAATTTTTTTCTTAGAAAAAAAGCACTGGTGGTTATAAAGAATGCTTAAAGTCCCATTTAATAAAACAGCAGCATGATGCTATGCATGGCTACTCAGGTAAATCCCACTGAGTTCATTGGGACTTACTCCCAGGTAATTGCTATAGAACTGAAGCCTATATTTAATCATAAGTATTTAAGATTGGTGAGTATGTATAAATTTGCTGACAGTGAAAATGTTAAAGATGTTTGCATCCATCTGTGATAACATGGAAAACTAATTTCAGATATATGCCTTTAAAATTGATTGTGTGCCTGTTCAGATTTTTAGGACAGTTATGTACTTTCATAGTGCACCTAATATTTTCTAATTTTGGTCTCATAGAAAGAGATGCATATCATTGTGAAATGCACCTAGTACTGCAGATATATGTATAAGTGTTCGAAAAATGTCTTTCAGGCCAGGCAAGTGAGTCTCTTAAGTATTCTTTCAAAAACTACAGATGCTATTTTTAAAATATTTGTATTGGGAACTAGATCCTGAATATTAGCCAGCTGTTTTAATGTGCTTATGGAGCTTTGCGTACATGCAGGGATTTTCTTGTTCTAGCCTGAGCTGTTGGGGGAATCCCCATGCTGTCTTCTTTCCATTGAAGAGGAGGGTTCTTTGGAAGTGCATCTTGGATTGTAGACGTTTCTTGCCATTCTTCCTTATCTGTTCCTTGTTTGACAAGTGGAATGCTTCATAATATTGCCTTTTTTGTTGGCTTATTTCAATATTTTTTAAAAAAGTTATTTGCTTAGAAATATGATGATTCTGTTCAGCATTGTTTTGATTATTTCTGATGGAATATCATGCAAATTACATGCACTGCTTATGTTCATTGCTGTTAAGTCTTATGTGCCTGTATGAAAGGGAAAAAATGCATAAAAGGCGAAGTGGGATCATTTAGTAAAACCACTTAGATAATAGTTGTCATCGTCCCCCGTGAGATACCATACAGAACAAAGCTGGCCTATTAAAATTTTCCTTAGAACTTGTATAATAGTTGATTGCATGCAGACATTTTGAAGCCAGATTCCAGGAAAAAAACCAATACAGTACATATAATAGTGATTGTTTTACAAATAGCACCTTGCTATTTTTATTCTGCCATGAGGTCATAATCCTAAGCATACATGCTTCAAAGTCAACTCTAGTGAAATTAATAGGATTTACCTCTGTAAATATGATTATAATTGACATATAAGCTTGTGCAACTTCTTGCTATATGTTGTTGAAACATTTTTGTTTCTCTAGAAAAGAGATCCTTAGCCATTTTTGTTAGATACCCGGGAGGTGATTTTAGTGTTGGAAAAAGTAATGTTTAGTTGCAGTAGCCTAGGTTACAGATAACAGAATGAGGTTTTCCCCCAAGTGGTATTGTTATTGTATATTTGGTAGTACAGGAAATAAAGTGGAGTATTGTTCAGATTGATTTTTCAGATCATAAAAATTGTATGATTCAGGTGTGTGTTTCTTTTAAAAAACCCCCGAAGCATTACTGTTGATAATATTTGAAACTGTAAACCAAAGGTTTTAAAATTAATCTTCTTTCATGTGATTATTATTCTTGCCTTGTTATTTACAAAGCTAGTTTTATGATCCTTTGGGATGAAGTAAGATATCAGAGATACCTGCATTGCAGGGGGTTGGACTAGATGACTCTCTGAGTTCCTTTAAATTCTACAATTCTATGATTCCATGAGAACAAATGCTGTCATAAGGAGTGACCTTAATAGTTATTTGCAATTTGTAAATTACAGTTGCTGGTTGAAGAAGGTCCTTACTTAGCACAACAGGGGAAAAGTTTCCATTCTTGGGATTTATATTTTTTTGGTGGGGGGAGGGGAAGATTTATGTAAGATTTACCCAACTTAATTGAGCAAGAACGCATTACTGAGAAATGCTGCCTGAGTTGTTACATGTGTTTGTTGCTGGAAGCAGCACTTTCAGCGTATCTTGATTTAGAAGTATAGCACCCTCATGTATTTAATTGCAGTTGAGGCATAGAAATGGTCCAGCTGAAGTCTATACCAGTCTTCCATGATTTCTCAAAATTGAAGTATTTTTGGAAACAAATCTCACTTAAAGGCTGAGAAATCTATCTAGTATAATAGGCTTTATTTCATATTTAAAATTGATGTTGAATTCCCGGTGGCCCATCTAGTCCAGGTGCTGAATGGATATTGTGTGCTTCAGTGACCCTCATGGATCATCTGTTTGAATCATCATGACAAAGTTACGGTATTCAGAACAGCCTGTCAGAAGATTCTTATGCCCCCTCTTCTTAAAAAATCCCCAAGAATGAAATTGCATCACTTACTAGTCAGATTGTTGCAGTTAATTTCTAAAAGTCATTGGGTTTTACTGTGTAATTCTAATCCATTGTAAGTTCTGTCCTTAATTGTTAGGAAAAATAATGGTTTTAGCTTTTCATTCTGAAATACATTTGATTTTTAAATTGTTGTTACGCCCCTTGCCCCAGTACTCTGTAGTCTGATGAAACTTGCTACTTCGAGTCATTCAGCACATGCAATGATTTTAAAGCTTTTATCATTCTTGTAGCTTTCTTCTGGGCTGTGTCAATATTACAGATCAGGGGCCACTAACATTTTTGGGAGGAGAGAGAGATGAAGTTATTCAATGCACACAATGCTGGGTTCTGCCCAGTATTACCTTGAAGAATATAACATTTAATGTCAGTGCTTAAGACACGTCACATAGATTGTGCAACATCCTTACCAAAGCAAGTCCAAGCTAGTCAGCTGTAATTTAAATTGAGCCCAATAGTTTCACAACCAGCTTTTGCCAAAATATTTTGTAGTTGTCTCCTAAGAATAAAAAAAAAATGACTGTTGACAAAGGACTGTTAAGCTGTCTTGAAACAGTCACCAGAGCTAAACTAGAAATATATCTGGAAATCATTGTAGCTTGTGATAATTTTTTTTAAAGCTTTGTGTTTAGAAATACTTGTTTTTAATTACACTGAGCAATAAGCTGGTTGCTAAGCGTCTTCAGGCAATGATGCAACAGTTTTTCTGCCTTGTCTGCTTTAGCTAGTTCAGCTCTCCCATACCACTCAAAAAACAGGTTTCAAACCAGTTGTGTAGCTTCATTTTCAACTCAGTACAGAATTACTCAGTATATTTAATAAAGGATTGGCCTGTGTCACTAGTATACTTCATTAATAGTGCAGGCACACCTTTGGGTTGTTCACACAGCATGTACAAACATGGCTGTGGTCTGGTAGCTTACTGTTTAATATTTTAAATTATATAGTGAGTTAATTTTTTTTCTAAATTAATTAATTCTGTTGTCTGTGTTCAGTATATTTAGTTTACAGCTCCGTGCAGACTTGATAGCTAAGGAGCAGTCAAAGCATTTATTGTAATGGTGTTCAAACTATATTCTGTGGAATTTGGAGGTTGTCAAGAAGATCACTAACAGCACTTTTCTATTTTAAAAAAAGATAGCATGTCAGCCTTTCAGAAAGTCTTGAGTGTATTCCAAGGCACTTCCTTGGTTCTTTTTGGTTAAAGGTTTTTCTGGTACCCTGAAAAAACTGAAAAGTATGTCTGGCATGGTTTTCACAAAAGAGGGATCCACAAGGAAAGAAGACCCTGAGGTTAGGAAACTTGAATTTTGTTGGCTTTGCAGGGAAATGAGGACTCTGAATTTCAATGGGATTTGAGAACTTCAAAGTACAAGTCCTTAATTTGTTTATTGTTGTAATTCATTGAAACCTTCAAAAAGGTTTTAAATTCCCAGTTGCCAGTAACTATTCTTCAGAAGCAAAGAAAAGCCATTTCAATGATAATGAGAAGAGGGTGTAAAAATATTCTGCAAAAGTTAGCTTGCAAATTATATTATTAATTAAAGGTTTTAGAGCATTTATGACCTCTAAATGTATCATGTGCTGTTTTGGGATGTATTGTAGTTTGATCAAAGGAAACGTTGGCTCTCCTCTTCTCTCTAATATAAATATTGGAGCTTGGAGAAAAATCTGATGCAGCCTCTGGAGAAAGATATAAAGCAACTCTTTCATTTTCCTCATGTCTTCTTCCTACGATTAGATTTCAGTTTTGGCTTGGGTATTTACATGTATTTTGTGAAATTCCTGTGGGTTCACTAAAAGTAGTACTACAGTTGTCTGAACAGAAATGGATTGCCCATCTCTTTCAGATATGGTCCCTGAATGTTTCTTTACCGATGAGAGGTGGTTTAAAATCAGGTGGTTTAAAATGAGACTATCAGCTTGTCTCTTTTTTCCTCTTAGAGAGATGATGGTAGTGATGGTAGCTTGAGTGATAGCCACATATCTCCTCCAGCCAAACGTACCTTGAAACATGCAGATTCTGTATGCAAAGACAAATCAAAATCTCGCAGTACTGGGCAGCGAGAGGAATGGAGCATCTCAACTGGACAGTCCCGGTAAGAATGTTAACAGTATTCAAATATTTGTCTAATAGAGTTCTGCCCATTTGCTTGAACCCTGTAAATCTCTTGATAAAATGTCAAATCTCCATCCTTTTGCAGTGAAACATGTTGCAAAAAAGTTCATCTACTGCTCTAACAGCATCCCCTTTAAAAGTTTCCCCCTTCCATAGCATAATAAAATGAGTCCCGTGTCCTGATGTTACGGTATTAATGCATTTCCTGGCAGTTAATTATGCGGTGCATAGACAATGCAATGAAAAATGGGGATTATACCTGGAGGGGAAGGTGATAACTAGATTTGGAGTGTGTGTGTGCTTTTGCCGGTAAACGTGGATTTCTTATAATCTCTATAATTTCTCAATCAGTCACGTGCTAACGGAAGCTTCTTTGTTTAGAACTTTATAATAAAGAATAAAGAATAAAGCTGAGGCTTCTGACTTCATGCATAAGTCCATGAGACACAGCTTGTTCCTCCTCCCCCCACTCGACCACTTTATTTCAAATGACAAGCTTTGTTTGTGGAAAAACATCTGTTGCTTACATTTAAACATCTGCAATTCCTTGTGCTGTAAGTGCTGTAATACATTCCGTAAGATGAACTAGTTTAAAGCTCTGTGCCTTAAAGTAGAAAGAATGTTTCGATCTCTCCCTGTTTGCTACATGACTGCCTGTCAAGGACTCCTCCTTCAGTCATTCTATGCTGAGCTGAGCCATTATTTGTCCTAGCGTGTTGTCCAAACCTGGGCTCATATTTCAGCTCTCCCAGAAAAATCACAACTTGTAACTAATGTTTGTCCTATGCAATGAAGTCAAACAGGAGAAAGTTTTCTTGGTTGTATCAGCATACAGAGATGATATATAAAGCATTTCAATCACACTATTTCCCACAAATGTTACTAGCCTACAAAAATGTTTACTAGCCAGCTGGGAGATGACAGAAGATGTATGAAGAGCTGTGTCCCTCTTGAAGCAGCCCATTGCATTTCTGTGCGGGACATAGAGGATGCCGTTTTCCTCCTATGGCTTGGTTTATATGTTGGGCATGGAGGGATAGAGTACTCTGTCCCTCTCTTGCTAGTCTGCTCACTCGCCTGCATGCAGTTCCATGTTGCCTACGGCTACCAGTAGCTAGTACTTAAGTACAAAGCTGCTCTGTTTTCCTGTTTGCTTCCCAGAATTGCAGAGATAGATGATAATGCTTTTGGTTTTCTGAAGTTAAAGTTTAAATTGAACTCATGGTCTCAGATGTCCGAAAATTGCACAACTGATATACATTGTTATTTAAGCTGATAAATAACTATGCACTGTTTATGCTGGTTGGAGTTGACATATAAATATCCTTATGCTTTCCCCCTACTTTGCCAAGGGAATAAATTGAAATACTGTTGCACACCATCACAGTAGAGAAGATCCTCCAATGCTCTAGTTGCAATCTTCAGACTATCTTCAAGGGAAGTTCAGTATAAAGCTCGTTACAATAGTCTAAACATAAGGTTACATGAGCACGCATCACAGTGGCAAGGTAATCTCGATCCAGGGCAAGCTTACAGCACATAAAAAATTGTAAAACATTAGACATAAAAAATTTCCCAATACAGGGTTGCCTTCAGATGTCTTCTAAAAGTCAGATAGTTTTTTATCTTCTTGACATCTGATGGGAGGGCATCCCACAAAGATGAATTAATAATAATAGTAATAATAATAGTAATAATAATTAATATATTTATACCCCAGCCACTCTGGGCAGCTCCCAACAGAATATTAAAAGCACGATTAAACATCAAACTTTGAAAACTTGCCCTAAACAGGGCTGCCTTCAGATGTCTTCCAGCAGTCAGATAGTTTTTTATTTCCTTGACATCTGATGGGAGGGTGTCCCACATGGTGGGTGCCACTACCGAGAAGGCCCTCTGCCTGGTTCCCTGTAACCTCACTTCTTGCTGTGAGGGAACTGCCAGAAGGCCCTCAGAGCTGAACCTCAGTTTCTGGGCTGAACGATGGGGGTGGCCCTGGAAAACCATTTTTTGACACTTAGCAGTAATGGTGTTGGTGCCCGTTCCCTCTCACCATTTTGTAGTGACACCAGTGGCTCAACAGGAACACCAGTAGTGTCAACTTGAAAATCCCCCAGAGCATTCAGGAATCCTGGTTCCATAATTCTTTGCAAATGGACCATCTTAACTGACCCATACCCCCAGCAGTGGAAAGTGGGGCAGAACTTGCTACCTTTGGCCTAAACCTGACAGGAAGTGGCTTATCCATGTTTCATAGAACATCTCCTAGCATCTTTACTTTTACTCTTTGGAGAAATATTTTAAAACTGAATGCCTAATGGTCCTGCCAGTCATTTCCTGTTCCAGAATAGAGTAAATGCTTCAGTAATTTTTCTGGCAAGAATCTTTTCCATTTGTCTACCGATAGCCTTATCATACAGGTGAAATACCGTGGTTATTTGTTTGCCTATGACCCATTTCCTTTGGGCTACATTATTTTGGAAAGTACTTCAAATTTGAAATATATTCTTACTTTTTAAAATGGAAAATTACAGTTCTAGAGAATCAATGTACAGAATATTTATGTCTTATGAGTTCTTGAGCTGATCAATAGAATGGCTGTAAATTTGTTTATTTAATCCATTAATGAATAAAGCATAAACCTACAGTTGGTAAGAAGAGATGTAGTGTGTTTTGTAAAATCATTGTTCAGCTGATTCCCACCATTACTTATTAAATAGTTTTAACCCAAACTATGAGCTAATATGTACACTGCAGCTTAGCAAGACTCTTAAAAATCAATACAATTTTTTTGTTTTTTGTTTTTAAAAAAAGACTAGGGAGGAGCACAGTGACTATGAGCCCCTCTATTGAAGCCTGTATGTATGCTAACCATGTTTTGTCATGCGAGCCAGGTCTATGTTTCACATTGCCTACATATTGGCTTTTGAGTCAATTAGCTTTTGAGAGCTAATGTTCTGCAGATAAGGAGACAGTCTCATTTCATTGCTGATTCCCTGGGTGAACTTGGGCAAATCTCTAGCTCTGTCTCATTTCGCCATCCACAGGTGTTGAAGAATAGTTATCTATTGTGAAAGAGAGTAAGATATAAAACTACTAATCCGAGAAGTAGCTTACTATGAGATAGCAGTGGTCATATTCAGTCTGTAACATTTAGGTACAAGTTATGTGTGGCTTGTAACTCTTAATAGAACAAATGAATATATTTTGCAAATTTAATTATTTCGTAGGTTAACTTCTCAATCTGGTGCTACATTACCAAATGGACGTAGTTTATGTAAGTACTTCATTTTTTACCTATGACCTTTCCAATTAATAGTGGGGTTTTTTTTGTTCCCTTGTGTCTTCTGTCTTTCAGTGTCAGGAATCTGTTGTTTTTTCGCACACGCAAACAAATGAATTACCAATAAGATTCCATGCAGCATTCTTTGCCATGATTTTCTTCTGATCACATTCACACATTATTATAATTGTCATCTAAAAATAGTTGCTACTCTAAAGAAATGAGGATAAATATAAATCAGTAGTGAAGTGGGAGGCTATGAAATGAAAAGAAGTGATTTTTACAAGGAAATTGCTTGTTTATATTATGAGGTCGAAGCAGAATTGATAAGGTGATTTTTACTTAAATAAAATAGAAAAAGACTAAGGATTTATTAAGGTTAAAAAATAGCTAGAAGATATTGCAGGAGGAGAAGAAGAAGAAGAGAGTACAGTATAGTGATTAGGATCTTGGGAGTCCATGGTTCAAATCTCCACTCAGCCATGAAGCTCACTGCGTGACCTTGGGCCAGTAAATGAGGAGGGGGAGAACCATGATCTCTTCCTGGAGCTCCTTGAATAAAAAGCGGGGATATGAATGCAATAAATAAATACATACATAAAATAAGCAGAGAGACAAGGTGACTTACCTGAATTGAGGCATGTGGTTGATCTGCCAAGTTGGAATATAATAACAGTGATCCTGCAAGGAAAGTGAGAGGGGACAAATATAATAATAATAATAATAATAATAATAATAATTTTTATTTATATCCCGCCCTCCCCAGCCGAAGCTGGGCTCAGGGCGGCTAACAACAATCAAAATAATCCGACATTCTAAAACATTCATTATAAAATTAATTAAATCAAATTAAAATCAAATTAATGGCAACCATCAAGCCAAATTCTGTGCAGATTGCCGATTGCCAGAGGAGGGGGTCAGGCTGCGCCCTGACCAAAGGCCTGGTGGAACAGCTCTGTCTTGCAGGCCCTGCGGAAGGATGTCAGGTCCTGCAGGGCCCTAGTCTCTTGTGACAGAGTGTTCCACCAGATTGGAGCCGCGACCGAGAAGGCCCTGGCTCTAGTTGAGGCCAGCCTAACCTCTTTGTGGCCTGGGATCTTTAGGATGTTTTTATTTGCAGACCGTAGATTTCTCTGTGGGACATACCAGGAGAGGCGGTCCCGTAGGTACGAGGGTCCTAGGCCGTATAGGGCTTTAAAGGTTAAAACCAGCACCTTAAACCTGATCCTGTACTCCACCGGGAGCCAGTGCAGCTGGTATAATACCGGATGGATATGATCTCGCAGCGAAGACCCCATAATGAGTCTCGCCGCGGCATTCTGCACCCGCTGGAGTTTCTGGGTCAGTCTCAAGGGCAGCCCCACGTAGAGCGAGTTACAATAATCCAGTCTGGAGGTGACCGTCGCGTGGATCACAGTGGCTAGGTCAGGGCGAGAGAGATAAGGAGCCAACTGCTTAGCTTGGCGGAGATGAAAAAATGCCGCCTTTGTTATAGCTGTAATCTGCGCCTCCATAGAGAGGGAGGTATCGAAGATTACACCCAAACTCTTAACGGATGATGTTGGCACTAATTGCACCCCCGCAAGAGATGGGAGTTGCCCCCTCAATCCCATATCGCTCCGTCCCAGCCAAAGGACCTCTGTCTTCGAAGGATTTAACTTCAACCGGCTCCCACGTAACCATCCAGCCACAGCTTCCAGACATCTGGTCAGTGTATCTGGGGCCGAGTCAGGGTGGCCGTCCATCAACAGATAGAGTTGGGTGTCATCGGCATACTGATGGCAGCCCAGCCCAAAACTCCGGACAAGCTGGGCGAGGGGGGCGCATAAAGATGTTAAAAAGCATCGGGGAGAGAATCGCACCCTGAGGCACTCCACACACCAAGGAGTGGCGCGATGACAATTCCCCCCAAGCGCCACCCTCTGTCCCCGACCAGAGAGAAACGAGCGCAGCCATTGAAGGACTGTGCCCTGGATCCCCACGTCGGCAAGGCGGTGGTCCAGGAGTTCGTGATCGACCATGTCGAAGGCTGCTGACAGGTCTAGAAGAATCAGCAGCCCCGACCCGCCTCGATCCAGCTGCCTGCGGAGATCATCTGTTAGGGCGACCAGAGCCGTCTCGGTCCCATGACCAGCGCGGAAGCCGGACTGGAATGGATCGAGAGCCGATGTTTCATCCAGAAACCTACCAAGCTGTTCAGCAACCGCTCTCTCAATCACCTTACCCAGGAATGGAAGATTTGAAACCGGGCGTTCTTCCCAGCTTTCTTACTGTATTGTACTTGTACCTTTCCTATTTTAAATTTATCATTATTATTAAAACATTTAAAATCATTTCAGCTCTCAAAAGCAATTCTCTTCGTGGGGAGAAAAAGGTTGATGGGGACCATGCCTGTATAAATGGAGGTAGAGAAATCAGAAAAAGTTGCCGATCCAGAAAAAACAGATTTGAAAGTTTGAATCAAAGTTTACTATTTGACCAACTGGTAAACAGGTATGTGGAAATTTTCCAATAATGTTTTCTAGATTACTGGCTTTGTTGACATATTACATTTTGTTTTCAGATTGTGAGAATACATCCTTTAGCCATTCCTAAATTGCCGCTAATTAGTTTCTGATTTAAGTGTTTGATATATCATTAACAAATATATCCTAGTGCAGAACTGTTGGTCAAAATATTGAAATTTTTGTTTAATCAAACACAACCATGCATACAAATTGGTTTCCTTTCTGGATTATTTTAGTCTTAACTCCGTTTAACAGAGATTTTGATCTTTTTCTTCAGCTTCTAACATCCTATGGTTTTTGCAAAGTTATTGAAATTACAGGTGTCAACAATGATGATTGAATCTACTGTATAGTAAATTTCATGCTTGGACATTATTATGCTCCAGTTTTTATCACGGTTTTATTTCAGTGTAACTACTGAAGGCAGGCGGCTTTTATTCTCTTTGTGACCTATAAAAGCAGGGGTGGCTATTTTTTTTAAATAAAAAAATGCTATGGTTAATTGACAGCCACCCCTCCCAAGTACCAATGCCAGTGGTGTGCATGGCCAATATATTTGCAGACTGCACATGCAGCATACATATGCAAAAGAGACCATAAAGTACATTTGCACATGCACACTCATGCAGTGCGCATGCAGTCATAGACTGTCTCTCACACACTAGTAACTTAGATAGATTCTTATATGGTAGAAAAGGCACTAGCATTTCTCATCATATTTTCTTCTCTCAGAAATTTAGGCCGAGCTAGCATCCATTATTCATGCTCATGCAATTTATAACTGATTAGGTCATACATCATTCCATGAGTACCTTGCATTCACAGAATACCCAAATCACAAAATCGTCATCTCACAACTTACTGCGTTAACACAGATGTTAACACAGAGCGCGCGCGCGCACACACACACACACACACACACTCTTTCTCTGCAGGATGAGAGTTATTATAAAGTTCTTCCCACCCTAGCAGTAAGGTGGTGGTGGGGAAAGCGAACCTTTTCCTGTTCACAGTAGGACCCATGGAGAATAAAAAGAGTGTTCCCAAGACACCCTGTCCCGCATACCTGTACTAACATGAGGAAAATGCTGCTTTTTATTCTTCATCTCTAGAGAGCAGGTCGAAGGCTTTATCACCTGATCTTAGAGGGAGATGAAGAGATAAAGCACCTTTTTGCTTTCTCTTGATGGAGCAATTTCTAACGAGGATGCAGAGCTCTTAATCTCAGTGCTGAGCACTACTGTTTGCATAGTAAACAGTATCACATATAATTTAAAAACAATGTTCATGTATTACAGCACTGCTGAAGCTGTTCTTCAGGAAATGGACAATATTAACATCAGACGGAATAGGCGATCAGGTGAAGTGGAACGGTTGCGCATGTGGACAGATACAGAATTTGTAAGTTCAAGTTTCCAGACCTCAAGTTATAAAAATACACCCTTTCAATTTTAAACATTTTGAATATGTTGTTTCTATGCAGCGCTTTAAACAGATGAATAAAATATTGACTCTTTTTTTAATTATAAATTAATATGTTTGATTCATTTGCAAATAATCATGACAGCGATGGAGCAGAGAGGGAGAGGTATGTGATATAGGCTTATATTAAAATAGCTATCAATTTATATTGTGTGTGTGTGTGTGTGGCAGGGGGTGGAAATCTAACAGTAGTAGTATACCGTATTTTTCGCCCCATAGGGCGCACCTAGTTGGGGGGGGGGAATAAAGAAAAAAAATGTTATTTCCCCCCCCAGGCGCAGGGCTGGGGCGGGGGAAGCCTGAGCTTCCCCCGACCCCAACCCCCCAGAACAGGCTGCTATCCGCAAGCCTAGGGAGCCCGGTGGGAAGTCGCGCCGGTCTCCCCAGGCTTGCAGATATCTTCCTGAAGCCCAGGCTTCGGGATGCAGGCAGCTCTCACCGCCAGCCTCCAAAACAGGTCGGGGAACAGCAGGAAGGCGCGCTCCGCCTCCCTGCTGTCCCCCGAGCTTGTGGGGCTGGTGGTGGGGAGAAGCGCGCTTCTCCCCACCGCCAGCCTCCAAAACAGGTCGGGGAACAGCGGAAAGGCGCGCTCCGCCTCCCCGCTGTCCCCTGAGCTTGTGGGGCTGGCAGTGGGGAGAAGCACTGCTTTCCCCACCGCCAGCCTCCAAGCCAGGTCAGGTTTGGAGGCTGCTATCCGCAGGCCTTGGGAGCCTGACGGGAACTCCTGCGGAGCTCCCAAGGCTTGCGGATAGCTTCCTGAAGCCTGGAGAGCGAGAGGGGTTGGTGCGCACCGACCCCTCTCGCTCTCCAGGCTTCAGCGAAAGCCTGCATTCACCCCATAGGATGCACACACATTTCCCCTTCATTTTTGGAGGGGAAAAAGTGTGTCCTATAGGGCGAAAAATACGGTAACTTCTGGCAAAACTGAATACAAATTCTGTGCGTAGCACATATTTGGCTGATCCATCTTTGGGTTTGCAAAGTTAATATATACCAGTTCAGCTGTTGTTTTCTTCTACTGTTGAGTGGTCAGGGCCTGTATTGTTCCTGTGATTTCTTGAGGCCTCCCTCGAACAGTACAACAGCACATTTGAAAACTAGTCACAGCTCAGGGAGTTATCTTAGTTCCTATCTGCCACAACTCAGCAGACTTGCACAACTGTTGAAATGCAATGGCAAATGGCTTGGTAAGTGAAAGCCAATTGATGAGGCAACAAGGCTTCCTCTTTTATGAGCTGGCTAAGTTGCAACAGCCCCGCCCTCCCAAGCAACCCTATTGGCTGCTGGGAAGCTGTAGCTCTGTGTGGTGGAATCCCAGAGTCTCTGGTTCATTTCTGTGGCTCCCAGCCTTTGGGCAGCATCTTTGTGGGCGTCCCATTGCTGCATGGTGGCAAGAAGACCAAAGAATTTGAACAGAATAATTGGGGGCACTTGCACTGTGCACCACCTGTAAGTTCCAGAATGCTGAATATGCTCCTTTCCCAAAAATGTGAACGCTTGTTCAATAGCAGATGCCCCACTATTACAATAGCAAATATTTTTGTATGGCATAAACTTGTGAATATAGATGCTGTAACATCTGTTTGTTGGTCTTGATGTTGCTGTAGTAGGGAAATGGTAACATGCTCACTGTGTCTTCAGTGTCAGTAGCTGATTTATAATTGCTTATAGTCCAAAGCAGCACTTATTTCTCACCTTGAACACTTCCCAGATGATGTGCATTTCTTGTTTTACAATGCAGATCATGCTGATATTATCTTTATTCCAGGAAAACATGGATATGTATTCACGTGTCAAGAGGAGGAGGAAATCACTGAGGAGAAATAGCTATGGAATCCAGAACCACCATGAAGTTTCCACAGAAGGGGAAGAAGAAGGTAATGACAGAGGTTAGCTAGCTACCTTTGTAGGTGCTATTAAAAATGTTTGTGTAAAAAAGCTAATATAGGGGTTACAAGATTATATAGTCATGGAATTGCTGATATCTTTAAATTTGTTTAGTTATATCCCACAGACCAAAATAATCTCTGCTCTGAACATAGTCAATTTACTGAATCTGTCATTCCACTGAACAGATTGATTTTAAATTCTTTATCACCTGTGATAAAATTTATCCTGAATACTGTTTGTGACCAAATTTTATCTGTCTGTCTGTCTGTCTATCTATTAGAATCATTTTACAAATTAACAGGAATCCTTTTACAAGAGTCTGCAATGAAGTTGTATAAATTCTTTATTTGCCTTTTATTTCTAGAATCTCAAGAAGAAGATGGAGATATTGAAGTAGAGGAGGCAGAGGGAGAAGAAAATGATCGTCCATATAACCTGAGACAAAGAAAAACAGTGGAGAGATACCAAGCGCCTCCTATAGGTAAGAGAGAAGCATAAACATGCACACCACTCTTCCTTAACTTTAGTAGCTGTGTTGGTCAGGCTGTCTTCAATGTATAGCAAGAGAAACGGTACCTTTTTACCTGATTATTTATTTAACTGCTGGAAGCCCAAGTTCCTTTCATAATATTTTTCTTTTTGCACTGGATGTTCTTTGAGACATTATTGCCACATTTGCATGTTGCACTACAGCATAGTATAAGATAATAATCAATGAAGCCTTGAGCTCATGTGCTCTTCCTTCTGAATGAATAGCAGGTAGGAGGTCAGGTGCTTTTACTTTTTTGTAATTATGGCTTCTTATAACATCCTAGACTAACAAACCATGGTTAACATAGACTGGTTTGTTTGAAACCATGGCTTCAAGTTAATGTTAACTTGTTGGTTTGGATAAAATGTCAAACCACAGTTAAGAAAAAGAAAAAAGCATCTAACCTTCCCGCTATTCAGAATGAATTATGTATGGTTCTAACTGTGTGTCTGTTTCACTTACAATTCTTGTACAACCTCTGCCATTTAGGTATGATGAGATTAGGTATGATGAGACTTTGCTCTCCTGTGTGACTCCTTTTCTCTCTGCCCTCTTGATGTGCAGCAATGGTGGGAAATCTGTGTTCCTCCAATTGTTGGACTCCAGATCCCCTCAGCCCCAGCTAGCATAGCCAGTGCTCAGGGACAAATGGAGTTCATAGTCCAGCAACAGCTGGAGGACAAGAAGTTTCCTACCCCTGGTATAAAGAGCTGGGAGAGCCCACAATAAATTTAAATAGGAAATCTGCTTGGTTGCACCTTTTAACCTGTATTTATACTTGTATATTTTGGGAGCAATCCAGTGGAAGTTGTGGTAAAGGTAAAGGGACCCCTGACCATTAGGTCCAGTCGTGGCCGACTCTGGGGTTGCGGCGCTCATCTTGCTTTACTGGCTGAGGGAGCCGGCGTACAGCTTCCGGGTCATGTGGCCAGCATTACTAAGCTGCTTCTGGTAAACCAGAGCAGTGCACGGAAACGCCGTTTACCTTCCCGCCAGAGCGGTACCTATTTATCTACTTGCACTTTTACGCGCTTTCGAAGTGCTAGGTTGGCAGGAGCAGGGACCGAGCAACGGGAGCTCACCCTGTCATGGGGATTCGAACCGCCAACCTTCTGATCGGCAAGCCCTAGGCTCTGTGGTTTAACCCACAGCGCCACCCGCATCCCACAAAGTTGTGGTACATATGTCTTAAAGAAATGAGTGTGATTTGAGTAGTGATTTGCCATATGCCCAGAATTTCCCAGACATACCCAGGATACTGCAGCTGCAAGCAGTGCTCAGGCGGAAATTGACAAAATGTCTGGGAAAATCCGGACATATGGCAGACCATGCCGGCACTGTCATTTTTGCTGATTTTCCTCAGAAATAGCTAAAAAACAATTTGGCAAATAAAGCTATTTTTTGAAATATGGCAACCCTAGATTTGAGAAAACTGGTTTGGAGAGAAGAGGATGCGGGAGTTTTTTTTAAAAAAAGTTATTTATTTATTTATTTATTTATTTATTGCTTGCTTGCTTGCTTGCTTGCTTGCTTGCTTGCTTGCTTGCTTGCATAAAGGTCTGAGCTTTGCATAAAGGTTGTGAGCTTTAGCAAGATACGTAACAGTAAGCATGTAGTTGTTTGTGTAAATCTGTTAAGAAAATAAAAATAATAGTACACAAATTTGTATTGCATTTTCCCCCAAATTGGTTTGTCTTCTCCAGTGCCCGCACACCAGAAGAAAAGGGAAAATGCATTGTTTGACATACATAGATCTCCTGCAAGAAGAAGCCATATCAGGTAAATTGGGGGTCACCAATGTTTGGGGGCATATAGGTACATTTGGAATTTTGTGAGAGTGCCATGGGCACCACTTTCTCTTCCCCAAGTCACTTCCCCCAAAAGATGTAAAGAGACAATGTGTCTGTGACACATACATAGCAGGAAGTACATTGGCGGTAATAAACTTGATCAAATTTATCATGGTTTATTAGATCAAGTCACAACAGAACCAGGCCATAGTGAAACATTTCAGATATTTTAAACTAGAGCTTTAACTTCTCCTGTTTCGAACAAATCTTGCTTAAGATTAACCATAGTTAGTTCGAATTTGATAAAATGACAACCTTCAGTTGATAAAAATGGAAGTAAAAGCTTCCAGTCTTACATGCTGATGAAGGAGGGGGTAGTGTGAGGCTTCTTGTAACTTAGTCCTTTCACAAGAAACTGGTTTATCATGACATCTGAGCCAGTTCAGTGTATGAAGATAAGGTGGTTTTCTCTGCTTATTACATTTTGTTGGTGTTCTTAACTGTTAGCATTGGAACGCTGAATACATGCTGTTCTTCAGTGAAATACTTTTGTTGCTTCCATAGGAGAAAGAAGCATGCTATTCATAGCAGTGATACAACCTCTTCAGATGAAGAACGCTTTGAAAGAAGAAAATCTAAGAGCATGGCAAGAGCAAGGAACAGGTAATTTTTTGTTCTTCTTTTCAACTTGGAGAATAATAGCTTCACTATGCTTGGTGAAGGGACGCGGGTGGCGCTGTGGGTTAAAGCCTCAGCGCCTAGGACTTGCCGATCGTCAGGTCAGCGGTTCTAATCCCCACGGCGGGGTGCGCTCCCGTCGCTCGGTCCCAGCGCCTGCCAACCTAGCAGTTCGAAAGCACCCCCGGGTGCAAGTAGATAAATAGGGACCGCTTACTAGCGGGAAGGTAAACGGCGTTCCGTGTGCTGCGCTGGCTCGCCAGATGCAGCTTGTCACACTGGCCACGTGACCCGGAAGTGTCTCCGGACAGCGCTGGCTCCCGGCCTATAGAGTGAGATGAGCGCACAACCCTAGAGTCTGGCAAGACTGGCCCGTACGGGCAGGGGTACCTTTACCTTTACTATACTTGGTGAAACTTGTCAGACATGCAAAACTACCTTATTCTGACTCAGATAATTGGCTCATCTAATCTAGTATTCTCTGCTCTGACTGGCAGCATGTCTGCTCCTTAAGTGTTTTTTAAATTAAAGATGCATGGGATGTAGTCTGAGACTTCGTTTGTAAACTATGTGGTTTATACTTCTTATCATACAGATTTTGTATCTTTGCATGTGTCGTACTCGTACTCCTTATTGCAAATTAGTCTTTTGGTTCTTTGTCCCTGACACTTAGTGACACTTTTCCTCATGGTGGCTGAAGTTCTTAGTATTATGTTGGGACATATTGAAACATCATATGGTTTCCCCCTTGACATACATGTAAGCTTCATTGGATGACAACCCTGCTCACAATGAAATTGAATGTGACATAACTGGGTGCTGTTTTTGTATCTGAATTGAAACAGATGTCTGCCTATGAACTTCAGAGCAGAAGACTTGGCCTGTGGAATCCTGCGTGAACGAGTGAAAGTTGGTGCAAGTTTGGCTGATGTAGATCCTATGATTCTTGACAAATCGGTGCGCTCCATCTATTTGTCTTCATAACTATACATCTATTTTACAACAAACTAGTCGGAATTGCTAATCTGAAGCTGAAATAAATGCATAATGAGTTGCTTAATTAAATCAGCACTTGTTGTGTTGTATATTGCTGACTCAAAAACAAGCAAACCAGGAAACCATAAATTACACTTCCAAAGTTAAAAATAAATTCATAGTTTAATAAACCTGGTTGTGAATGCCTACCTGTTCCGTACCTGACATAATACGTTAGATATAGGGCAAGTGGGAGCATGGGTACCAGAGAACAGTTGGGAGCCTTAAAATGCTCCTGTTTGTACCTTAGCTGGGGGGGGGCTTGCTGTCAGTGTCAATCAGCTGATCAGTGGTGACAGCAAGTCTGCAGCAGTCAGCTGAGCTGCGGAGTACCCCATTGGGGCTGACAGTAAGCACAAGTTCCCCTTTGCATTGAATTGAATTGAAACCAGCAATGCCAAAGGATCTTCTTCTATAGGTATGGCAGGTGCTGTACCTGCAGAATATTTTTTTTCTTTTGGGGTCCCTTGATGTCAGATGACTGACACTTGGGAGGCCCTGCCCACCTGCCAAAATGGCCATGGTGGGGAATGATCCGGGAGGTGAGGATCCGACCCACTGCCTGGCTCCTGTTCCTCACCGCTGTTCTAAGCTTATGCTGATTATACATGAAGCCAATAGCTAAAAAATACTATTTATCTCCCTTTTAGGTGCGCTTTGATAGCATAGGTGGACTGAGCAATCATATTCATGCACTTAAGGAAATGGTTATATTTCCTCTTCTTTATCCTGAAATATTTGAAAAATTCAAAATTCAGCCACCAAGGTAGGTAGTTTTTTTCTTCATATTTGATGTACAGTATATTGTTTTAATATATTGTGCTTGAGAAGGAATTTAGCAGACTCTGGGATGTACTATGCCACTTTCCCCAAGATTGTCAACACAGAGGTGAAAGAAGAGTGATGTTGAAGGGAATATTTGGCAGGCTAAGTGCACCCTTCACTTATTTCTTGAAGAAACCATTCAGCACAACTAGTTGTAAAGTTCAGATTAAGTTAATTCCAATACATACAATTAGAAGAGCTATGTATTTGGTTTGATCCAATTGACTAGGACCTGTGATGGGGTGGTGATTGCAAAAGTAATTTGAAGAGTGTACAACTTTTTTTTTTTTAGTTTAGTTTGCTTAGAGTCTTAAATATGCCTAAGGGATTTTACTGGATAATGGTCAGGACCTCTATAGCTTGTTGCTGTGGTTAAAAAAGGAGAGTTAATGTGGAAGGACTGCTGAACCGAACATTTGCTTTTCTTTTGCGAATGTCTGTGTCAGGCCCTTTCTGAAGAATAAAGCAGAGGAGGCTTTTTTTGTGTGGTCTAAAAAGCATAGTAGCATTTTGGATTTAATCTGACCAGTGAAAGAAGTTACTGCATTTTTGAAGTTACAGATAGGTAGCCGTGTTGGTCTGCCATAGTCAAAACAAAAAAATTTCCTTCCAGTAGCACCTTAAAGACCAACTGAGTTAGTTCTTGGTATGAGCTTTCGTGTGCATGCACGTGTATCTGAAGAAGTGTGCATGCACACGAAAGCTCATACCAAGAACTAACTTAGTTGGTCTTTAAGGTGCTACTGGAAGGAATTTTTTTTGTTTTGCATTTTTGAAGATTCATGCAGTGATGTCAGTAGAGATGAGATGTGTTATTCAGAGCCTTTAAAATAACTACAAGAAGTTGGCATAAAAGGGTTTCATGACATGGCAAACTTGTGCAGCGGGAGAGACACAGCTTTTCTAACAGAACCAATATGTTAAACCATAGAATCAACACTCTTGTGCCTTAATTGATTTCCTCTGCCCTTTCCCTCATTTTGTAAACTGCTTTGAGGTTTTGACAGTAAGGCGGTGTATAAATTTTATGAAATAAATAAATATTGGGTAGATTTGCATAAGGATAAGAGAACTTGAGAGAGAGAGAGAGAGATGTTTGAATTGTAAAAACTTTTCCTCTTGGCAATCAGTCTTTAGAAATATATCTAATGCTTATTTTAATCTGTGATAATTGCACTATAACCCACTGACCTGGCAGCGGACACATCAACAAGAAGTGATAGACTTACCTTTCTCTTTAAATGATTTGGAACAGAGAGAATAATTATCACATTCTCAAACAAAAAATGAACATACATGGTGGGAAATGTTGGGCGCATCATTATTGGCACTTGTGCCATGTGGGTGACAAATACTTTCTGCATCGAACAAGAAACAAAGAAATAGTGATTACTATATTTATCCATTTGTCTTCAGGGGCTGTTTGTTTTATGGTCCTCCTGGAACAGGTAAAACCTTGGTAGCTAGAGCTCTGGCCAATGAATGCACACAAGGGGAGAGAAAAGTTGCTTTTTTCATGAGGAAAGGAGCAGACTGTCTCAGCAAATGGGTTGGTGAATCTGAACGGCAACTTCGACTCCTCTTCGATCAAGTTAGTACATAACATTATCTCTTTGATAGTTTCAGCCAAAACAGGATGGGAGCGCTTGTCAGAAACGTTTTCGTTGGAGGCTGTGATTCTGGAGGCAGGGATGTTAAAAGGCGGTAAAAATTCACCTATTGACACAGGGAGGGAAATAAAATACAGGGAGCATTGCTCTTGCTCTGAACGATCTTCTTTTGCTGTTGGTGAGGTCACGTTGCCAAATTGGATTAGCTACATAATGTCATAGCATCATCATATTTTCTACTGGAACGTTTGCTGGAATCACTGCAGGAAGAGAGGAAAGGGTTTTTTATTTAAGTAGCAGCAAAGTGTAGGCAAGAATGGCTTAATAAGCACAAAAGGGACATTAAAGCCAATTCTCCTATGTAGGTCTACTCAAAGCTAAGTCCCATTGAGATTAATGGGGCTTACTCCTAATAAAGTAATGATAGGATTTCAGCCTTAAGTTTACTTTGGGACACATCCTTCCCCTACAATTGCTTTCACTCTGTGAAACTCAAAACAGGCATAATTTCTCATATCCCTAGTTTCTTATAGCAGTGCTTAATTGCACTGTGTTGGCAGATGATATAAAACGATACAAAGGAAACATTATATTATCTAGATTGTCTAAAGCTTTTGTTCACTAGCATATTCAATGTACTGATGGAGTAGTATGGAATGGAGCCTAATTTCTTGCTACATAAAATGCAGGATCTTCTATTTATGGAATGGGTCTTCCGATGAACAGAAGCAGTTCTTCCATGAGCAGAGTGAAAACTAAGATCAAACTCTATAAATGTCAGATTTTGTTAAAAATAGTTTAAGTAAGCTATTGGGTTTTTCTTTGACTACTAAATAACAAGATCACTTAGGTGAATTCCTAGAATAGAAACGTACAAGAGGACAAAGCATGCTCTGTGTAAATGAGAATTTGAGGCTTGTTCTCTTTTTATAGTGTGTTCATCAGACTTTTCTTTTTGTTGGATTGGTTGGGTGTACCTGCTTGGAAACAAATAGGAGCAGGTTGTTTGAGCAAAAAACTTGCTGCAGCTTCTTTTCACCTTGAATTAGAAGATGAGGGACGTTACCCTGACAGTTCATACCTCTCAGCTGAACACTGGAAGAGTTGCAATGCAGTGATACTCTGGACCATCTCATATGGAACATAGACCAACAATTACAATTCCCTCCAAGCAGATGAACTGTTGAAAGTGAATCTTGGCTCTCACAAAAAGAAAATATTTAATGGTACTTGTATGACTGGCATGAGACAGGAGGTAGACTTACGAATGTAATCTTGCAGAATTTGAGAAACAACCTGTTTATTTCCCCCTCTTTTAACAGCATCCTGAATCTGTACTATTATTGCTGTTGCCATTTAGTAAAATGCATTTGATCAGTGAACACCTTTAGTGGGTGAACTTTAGATTTATGACCAGAGTGGGTTTACCTAGAAGGACAGCAGTTCAAGTTAGACATTAATTAAAGGTACAGGTAGGCTTAATCTTTGGCATTATAAACAAATGCTTTTCTTGTGCTTTTTTAACTAATACTGTTTGTTGCTCACCAGGCATACCTGATGAGGCCATCCATAATCTTTTTTGATGAAATTGATGGATTGGCCCCAGTCCGTTCTAGCAGGCAGGACCAGATTCACAGGTAATTCCAGTGTATTACTTCTGAATATCTTGTGTTGGCTCCACAGTTTCGTTGTTCACACAATGGTAGATCCAACACCTTTTCATATGAAGTGCATAGGGTGGGATTCAGGGGAGGGCTTTGTCAAACACAAGGATTTCCACTTGCACAGTTGAGTTTTCCTGCAATCTCCCTGTGCCTTCCACAGATCTTCTGCGGAGGGTTGGGGGACACGCTGGAACAGATTTAAGGGGTTTGCGGGGAGAGGAGAGGGCGTGGAAATTCTGTTATGCAGCCAAAGGTTCTTGTGCTAGTGGAAGCACTTTGTTGAATACCACCCATAAATATTTAGGTCAGTGAATATGATAAAATAAAATGTAACATGAAAACTAGTACTGTAGTAAGCAGATTGTCAGGAGAACATTCTAAATGGTTTAACTGGATCCCCCCCCCCCAACTTTTATCTCCTGTGAACAAAATATTGTTTGTTAGCTTCCGCAAGGTAAGCTTCGTTTTAATTCTAGCAACTTATTTGATCACTGATGTATAACTGATACAGGAATTGTGCACAAAGTGATGTGGCTGTGCTCCCTGGATGCTTATCAGTGGTACCATATATGGTGGAAAGGGCTTTGGGGCTCAAATGCGGCTGTCAATAGATTGGAAATTTGCCCTGCAGCAGTAGTGATAGGCAAAAGGTGGCTGGTATATCTCTTTGGCTATGACAGTAAAGAGAAAGCTTTTCCTTCTTTTTTATTTGGGAGAGATTGAACAACAACAACAAAAGGTTATCTCCAGACTTCGTGTAGGTGGGCAAGGATCAAACAGAAACTGGCTAAGGATTGCTCTTTACGTTGCTTCTCTGTGGAGCATTGTCAGGGCATAAAAGAAACTCTTCTTTGTTCAGTAATGGGATACAACATAACTTTGTGAGAAGACACATTCAGAATTATTATGCCTTTTCGGATCGAATACTTGTCACTTGCATACCTAGGCCTTGTCTATGAGCAACGCCAGAAATGATAATTTATTTCAAGTGCTTCACTATAGTGTTCATAACTATAGTGTTGCTAACCTTGGCTGGGATCCAATCTCCCACAAGCAGTGTTTGACTCTGGACTCTCCTGCTGGTAGAAGGAGCGGGCGATGATTTTTCTGACTTTCCTTCACAATGAAACAATTTCATACCTTCTGAAAATATTCTGCAGAGGGTTGGGCGCCCCAACAAAAAAAAAAAAGGGGGGGATTTTACAAGAGAATGATTCTGAATTGCTTTCCCCTTTCTGCCAGCAGGATATCTCTGCCAAATCTTCCAAGGAAAGAAGGAAGCCTTCCATTTGTGAATGGCTTAATTTGGTTTTGCCATACATGTCATGGTTATCCATGTCTTTTATTTAGGATGGTTAAAAACATTTTTAATGACTGTATATACATATTTTGAACGTTCTCCCTAAAAATGTGGTTGAAATGTTGTTTTAGCTCTATAGTGTCTACTCTGCTTGCTCTCATGGATGGATTAGACAACAGAGGAGAAATCGTTGTCATTGGTGCTACAAACAGACTTGATTCTATAGATCCAGCACTCAGGAGACCTGGTCGTTTTGACAGGGAATTTCTTTTTAGCCTGCCTGATCAAAAGGTAAGAATGTGAAGTTGTTATTTTATTTCTTATATCCCACCCTTCCTCTCAAGAGCCCAGGGCAATATTAGAAACTAATTGAAAGCACAATACATAGTACAGCAAATAAGTCAGCATTAAATGACACAAATTCAAATAGATAAACCAGGACTGACCAGAGACATTTTGATGCCTCTTGCAGGTCAGTAAACAGTAACAAGTTTGATGCCCTTCCAAAGTCTGAGGGAGCTGCCTCATCTGCCTAATGGTAGGACAGGCTCTCATGTAAGCAAATTTTTTAAACTAAAGAGAACCTAGTAGTGCCAGATAGTCGTCTTATATTACATTTGAAAAAACCCTCTGTAGGTAAACCATATCAGTAAAAGTTCATGGTTTCTTCATGCCAGTATTCTTATACTCAGCTTTTGTCTGAGAATAAATATAGTTCACTTCTTCCTGATATTAATGGGTGTACATCTTAATAGAAATAGCCAGCAACATATTTTTCCAGAACTATAATCTCCTATATTCTTTTGCATTAACTTATCTTTATTGAAGTTCTCCTTTGAAGTATTAGTTTTAAATGGGGAAGCACATAATTAGTTTGGTTTAAATGAGAGGGCATAAATTAACCAATTTGCCTGTAAAATTCTTTATATAATCATCCGAAGATTTCAGTTACTTTGGGAACAAAAGTGAGCTTGGAGAGACAATCTAGGGCAGTGATGGTGAACCTTTTAGAGACTGAGTGCCCAGACTGCAACCCAAAACCCGCTTTACTGTGTTTATCGCAAAGTGCCAACACGGCAGTTTAACCTGAATACTGAGGTTTTAATTTAGAAAAAACAACTCATACATTAACATCTTTTGTCTTAAAAGAAAAACACAATAACAGAGCTTTCAATAATACAAACAACTTTTTATTGAAAGGTAAAAGTTTGCATTAAGATCATCTAAACAAAGTAAGGAAAGCAATCCCAAGTGCTTTCACTGACTTAAAATGATTTGGCAGAGAATTCCACGGTTTAAGAATTCTCCGCTTTTAAGCTCCAGCCCAACAAGCAAGCGTTCTTGGTGTGGCCCTCTGAGCACATGCAGAGCGGCGCCCCCCCATCACACCGCCCCCCTCATCGTGCTGCCGTTTCCTGAAAGGACCCTGGGGGCTGCCCTATGTACTAGCCCTGCTCCCTCGCCAAGCCCCGACCAGCCCCTATGCAGGGTGTGTAAAGCCTCAACCTAGCAGGAGGAGGAGGAGGAAGGTGGCTGTTCAGAACTCTTGGCGGTCCACCAATGCAGTAGCACATCTCTGAGTGCGTGCAGAGAGCTGCGCCCTCCCCACCCACAGCGGAGGTTCCCCAAGGGAAAATGCGCGCCCTGGGGGTTGTGGCTCCGTTTTGCACCCCCCAACGCCCCCTCTGGGACGCATGCCGTAGGTTCACCACCACTGATCTAGGGATTGGGTCTTATCCATGGGTTGGCAAACTAAGGGCCGCGGGCTGGATCAGGCCCAATTGCCTTCTGGATCCAGCCTGCGGACAGTCCGGGAATCGCCAGGTGGATCGCCACCGCGCACATTCTTTCCCTCTCCTTCCCTCTCCCTCACACGGTGGTGGCGGCGCCTCCTCCCTCCCTCCTTCTAGCTTCTCCCTGCCCTGCCTAGAGGAGGAAGGGGGCTGGGCTTTGTTGGTGCCAGCAGCAGCTGTGCTCGAGCGGCTGCCATTTTAAGCAGCCCGTATCCAGAGCTCTTTCGCGCCTCCTCCGCCGCCAGCCCCTGCCACTCGCAAGACACAGGTAAGCAGCCACCGGGGCTCATGGTGCTCTTGTATCATCGCCCCTCCAAATATAGTCCAGCCCCCCACAAGGTCTGAGGGACAGTGGACCAGCCAGCCCCCTGCTGAAAAAGTTTGCTGACCCCTGGTTATCAATAGGCCAATAATACCCATATCTATCTCCTCTGCCAAGGAGACTGTGGAAGCTGAGCAGTGTTGCCTGGAAGCAGTGAAGATAGAATGCGGGCTAACAAGTTGAGCCTTTGTCTAGTCATGGCAGAGATGGTTTTGGCCAGTAGATGGGCTAATTCAGGACTGAGAATGCAGCTTGTCCTGGATACTTTTAAATTCCTATAAAGGTTAAGGGTCAGTTTGGGAGGAGGCTCCTGATGTTCAGGTAACTTCTATGACCAAGAGTGCCTTGTCTGATTCACTGGCTGCATCTCTTCTTGGAAAAGTTGGATCTGGGCGCAGTAATACATGCATTGGTCACCTTTGGGTAGATTACCGCAATGAGCGCTGTGTTGGGCTATCCAGTGTTCAGTAACTGGCTGGTGCAATTTGCAGCCGCCAGATCACTGTACTATATATATTAGATTAGAATATTTTCAGACTATATTACACCAGCCTTATATAAACTGTACTGGCTTCTTATTTGTTTGTGCTGTGACCTATAAGGCCCTAAGCGACTTAAGGCACAATATTTGAAAGACCACTGCCTCCCGTGTGAACCTGTTCATAGGTTGAGATCATGAACCGAAGTTAGTCGTCTCCATTAACTTAAATTGATCAACTCTGAGAAGAGCACCACTTCCTTTCCCCAGCACAATAAAGGATCTGGTCAGGACACGAGACAGTGTCTTTTCTGTGGCAGCATCTCTGTTATGGAATTCTCTATCTAGAGAGGTTAGACTTGTCCCACCCCCTGAAGACTTTTGGGCTGGGAATAAAAGCATTGTACATTTCAACTGACTTAAAGCAGCTTTTAATCTCGCAGTGAAGATTTATACTCAGCTATTCTTGGTTTTAATGTTTTGATTTAAATCTGTTAATTGTGTATTGTATCCCCCCCTCTAAACCTAATGGTGGTTCTGGCCTGTAAGAGTCAAAAGGTGTTATAAAAGTGTGTTAATAAATAATAATAGGGGGGGGTATATTTAAGTTAGTTGATTAACTTGTTCATGCAAGTGATAGGTTTGATATATTGTGATTTAGCTCTTAATACTGCATTTATTCTTTCTTTCCAAGGCAAGAAAGCACATATTCCAAATACATACCAGGGACTGGAACCCAAAATTGTCAGATCATTTTTTAGGAGAATTAGCGGAAAAATGTGTCGGTGAGTGGTATTATATTAGTGCTTTCACTTTAGATGTCTTTGCTCTTGAAAGGTTTTTTTCTTTACTTTGTAAGAATCCTTAATGTGTGCTTATTAAATTATGTACATATGTCCTGTTAAAACATATTAGAAAATTGAAATACATACTAATTTATTGCTCATATACTATCTTAACTGATGTTTCCTGTTACTACCACAGATCCTTTATAAGACAATTTATATGTCAAAAACTTTGGCATGAATGATTATCCCTTTATAGGACTGAACATGCAAAGCTACCCAGCTTATGGGATACTGGTCTTCCAGAGGACAATGGCAGCTCTTTTTATATTACAAATAAAATAGAAAAAAACCAATTTGTTTCCCTACATATGTGGATGCTAAAGAGTTCTGTCTTTTTTTATTATTGAAATGGTTTTTGGAAGGCAACTGAGCTAAGAATCCTCAAGACTTAAAAGTATGCTAGTTACAGAATAGGTGTTTCTTTCTCTAAAGTTGGACACTGGATATCTGAAACATACTATGGAGCACCAGACATGAAATACTGAGTAGTAGATTGGCTGTTCAAAATAAACATAAGCCTTACCATACTAGCAACTATACTATAAAATCAGTAGGTTAGAAAAAGTGAGATGTGTTAACATAATAAATCAACCCTAAACAAATAACCATAGCCTCTTCCAAACAATTTTTCATCTTCTGTCCATCTTATGCTGCTAGTCAACAATTTTTAGGAAAACCACATCAGGTCATTGGGTCTACTACATCAAAACAGTAAAATTTTAAATTTAACACCATCCATTCAGTCAGCTACTGTACATCCGAATTATCCTCTTCATCCACAGGAACATCTACCTTCGAAGCAGCATTCCTCCACTTTTGATCTGCAAAGACCCCAACATCTTCTGGTGAGAAGAAAACAAAATATCCAGCAAATGACAAATTAAGCTTTGCCAGGTGTAAGAAAGCATGTGCCAAACCCATTTCACATAGATTCTTCTAGAGATTCTGCAAAAACCATTTAGTAGAAGGTAGATGATAACAAAATAGAATTTTGGTCCCTTCATGTTGTGACCATATTTCTATTTGAAAAAATATTAAGATTGCAACGACATGGCTTGGATATCTCATAAGAAAACGTGCCCTTTACTGTGGTGTAACCAATTGGATTTGAAGGGGAAAATCTGTTTAATTAAACGGGAAAAATATCCCAGAGCTTATGCTCTGCTTTTTCCTCTGAAATTAGATTTATATTTTAAATCCTGCAGTTGCAGTGCAATTGTTAGATGTGAAACTTGAAAGCTGTGGTGGCAGATCAAGTTAGACAAGAAATCTAGTTCCTATCATTTGCAAAGAGGTTGTCTCAATTTTTTCTCAAAAGGGCTTGGAATGTGTAGCCTATTTATTCAGCATTTTGAAAATTCATTGGGACCATTTAAACACATGTTTGCTTAGCCCTTAATTTGATGCAGTTGCTAAACACTTTTCTGTTCACCCATTGTGGGTTATCTTAAAGACAGAACTCTCCCAACTTGGATAGCATAAAGAAGAAAATGATGACTGAATTATCTGAAAACAATTTTCTCAGCAGTCATGGATTGGGAGCATTCACTAGCATTAGGCTTAGACATCTTAATGCTTAGATTTGTTTTGAGATTTTGAATTCCAGGTTCTGTAGTCATCAGGGCTGGTTTCTTGAGGCTAACATACTTTGGTTATAAGTTTGATTTGGGTTTTGTTTTTTGTTTTTTAAGCTTGCACTTCAGAATTTTTATGTGGGACATTTAAGAAAAATAATCCAGTTTCAAGAAAAATAAATGCAAATTTGTGTGAAATCATTTAAAAAGCCAATCAAGTGGCAATCTGTCTGAAGACCAATCAAAGTATTTGAGATAGGGATCAGACTGGAAGGGATCAAAATACATTATCACGCCCTGGACCTATCAGTGTCTTTCAGCAAATTAACCCAGCATAATCCTAGCCCTGCTAAGCCGCTGTCAAAAAACAGGTTCTTCAGAGGGCATAGCTCTAAAATGGCTAATGCAAGTCAATCAAGCCATACATTTTAATGAAAGCTGCAGTAACACTGTGGATTTTTAATGAGTTTGGCACGAGGAAAAAATGTTCCTGCATGGATTTGGCCACAAACAAGCCTTTAGAATAAATTTATAAATTATGTTTCAATTTCTTTACCCAGCTCTTTTGAAAGCAGGATTTATTACTTGCCCAACGGTTCTCAAGAAATTATTCCAGAACTTCAAATAGAAATCCCTCAAGTTACCTCTAAATTTTATTTAATAATTAATTTATAGACATTAATTTTCATAGTACAGATATCTTCAACTGAAATGTTCCTCTAATCTGTTTGTGGTATCATTCAGGCGTATTCACTGCATGTGAATATCATCTGTGCCTTTTTTCTAACTAAGCAATCAATAAACACTAATGCACTTAAAATAGATTAAAATATAGATAATCAGTCTGGTTGCTCCAGTGTGCAATAGCTTATGTTGGAAATGATCTTTCTTAATTTGGTACCAAAGCTAGACGTAAATATTTTTGCCTCGATAGGCTTGTTTTTTAGTGCATGTTCAAGTGTTGAATTAAGATCTCATTTCCCCCCTGCCTTCCACTTGATAACAATGTTGTCAATTCTTTTTAACGCATAGCTTCAGTTTACTTCAGTTATTCTAGTTTCTGAGAACATCTGCTTCATCCTGTATAATGCCATTATGCTTCTCTATATTTCAGTGTGCTGTGGCACACAATAGGTCCTAGAAGCTGCTATGATCTAACCCTTGAATCTTATGTTAGCTCTCAACTTCATCAATGCAGCCCTCCTTCCCTCCAGTGGGTCGTGAATGAAAATGGAATTAAGTAGCGTACAAAGCTGATCATTATGGAATTCTAATATTTGGATTTTATTTGTTTGGGGTGTTTGTAACTTTACAAACTGCTCTTATATCCCACTTGAAGATGTGAATTACTTTTGAAAAGGTGCTTCCTCACCCTGGCATTCCAACTCAATGGTGTAACATTGGAAACTGTCGATCACTTCTCCTACCTAGGCAGTTATCTTTCCACAATGGCCAACATTGATGCTGAAATCCAGCATTGCCTGAGCTCTGCGAGTGCGGCTTTCTCCTGATTGAACTGCAGAGTGTTTGAGGACCAGGACATTCGCAGGGAAACCAAAATGCTTGTTTACAAAGCTATTGTACTGCCAACATGTACTGAAACATGGACCACTTATAAATGCCATCTCCAACTCCTCGAAAGATTCCATCAATGGTGTCTCCAAATTTTTTTTACACATCACTTGGGAATATAGGTGAACTAATATCAGTGTACTGGAAGAAGCAAAGATCACCAGTGTTGAAGCAATGATTCTTCAACATCAACTTCGTTGGACTGGTCATGTTGTGCGGATGCCTGATGATCATCTTCCAAAGCAACTACTCTATTCCAAACTTTAAAATGGAAAGCGTAATGCTGGTGGTCAACAAAAGAGGTTTAAAGACTGTCTCAAGACAAATCTAAAAAAATGTAGTATAAACACTGACAACTGGGAAACACTGGCCTGCGAGTGCTCCAGTTGGAGAACATCCTTTACCAAAGGTGTCATGGGCTTTGAAGACACTCGAACTCAGGACGCAAGGGAGAAACGTGCTAAGAGGAAGGCACGCTTGGCAAATCCACACTCTGATCAACTCCTGCCCGGAAACCAATGTCCCCACTGTGGAAGGACATGTGGATCCAGAATTGGCTTCCACAGTCACTTACGGACTCATTGTTAAAACTGTGTTTATGGAAGACAATCTTACTTGGCTACGAGTGATTGCAAAAAGAAGAAGAAGTGATGATTCTTTTTGTGTTTTTATGTGTACTTGCCACCAAAGATATACTAACCACTCCATAAATATAACTGCCTAGACTGCCTTTATTCTTCTCATATAGCTTGGCTGTCATTCTCTGTTCCTCCTTTAAGATTTTTAAGATTCTTTATTGAGTCAAGATGTCTCAGCTTCTATTCTGTTCCACTTTAGGCAACTTTTTCAGAGTGAAAGCATTCGGTGCTATTCTTAATAAGCACCAAAGTGAAGTAATACTCAGTTCATCCTCCAAGGCTGGATGAGTTGGATGACTCGAAACATGCCATGATCTTGCAAGTGTTCCTATTATTAGCTTTTTCATCTGGTGCTTTTGTATGATAATCTCCCCCACCCCACCATACTCTTTCTGTGATGCCTGAATTAGGCTAATTATGTCATATGTGCTAACCACAATTGCCTGAAAACCATGTTTTCATAACCCACCAAACTGTTGTTTCAAACCATGGTTTAGAGGTTTGCTTGTTTTTGGATTTCTTAGCAGAAATCTTCTTGGAAGAAATCAGGAAGTGAATGAGGAAATTGTCATGGTGAGGGCAGGGAATGTAGAATGTAATGTCCAGAGCGTGTTCGCTGTTCAGTTTACCAAACTATGGTTTGGAGGTTTGAAATAAGACATCTGAACTGGGCCACTTAGCAATTTGGTCATAGCCAAATCATTTGAAATAGATTTAATTGGCACAAGGTTTGGGTGTTCCAGTGGCCCTTTTGCGCTGTTGTCTTTATGCTCTGTGCAAAACTGATTCCACTTTTAATATTTTAAAATATTTCTTTCTACAGTACATTACATACCATTCTCTGTTCAGATGTCTTCTATATTTCTATTTGCCTTCTGTCCGTCCCCTCACCCAAAGTCATCTATGAAAATTTCCACATTGCATGATATGCTCTTTGTCAATAAATTTCTACACATGATCAGGGTACCATTTAGGCTCCATGTTCAGGCTCCATGTAATGATTCTTTTAGGGCAGCTATCTTCAACTTTTTCAGACCCAGAATCTGCTTTTAGCACAAACATGCCTTTGGGGACCCATTTCTTAATCTTACCTTGCAAGGTGGTAGTACTCCTGTTGTGACATACTTTGCATCAGGCTGCAGCCCACAAGTGGGTCCTGAAGACCAGTGTTCTAGATTAACTATATTTCTGATAGATGTGTGATATATATATCCCAATGAATACTCTCACATATTCATATCCCAATGAATACTCACAACCAGCCTTTGAACCTTGCACTTCCCCATTGAAATAATTGGTCACTAGAGATCTACAATGTCCTACATATGTCCTCTTCACTATTATTCCTTATAAGTCTTCTCCAAATAACATCTTCGGTTAATGAAAATTTCTTCCAATGTGATATTCTATCTAAGAATGAATCTGTATCTATACGCAGTTGAGAATGTTGTAATGAACACCACAAATCCCATAATAGCTTAAGGTGTCCAAAACATGCCTATCTAAGAATTGTTAGACATAATTCAAATTAAGACCTCAAACTAGCACACGGGTTTTTTTTGTTTTTTTGTTAAACTGAAACTGTTCCCTGTCACTTTATGAACACCTTTTAAGAATATTTTTAATTAGCTGAAGTCTCCTACTAGCAGTGGTGACCTTGTACTCCAGTAAGCTGAGCTGAATATTTTTTTTGGTTTTAATATGTTTGAAGCAAATTGCATAGGGAATCTCTTTCTGTACGCTCTAGATCATAATACATCTAGGGTGATGCAGCTACAAACAATAATGGTGGAATAATTAACTGCAATCTTTTCCAAGATAAGCCAGTATATTTTCCTTAGGGAACTAGGAGAACTGTCAATGTTTTAATATAGAAAATAAACAAATTAAAGCTCCAAACTTAAGTTTGTGCACAGGCCCTAAGTTGATTTAGTCCAGTGATGTTCCTTTTAAGTAGTAAGTAGCTCTCCCCTCACCTCCCGGAACAACCTATGTAAGAAAGCAGAATGGGCAGTTTAATGTGGATTGTGTTTTAGGTAAGGAACAGTTCATGTTCTCAAGAGGCAAACCAGATAATGCCTTGCTCAGAGACAATAGGCAACGCATCTTCTCATTGGCTCTGGCTAGCCTAGATAGCACGTTCAGTCACAGAATAATGCTGATGGAAGAGGCTATAACTACTCTGTGTGACAATGGACAACAGCAGCCACAGTGTCTTTCTTTTACCAAGAAGCTTCTAAGTAGGAGCAGCTAATCAAAAGCAGAAGCTTCCAGTCTTGTGCCTGTCCTTGTTATGGTAAATCATGAGATTAGCATTAAGTGTATTCCACTAGGTACTCAATAAATTGTTTTGGTGAGTTCCTGGGAATGCAAAAAAAATTGGGGTGTTTAGGAGCTGGGGGGGTCATACTGCATTGCTGTTGAGCTACATTTCACGCAACAGAGATGCTGCTAAAAACTTGCTGATGGTTAGCTATCACTAACACAGCCATGCATTTAAAAAGTGCTTAACAAAGGCAACGTCAGTATCATGGTGGAGGCATGGAGACTGTACATATGAGGACAGGAACCTCCTGGTAAGCAGTTGTAAATGCTTAACAGGACAGGGATTGCTTGCCATAGGAAGTGAGTCCTGTCCCCCCATTAACTGTATGATGTTTCAGACAAAATAATTTTTCTTGGTACTTTAGAAATTATGCTTATGTGTCTGTTATATTTGTATGAGCAAATAATTTTCACTTTCTGACTGCTGTAGAGCAGGGTGGCCAATTTTCTTGGGGAAGGGAGAGAGGGAGGGTTGCGCCAGCTGAATCACCCATGTCTTTTCTTCAGCTGCACCAAATTTCCCTGACAGTTTACTGTATAACTTTAGACACATCAGCTAAACGTTTTCACAGGCAGCCAACATTTTTCAAGAACAAAACTTACGGAGTCGGATCCAGTTAGTGGCACTTGCATGCCGCTGACATTAATATTGACTAAGTAGAGTTACACTGATTTCATTAGGAGCTAAGTTCAGCAAATACACAGAGTGACCACTCATAATATAGAGCATTCTGTATTGAATCTTGTAGAAATGTCCTGAATAGAACAGCTGTCTATAAGGCAGAATCACAGTAGTTTTGGCTGTTCAAAGAATGATGTGGAAAACCTGGATACCAGCACAGAGATTGTTTCCCAGTCTCCTTAAGCATGATGGTCAGTTTACTTTCCATGGAAGGAGAGAGCAGGAATTCCTCAATGCATGGAAGGTTTCTTCCCTGAAAGCCAGACCCAACATTGTTTCTAGTGAGTCTTCAGCAGATGCAGCAAGTGCTTCCTCTCACGAGGACTTGACTTTTTCTACCTCAGCAAAGGCTTTATTTCTTAGTTCCAATCCTCCTGAGATTGGATTCTGTGCTTACATAGTGTTCCTGCATGCCTGAGGTCCATACACCACTCGGGTAATGTCGAACAGTAATGTATTTACACTTGCCTTTGTCTCATAGGTTCTTTTGCAATGGATATTTTTCAGAGCCTTGGTTATTCTTAAGAGAGAGTTTTAACATTTGCTTCTTCAGTTGCCAGCAGGTGGTTTGATTTATATTAAAGCTGCACATATTACTAAATGCACTGTGAATGAATCTGACAGAATGCTGCTGGCTGCTTTCGGCTTCAGGCGGGTGCTTGACATATGCAAAACATTGGTGCTGCTTTATGGAACCTTTGTATGTTTTCTTTCTTCTTTCCTGTGCCCTAGGGTATTGTGGAGCCGACATAAAAGCACTTTGCACTGAGGCTGCCTTGATTGCCCTGCGACGGCGCTATCCTCAGATCTACGTCAGTAGCCAGAAACTGCAGCTAGACGTCTCTTCAATAGTTCTCAGCGCACAAGATTTTTACCATGCAATGCAGAATATTGTGCCTGCCTCTCAACGTGCCGTAATGTCTTCAGGGCATGCACTATCTCCCATCATAAGGCCACTTTTGGAAAGAACCTTCAATGACATTCTGGCAATTTTACATAAAGTGTTTCCTCATGCCGAGTTCAGCCAGGCTGACAAAAGAGAAGGTATTTCCATCTTTTCACTCCAATCAGTCTTGTATCATATTAGAAAACAAAACATAACAAGAACAGTTTTAAAGTAATGTTTTGATGAAGACTGTGGGGCATTATATTAAGTATATTCTTGCAAAAGGTTTCATTTCCTCCCTTTTAATTACAGCTTCCTTTTATCTTGGCCAAAATATATTTTAAGCACCCGTTTCATGACGTTTGAGGGAGGTGTCAGCTAACGTATTAATCGGCCTTTAATTTTCATTGAACAGATGCAACTAGTCTAATTTTGGACGATAGTGAAGATGAGCATGCTTCATCAATATTTGAGACAAGTTGCCAGTCGGGATCACCAAAGAAACATTTATCAGCTGCTGTACACAAACCTTACCTTCATTTTACAATGTGAGTAGATGTTCTGATAACTTTATCATCAAGGCTTACACAGGAATAGCTGCTTGTAGTGCCTGCATAAGTTTGTGATTTGTGGTACCACTCTGGTATAGTCTTTGGTTTGCTCTGGTGTATTCTTACCCTAAAGCTTTCTTCTAGAGAGATTTATAGAATCAAGCAATAAAGATTATTTGTTTATGCTTGCTTCTCTTGCCATCCCGCTCCCCGCCCCGGCCACCACCCATTTCCCTCTGCTAAGCTGACTTAACTCTCTGCTAGATAGTCGGGCACACTAATTGCAGGTGTGTTGCTACAATTCATTCAACTTGCCCACTAGGAAGCGCTTAACAGTACTCAGTGTATAGCAAATTTAAATATACATGGTAAAAACAGAAAAACAGATCAGGTCTAAAAAAAATAATGTTTTTGTTTCAGGTCAGCTTACCATCAGCCCACCTCTTACAGGCCAAGATTACTGCTTTCTGGAGAGAGGGATTCAGGTCAGACTTCGCACCTTGCTCCAGCACTTTTGCACTCGCTCGAAAAAATTGCTGTGCACAGATTAGATCTGCCAGCACTTTATTCAGTCAGTGCCAAAACACCTGAAGAATCATGCGCGCAGGTTAGTCTCCCTTTATATCCCTTTTGACCTTTTGCGCAACATGTCGCACGCAGAAAGTTTCCCATCGGCTTTCAGTGAAATAAATGTCAATACGGAATCCCTCTTTGCAAACATACCACGGGATGGGAAATGTTAAGTGTTCCTAGAGACACAGATAAGGGTTTCTGTGTGAAGCAGAAGCCTCAGTTAAAGCTGTGTCAGACAACTAAAAGGGAATTCTGTACCCATCTCCCTTTCTACCCAAGTCCACAGAATTAAACGGCAATGAAATCTTAAGGTGCCACAATACACTTCTGCTGAAGTAAGAAGTGTCACTGCCAGAGCTTTGCATGCTTCTTCTCTGGTCTGAGACAAAGCATTTCCAGTCACCAACTGTCAGAAAGAGACTGAGCTTGGTGGAATTTGTTAAAAATGTTTAAGATTGCTGTCAATTTATCTTGAATGGTGAGATCACTACGTCACTTGCAGGGTGAGAAACTTTTTAAGCTTCAGGGCTGTCTTTCTTCCACCCTTCTTTTTACAGACTTGTAAAAAGCATTTTAGCTTTAGCACCAACAAGAGGTATTTTCAGTCCTAAAACCTGGGAGGGAGAATTCTGTAGGTTGAGTGGGGAAGGCTGTTAGTTCCCTATTCCCAGGCCGCTGGGTTCTCTTTTAACTTACCTGTTGAGGTTGGATTAAATCTCAGCTTTGTAGAAACCAACAATATCTTCTATAAAAACACTTCAGAAAAACTTCAACTTCTCTAAATGTTCTTTATTTTTAGGCTGCACATGTAAGCTCTGTCATAGCATTCTCTGAGCCAAAGCCATGGCTGTACATGGAATATTTAATATTATTGGGGAGAGAATTGGCAATTGTTAAGTCCAAAAACTTCATTGTTAACTGTCATCTATAATCACAACCCTGCTATCTCATATCCATTTAAAGTATAGGGAAAACACAGAATGATATGTTATGGAGACGATTTTGAAACATGCCACCATGCTATGTCTGAAGTTATTGGCAAGATGCAGAGTGACCATTAATTTTAGTTTAGTTAAGCGGCGGCATTTCAAAATTGAGAGAAGGCAATGTTTGAGAATATTATACCATTTAAAAAAAAAAAATCGGGAGAAGCAAAAAAAAGTGCTGTTTAATGTTCTTATGCAAGTTAGTGATTTTTGTGATGATAGATGATTAGAACAATGCTTTGTAGTTTTACTAAGATGAGACCGAGATAATTTGGAGCCTTAACGTGAATGCATATGGAAAATAGCTATTTAAATCTAACCTTTAAGAAAGATACAGTTGAAAATGCTACATTCTTAAATGTTTGTGTGCATAAAATACAAATAATTTTTAAAAATTATTTTCTTAATATCATTTTAACATTGGTATTCTCTTAAATTAGATCTTTCGTGAAGCAAGAAGAACACTACCGAGTATTGTTTACATGCCTCATATTGGTGATTGGTGGGAAGCTGTCAGTGAAACTGTGAGAGCTACTTTTCTAACTTTGCTGCAAGACATACCATCATTCTCACCTATATTTCTACTCTCTACCTCTGAAACCATGTATAGTGAATTGCCTGAAGAGGTGAGCATGGCGTGATTTCTTGAGAAGTGGAATCATTGTAGGGAAGAGTGAACCTGAATCAGAGAGGGACTTGAAATGTGCATGTAGGCATGTCCACTTGGAGGGAAACTTCTACCCCAGTGCTGAAGTACCGTATTTTTTGCTCTATAAGACACACCAGACCACAAGACGCACCTAGTTTTTGGAGGAGGAAAACAAGAGGGAAAAAAATTTGAATCTCAGAAGCCAGAACAGCAAGAGGGATCGCTGCACAGTGAAAGCACAATCCCTCTTGCTGTTCTGGCTTCTGGAATAACTGCGCAGCCTGCATTCGCTCCATAAGACGCACACACATTTCCCCTTACTTTTTAGGAGGGAAAAAGTGAGTCTTATAGAGCAAAAAATATGGTATCTTTTTATACCTGAGGGTGTTTAACAAACTACTTGTACTGTGGCAAGAATGGGGGACTGGTTGTATGTATCGTTAGATTGGGATAATGTTGCTTACTAACGTAAATCAAATTTGGAAGCTGGCATTGCAAAATTAATTTTGCCTAGGTGGTGGTACCGCTGATGACGACACTAGAAAAATACCCTAAAACAAGAAAGCAAATGTTTCCTGTTCTAATTTGGAACTTCTGTCCAATGTTCTTTTCTTGCCCTGACACTGCCTTATTTGGTCCGCTAGGCTCAAGCTCTGTGATTGTCAGACTAGCTGTTTTTGTTAAATGCTATTGAAACAATGCTGGTTTTGATCCTAGTGTGTACTTTTCTCCCCTGCTGAGGATGTAACCAATTACTAGCTTTTGCTAGGACCAAACCAAATTGGCATGTGCAATTTAGCTACCCCATTTTCAGGCAGTAAAATTATGAGGGTCATTTTGTCTTATTTTACGTAGTGGGAGGGGGTGGTGTAGTAAAATTTGCTTGTTTTGTTCGATTAAGTAGCTCGATGAGATTTTCAGCTGCCTAATTCTCATTGATTTTATGTAGGTGAAATGTATCTTTAAAATCCAGTATGAAGAGGTTTTTTATATTCAGAGACCTAGTGAAGAAGACAGGCGCAAATTTTTCCAAGAGCTTGTCATCAATCAAGCATCTATGCCTCCTCCAAGAAGGAAACAAATTGGTAAGTTAATTCTCTGTAAAGTCCAGAATGTATGTAATTTTCCACCTGAAAGCTGCACTGCTTGTGTTCATTTTGAAATAAGATTAGAAATAGCAGTCGTTGGTGGTGACGGTGCATAGGATTAATATCTGCATCCACACCATGGTGTTACGTGTTCATTGAATGATGTGGAATTAAGGACGGGCAGCGAAGTGGCTAAGTTTGCATATGACACCAAATTATTCAGGTTGGTGAAAATCCAAGATTGTGAAGAGCTCTAAAGGCAAAGTAACAAATTGAATGAAATGGGCAACTGGCAGATGAAGTCCAATGTAAATAAACATCAGGTGATGCACATTTGAGAACAAAACAAAATCTTAACTTCCCATGTACATTGATAGTGTCTGAACCCCACAGTGACACCAGGAACTCTTGGGAATTGTGTTGGATAGCTATGGAAAGCAGGTCTTCAGCGTGCGGCAGCTGTGAAAAAGGAATGCCACAGTAGGAATTATTACAGAAGAGATAGACAATAAAAATTCTGGTGTTGTAACGCCCCTGTATTAGTATAGAGTACAGCCATATTTGTAACACTAAACCAAAAACAAACCCCATGGCTAAATGGTCACATACCTTAGCTTTTTCCGATATTTGTAACGCTATGCAGTTCTGATCACCCCAGCTCCAAAATGGTATTGCAGAGCTGGAAAAGGTGCAGGAAGAGTAACCACAAGTAACAGGTTAATTAACAGGTTAAGGAGGCTGGAGCAACTCTTCTACAAGAAGGGGGGGGGGGATAAAGAAGAGTGGCTTTTTTAGTTTGGGGGGAAAAAGACAAAATTGGTTGAGCAGGCCAGTTCCACCGCACTCCCTCAGCTCCATTTTTTCTCTCAGCTATTACCTCAACATACATCCTGGAGGCTGGTTGGTTTCCCGAACGTGTTAGAATTAAAGGCAATAAACGGGCTGAATAGGCTGCCAGAATAGCATCTCAGTGTACCAACGAGCACCCATTTATATATTTTTAGAACAGTCTTCATATCTAAACAGGTGGTAAAATTTGTCAAGAGTTGTGGAATAGACTTTGAAACGGATAACAGCTTTGAGAGAAAGAAGGAAGCATGAACTGAGCAGAAATTTAGAGAGCTGCCCGAAACAGCACCCAATCAATAGATTCTGCCAGTGTGGTCTTGGATTTTCCTGCACCAGAAACTTTTTTACTGCTACCCCCATAGCCTGCTTGTAGAACCTCCTAGAAGCTTGGCTGTATGTAAATCTTAAGGGGGAAAGACAGACAGTTTTTGTAGTGGCTTCAGATTAATTGGGGTTTGGGATTTGGAACATTTTCTTTGGCACTGAAAGGAAACCCAACTTTCGGTGGAGATGACTTACAACTTGGCAGGCATTAGTTGTGCTTTCCTATAGACTGAAGGAGCCAAAAATATCTCTGGCTCTAACTTTCTGATAGCTGTGGTAGAAGGCCACGCAGGATCTTGAGATTCCTGCCACCCTGTCTCTTGTCAACCCCTCTTATTGAAGGAAAGGTGTCTGGTGCTGAGCAGGCTGTCGTTGTTCACAGTAATTGTAAAGTCTCCACAATATGGTTACTTCAGTTTGGTGTGCGGAGCTGAGATAAGGAGTGCAGAGTTCTTGGCATTATCAAGTCTGATAAGGGTAGAAAGAAATTCACTGTGTCGTGTGAAATTTTCCAAGGATGTAATCTGCAAAGCCTGTTTTGCCTGACTTTTTGATTATTCTTATTTTTAAAGCTCTTTCTGATATGGAGGTGCTTCCTCTTGCACTACCATTTTCTACTCGCCAGCTGTCAGAGGCAGAAAAGCAGCGAATGGAGGACCAGGAAGAAAACACACTGAGAGAACTGCGATTGTTTCTCCGGGATGTTACCAAGAGATTGGCCACAGACAAGCGCTTTAACATCTTCAGCAAACCGGTGGATATTGAAGAGGTCTTGTTTCAGTAACGTGCAAACAATGAAGTTGACCTTATTAGTGATTAATTAAGAATACATATATTAGTTGTTATTGCAGATATCCCTGATCTAACCTGTTTTGCATATTTACAGCAATTGTGGCTTAATTTTAACATTTGAAGCCATTGCTAACTTATTTCGGCAAGAATGCTAACCTATAGAATAATGTATTGTTCGAGCTGCTTCCATTCTGTAGCAAAAAATTATTTGTTCACAGGAAGCAGATGCAAACTGTTTTATCTGGAGTAACACTACGTAGCCAATGGGGATGTTGAAAGAAATTTATTGAATTGTAATGCCTCTGCCAGAATATTTCACAAATTAAACTATCATCTCTTTCCCCTTGCCTGTTTCTGGCCAAAGTGAAAATTGAAAATTTATAAATCTGTAATGACACCATTTGATCTGACAACTTGTAGTCAGCTACAAATATAGTTTTATGAAAAATAAGACTGAATTTGGCAACTTAAGTTTGAGTCACTGTTAAATTTTCTGGGCTTTGCCTTTAGAGTAAAAAAAATAGTTTAATGTTCTGTATAAAATTAAGCAGTGAATGGCAAAGCTGCATTAACTATCTTGTTTACTAGAAAATCACTTTTAGTTCATGTTTACAAGCAAATTTGTGACAATCTGTCCGATTTTCGGTCAACTTCAAAGCTCAATTTTGCACAGATAACTTAAGAAATAGCCATTTGTGGTGATGTGCTTATAAAAATGTAATTTGCATTGTGCTAGCAATTGGGGGCTTGATAGTTCAAGGAATAGCTCTATCAAAGGTGCACTCTATCAGGTGGTCTGCATGCGATCAATTCAGGACCTCTGGTGACGGCAGTCTGTTTGGAAAGAAATGCCTGTTTTTGTGCATTCTGCAATTTCCTCCCCCAGTAGCTCACTGGGTAAAAAGAAGAGAGCATGGAAAGAGAAAAGGAGGGGACAGAATTACATGGAGTGGCCCCATCCGCAGTTGTCATGAGACCATGACAGATTACCAAGGGAATGTGGCCGTTAAAAAAGAATGGTAGCCCATCCCTAGTCGAAAAAGTGCTGTGGAAGAGTAAATTACCGGCTCCATTTTGCAAATTTGTAACTGGACCACTGGTTAGGTTTCTGAGTGGTATCAGAGCTCAGTCTATAGTGGCAGCTATACTATTTAATGTGAAAACACAGCCCCCAATCTAGACTAAGAGCAGTGAATATTGATATACATTTATTGGGTGAGATCTAATGTTGTGCCAGCAGGCATGATGATAGAACTTACACTCCCTGGCTCCAATCAAAGCTCCTTGGCCCCATCTTTTGTTCTGGAGGGTTCCCCAACTCTCCACAACAGATTCTGAATGCATGCAGGAGACTACAGGGGAGAGGGGAAAAAGGGTCAAGTCCTATTTGTGCAAGGGGTGGGGGGACGGGACGGACACACACACCACAGTTGAATATTGCCCTTTCTGTGCATTTGCTGTTTTCGAATATTACCTGAAATGTTCCAAGCTTCAAAATAGATTCCTGTGTTGAGTCCTAGCTCAAGTCAAGACCGGGTCATCACTTTAGCCATTAGATTTTTAAAGTTCTGTATATGTAACCAATTTCTTGTGCTTAAGAGGTGTTTTCTACCATACATTTTTAACCTTACATGAGCTCTCTTGCAAGTCACTCCTGTCTAAAAATGTAAACTGACAAGAGTTTACTGATTTATTTGAAAATGCAAAAAAATAGAAAATAGTTGATTTGTGGGAAAAGACGGGCATGAAGCTGGTCTAAGAAAAGACAAAAAAACTGTGCTCGGAGGAGGACTTTCAGACAGGGAGGAAGGGACCAGTAGAATTCCTCAGGGACATTTTAAAAGTGATCCAGAGATTCACAAATGCACTTTTTAGTATGATTTAGTTTTTATTCCAGGGTGTATGTTTTTAGCATCTGCCCCAGCCTAAAGTGAGAGACAGGCAGGGTCTTGTTTCCCACATTGCACAGGCTTTTATATGGGCATTCAGAAGTAATGGAACAGTATTGATGCTTCAGAACTTTGTCCAGACCTCGGTGCAACTGCGGGGACAAACCTCAGCCCTTCTCCCCAGTGGTAGGAGCTCATCCCTTTGACTGCATGGAGCTCCAGAGGTATGCCAAAGTACTACAGCATTAAAAAAAAATTCTTTTATTCCATGATTGCGTTTCACCTGCTGTAAAGGCCTCCTCTCAAGTGAGGATTACATACTGTGCCCTATTTGATAGGGGCACCTGTAGAAGGGCCTCAGATGCCTGGGTAGCTGTGTCTGGGCCAAAGCTATCTTCAAGGCTCTTTTTATTAAGAGTGCTTAGTTTTCAAACAAGTAGGGAAAAGCAAACACGGTGTGTTTGCCAAAGGGCCAAACCAGGCATTTGTCTTTAGCAACTTCTTCTGATTTTTCCTGTTTAATACTAAGCATGGGGTGATTTTCATTGGGACCACAGCACACAGGATGGAGAGGCTTAACCCTTACCTCCCCAGCTTTGATTTCAACAAAACTTGCTTCCCCACGTTGCAATTAGCCTTGGTGGCGGTGGGACTCGCACTGGTACCAAACTGGCCAAAACGCTGTGCCTGGTAGTAGCGGCACTATTTTTAGCAGGTGGAAATCCTGCTCTTTCTTTCCCATGTGGGCCTTCTCTGAATTTTACCCTAATTCAGGCATCCCCAAACTCTGCCCTCCAACTGTTTTGGGACTACAACTCCCATCATCCCTAGCCAACAGGACCAGCGGTCAGGGATGATGGGAATTGTAGTCCCAAAACAGCTGGAGGGCTGAGGTTGAGGTTAGAGTAAAGGCAAGTAAGTCATGATAGAAGCATACATAATTTATTCCCAGCATGAAGAAAGTGGATGGATAAAAGTTTTTGTCCCTCGTAACACTAGAACTCATGAACATCCATTTAAGCTGAGCTGTGCAAGACTCAGGACAGATGGATGCAGTAATGTTTCTGAGTACCAGTTGCTGAAAATGGCAAGAGGGGAAAGGTGCTCTTGTGCCTGGGCTTCTGGTTGGCTGCTTTGAGTTGGACAAGACAGGCCACTGGCATCCACCAATGTTCTTATGATTCTGACTGCAGGAACTTTCTAGTAGTTGTGTATGTCTTGGAAGCAGATGTGTGGATAAGGTCTTCTTCATTGTGTTTGAAAGGTCCTGCACTTTTCTCTCTCTCCAGAAGATTAAAAAATGAAAATTACTTACATATACAGAACAAAAGAGCTTTGACAGGAGTTTTCCTTGCCAGTTAAAAATCAGAGTGATGACTCTTGGGGCGAACAACTGTTGTTCCAGCATTAGTTCTTATCATGGTTTCAACTGTTTAGCATTACTGTGTTCGAAAACAAAATGATAGTGCTGAGTGTGTTAAAGTTAGCATAAATCTCTGTGTCACTTTTGTGTCACTCTGTGTCACTGTTTGATTATAGGTTTCAGATTACCTTGAAGTTATCAGAGAGCCGATGGACCTGTCTACAGTAATAAGTAAAATTGATAAGCACAATTATTTAACTGCAAAGGATTTCCTAATAGACATAGATCTCATATGCAGCAATGCATTGGAATATAATCCTGACAAAGATCCTGGGGGTAAGGATTTTTTTTAAAAAAAATCTTAAAACTTGACATCACATTAATTGTGTATTCAGTTGCAGTTCAACTATTTGTATAAGCTGTGTCTTATAAATACAAATTGGTTAAAAGCTAACATTACTCAATATTAGTTACTGACTGACTGAATGTAGCAGCATAGGCTACATCCTGCACTGTGAGAAAATAGAGAAAACTATCCAAATGACCTCCTGGGTCCTCACTGCTGTCACCTTCACTAAAACAGCTTTCTATCCTGTGTGATTTTGTTATTGCCCTACCATTGCACTATACTGCTGGTACGTCAATTAGGTGTAGGATAAAAGTCAATTATCAGACCAAAGTTAAGCCAATATCAGATTTCGTTTGTACTAAAGGTTTTAAAACACAGCTGCTGTTGTAATGCTATTTCTAAGGAGGTAGGTGTAGGGAGGTCTTAAGGCACTCATCTGTTTTTGCTTTTAAAACTGTTGGTGCTTTCGCAAGCAATTTCTCTTAGAGTCTTACTGTTCAAAGAAAAAAGTAAAAAAAAATAAATGAGCTCACCTAACTTCTTTTCCATGCCTAAAGAAGCATTTGGATCCCAATATGTATTTATTTAAAAGCTACATCTGATTGATTTTGTTGGGAACCTAAATGTGTAGGAATGCAGACATAATATTTAAACCCAGGTATTCTAAAGTAAAGTGTTTATTAGCCAAACTGGAAGCTGGAAGTATGGATTTTTTTAAAAACAAAAAGCTTTGAAGACAAAGCTGATAGAACTGATACATACATACATACATACATACATAGACACGTGAAGTCTTTATAAATCAGACCTGCACAGCTTATGACCCACTGGTCTGAATGTACCATGTATTTTGATCTTCCAGTTTTACAGAAAACAGTTCTTCCATGGCAGTCGAGTAGCATAATGAAGATATTCCACTTAGAGTGCAAGTTGTGCAAGCATGATACATATCAGTATGCCTGCTAAGCAGCACTAATGTTAAGTCTTAGAAGGCTGATTAAAACATATTTGTTCCACATTTGATTACTTATATGGATATTATTTATTTTATGGCTCTTAATTTAACTCTGAGCTGTTTTAAAAATTGTTTCCTCTTTTATTTCTGTCATTGTCTTGAGCGGTCCTGTTACACAAAGACGATAAATAAAGAAATAAATTAGATGTTTTTGATTGTTAAAAATGAAATTTACGTTGATCTTCCAGATAAAATCATTAGGCACCGAGCTTGTACTCTGAAGGACACTGCACACGCTATCATTGCTGCTGAGCTTGATCCAGAGTTCAATAAAATGTGTGAAGAAGTAAAGGAAGCAAGAAAAAAGAGAGGTATTCTTATAATTCTTTTAAAATACATTGACTATATATGATACACAATACACAAATGGCAATTGAATTCTTGCAATAAATGGACAATCTCTAAGAAACCAATTATCACCAGAAAAAATCTGACGAAATGTTGCATTTCAAGGTTCACGTTATTTAGATTTAGATTCTTTAAGTCCAGTTTGTAAGTTCAAGAAAGTTCAAGAAAGGCCAGTTCAAGAAAGTTTTTATTAACCCACTTTTAGTTGCTCATAAACACATTTTTAGTATTAATCTTCCTCACCAAGAAAAATAATGATAAAAGTGTTGTAAAATGTCTTGTGTATTGTAAATGCTATAGAAATTAGAATTCAAAGGAATAAGTAAATACAGAAAGTAAAACCATTTTGGACCAATTTTTTAAAATCAAAATTGAGTACCATGTATAAGACAAGGTTTCCCCCCTAAAAAATAATGTCAAAAATTGGGGGGCATCTTATACACAGATACATCTCCCCCATTTTTTTAAATCTGAGTCTCCCAATCTTATAGATGGAAAAATACGGTATGTTAGGAACCTTGTAGAGTTAAGTAGTTAGCAATGCAAACTTCTCCACATTTATTCAGAGCAAAGTGTTTGAATCTAACCTTTACCATAGAATCACTTGATGGACCTAGAAGCAATCTATTTTCCCCCTCCGCCACAGCCCCCTATCTGCATGACATGGTTAATAATACTGACCTATCCTACAGGCTGATTGTAAGGCTTGCAACATACAGTGGTACCTCGGGTTACATACGCTTCAGGCTACAGACTCCGCTAACCCAGAACTAGTACCTCGGGTTAAGATCTTTGCTTCAGGATGAGAACAGAAATCGTTCTCCGGTGGCGCGGCGGCAGCAGGAGGCCCCATTAGCTAAAGTGGTGCTTCAGGTTAAGAACAGTTTCAGGTTAAGAACAGACCTCCGGAACAAATTAAGTACTTAACCCGAAGTACCACTGTATAATGGTTGTGTTTGGACTTCAGGCTGATCCATAGGAATGAGCAGCAGCAAGCCTCAGATTCAAATGAACACACCTGCTGTGCTGCTAGGAGTTCAGAAATTTTGAGGTTGCGTTGTTTGAAGCCAACCATTGTTTGCATGACATGTGAAACCACTGTTAAGAAAATGCAGAAGCAAAATAACTCACCACAATCTTGAGGGGAAAGAGGCAAATAAGAAACCTTGTTCAAGCCCAAAGGCACGTTGCTGTTCATTCCTGCTCTCATACACGTCACACTAAACTAAGGTTTGGCATGATGTGTGAAGGTGGTTAATTTTTATGATGTGCTGTGAACACTCTTCAAGCAGTGATTCTCAATTAGCTAAGTACTGGGCACCCTCAGGTATTTCAAAAGCCAAGCCGTGGACCCTCTACTTTTGAAAATTTTGATATCTCTATGGTAGTTTTTATTATGTGAATGCTGCCACTGACCCCCTGGGGTCTGCAAGCCACCAGTTGGGAAGCCCTATATAAATGCTAAGTAGAATTTTCTTTGAAACAGAGAAGTTTGAACTGTCAGGTTTCATACTGCAGGTCTCATACATTCCGTTGTTGGGGAAAAAGCAAATATTATTGATGTAGATGTTTGGGAGTATCTGCTGAAATTAATTTAATCACCGGAAGTTTTTAATGTTATACTTTATTCCAGGCTGCTTTTAATAACTCGGGCAGTTAATACTGCTGGGATTATTAAAATAGGTATGCTTATCTTCTGTACACAGGCTTATCAGTAACGGCAGACCAAATAAATCCTCATGGTTCCACTGTACAGAAAACAGAAACGAGAATTGAGGAGGCATTCCAGAACAGGCAAAAAAATGCAATGTCAGTTTGGCACAACTCTGCAAATAAATGTGCATGTGAGTATTTCAGACCATTTTATCCAGGCGATAAGCATAGCTCTAAACAAGATGAGTATATATCTGGCACACATCTCCTACTACATTTTTTTTTTAATGAAGCATTCACCTAATTGCTATTACTACTTCAGCTGGTTTTTATAAGATAGCCAGAATAGTACTCATCCGTTGAGTTAGTTGTCAGTTTACTGAAATTCCTTATGAGAGTGGATTGGAAGAAGGTTCGACTGAAATAGATTTTCACTGAACAATATCAGATATTAGAATTAGTATGAAAAATATTTTTTAAAGAAGCATGCTGTCCTGGTTTGGCAGTTAGCGTGGGTGGAATCCAGTTGGTATCCTTGCACTTATGGGAAGGCTTTTGAGCTAGCAGAGACATCCTCTAATGGAAGAGGATGGCCAAACTTGGCCCTCCAGCTGCTTTTGGGCTACAACTCCCATCATCCCTAGCTAACAGGACCAATGGCAAGGGATGATGGGAATTGTAGTCCCAAAACTGATGGACGGCCAAGTTTGGCCATCACTGCTCTAATGGAAGAGGATGGGAGGCAAATTTTGATGATTTCCCCCACAGCCTCCCATGACACCCGTTCTCTAATATCATCATCTCCTCTCCCCTCCCCAGATCCAGTAGGAGTTGTCCATTCAGTGTAGTGGGTCCAGTTCAAAAAACCATAGAACTGTGTCATTGGAAGGGACCATGAGGATCATCTAGCCCAACCCCTTGCAATGCAGGAATCTTTTGCCCAACATGGGCCTTGAACCCATAACCCAATGATTAAGAGTCTTATGGTCTACCAATTGAGCTTGCATTTCTAATGGAGCTCCCATTAGAAATCAGGCAGGTAAAGTCCCTGCTAAGTTTCAGACATCAGGTTAAAATGGATGCATTTTTGGAGACATTTTGCACCATGTTCTGATCTCTGATGTTTTAATCTGTGTTTTAAATTTTGTATATTGTGTGATTTAATGGGACATAAGGGTGAAAATAGGGACGCGGGTGGCGCTGTGGGTTAAACTGCAGAGCCTAGGACTTGCCGATCAGAAGGTTGGCGGTTCGAATCTCCGCGATGGGGTGACCTCCCATTGCTCGGTCCCTGCTCCTGCCAACCTAGCAGTTCGAAAGCATGTCAAAGTGCAAGTAGATAAATAGGTACCACTCCGGCGGGAAGGTAAACGGCGTTTCCGTGTGCTTCTCTGGTTCGCCAGAAGCGGCTTAGTCATGCTGGCCACATGACCCAGAAGCTGTACGCTGGCTCCCTCAGCCATTAAAGCGAGATGAGTGCTGCAACCCCAGAGTCGGCCACAACTGGACCTAATGGTCAGGGGTCCCTTTACCTTTACCTTTAATGGTGAAAATGGTAGTGTGTAAATTCCTTAAAATAAAAACAAAAGAAAGGTCTAGAGCCGAAAATGGGAGCTTCTGCAGAGAACCAAAGCTATCTCTTATAATAAAATTTCTTTAGTGGATTCCCTTGGTGTAAAACCCATACTTAAGCCTAGACCAAAGACGACCTGTTGGACATATAACCATGTTGCGCTAGAATATAGCTTTGTAAAAAGAGGGATGAGGGTGCATGGATGTTTGTGTTTGTTGCCAGTTTGCCTTGCAAACCATTGTAAAATGAATCAAAGACTGTGGTCACATTTGACACACATGGACGTGTTTTTACACATGAAACATTGTCTGCACATGTTTTGAGAACAGAACATGTTGAAAATGAACTTTTTAAAACATGGGATTGTTCCTTGCTGTTGCCAGTAGATGGTGTCAAAAGCACATTGTTTTGCATCTTTAAATGGGTTACTTGATAGCTGTATTCAGTAGCTGTCTCTGGGAAAGATAGTTGTTGAACTACTAGTTGAACATGCATTGTTCTATTAAATTGTTGAAGCGCAGTGACCAAAAAATTGTACTATTTATGTTAAGGCTCGCAGAATTGTGTTGCAAGAAATAAGACATGCTCCCAATTTTCTCCTTAGGGAGGCTTAACTCTCTCTTGGGAGCAGTGAATAGCCAGTGTGAGAAAACAACAAGGGTCTACAGAACATTAGCTGGAATAAATGTCCTCTATAAACAGTCTCTCTCAGAATACTGAGACTTGGCAACTGTTTAATTGCATAGTATTTAGATAATCCAGATAGATTTGGAAGGGCAAGGTACTGAAATGTTGCTCTCTAAACACTAGAAATCCTTGTCAGCGTTCCCCATTTATGTCACAATAAATTTGTTGGTCTTTTTATGGGCCCATAAGACTTTTTGTTGTTTTATGAAATGGATAAATAAAGTCAGAAACTTTGTAAAATTTAAATTTGTTACTTTTTGTAAGCTCAAATATACTAAGTGCTACAAGCATAAACATGAGTTATAAGCCTTAGAGGGCTACTGTTTTTTTTTATTTGTTGTTTTATATCATAATTAGCTGCCTTGGATGACCTTTGGGCCAGGCAAGGTAAAATATTAAAATAAATAGACTTGATTTTATTGATACCTTGCCCGTTGCTTACTAAGCAAATCTTTGCTTCTCTAATGGAAACCTTTATCTCTTCATGATTCAGTTCGATTAAGGAGGAAATCAAGACGACGTTCACAGTGGGGCAAAGGCATTATTAAGAAGAGAAAAGTGAATAATTTGAAGAAAGACGAAGATGATGCCAAGTTTGCAGATGATGAAAACCAAGGGGAGGACAGCAAGATGCTGGAGAACGGGGAGCTTGAGGGAAGTACAGACTGCATTGAAGAGAACGGAGAAGAAACGGGCGATCTCTCTATGACAAATGATGAGTCGTCTTGCGATATCATGGATATACATGGAGAACAGACACTGAACAATGGGCCAGTCGGGAAAGAAAACAGTATTCCATCCACAGAAGAGAGCTCCAACGAGTCCCTGTTAGTAAGTAAGAAGATTACTCTGACTGTAGAAAAGGAATCCAAGGAGGAGCCCTTGTTCAAGGGGGACCATTTAAACGGCCAGGCCTCTGAAGTAGCTGCTGTCCCAGGGTGTCAGTATGGCGAATGTGAGTCACCGAATGCTGTTTTGCCTCCTGCCATCCCTGACGTGTCCATTCCCAAACAAAATGCAACCGTCGATCCCCAAAAGGAAAAACCCGAAGCTTCGAGCGACAGTCCCGAGGAGGAACAATTAAAACAGTCTGGCACCGAGGTACCACAATGCAGCAATAATGAGAAGAAATCGCAAGGCCTAGATACTGAAACTAAAGAAGCTGAATCATCAGATAAAGAAGGTATGCAGTGTATTCATCATTTACCCCTGCTCTAATCCTGTAGTCAAGTAAATCTATACTACTACTTTCATTGAAACAGATGCTTCCTATTTTGGCAGAAAGCTTGTCTGTAGTGATTTAAAGCAACATCAGCTCACTATTTGTTGGATAAAGATGTTTCCCATCCTGTGTTCTTGGAGCCACTTAAGACTTTGAAAATAATAAAAATAATAATAATGGACCACTTGGAATTTAACACTGCTGTTAATTGTTACCTTATGTGTCCTGATTTTTGATATTTGCTTTTTTTTATTTCAGGTACATTGAAAAATAAGAAACCCCGCAAAGTTGCTTTGGCACAGGTTCCAGAGGAGGAGCAATTGGATCCCATACCTCCTGTCATTGTTGACCATGACAGATTAATGGTAAGAGTGGCTGGATAGGTAATCTTAAATCTTTAATAGCATTTCTTAATTTTTTATCCTAACACTTCCTTAAGTGTTTGAAGGAAATCTGATTCATACTTTCCTTATAAACTTCACCCTGGATTATTGCCAATATCTCTTTATAGAATTTACTTGATGTGTTGGTTAAAAAAAGCGATAACCTGACTGTTGACCAGCTTGAGAGACTATACTCCCTCCTTAATCAATGCATCTATCGGCATCGTAAAGATTATGACAAGTCACAGCTTGTAGAGGTACGTTTGCACAACATTTTAATGATTATTATTTTTTGTAACACACTTCTTTAGTCAGTGTTGCTTCAGAGGCACCAAAATATCTACCAAAAGTCCTCTTTAGTTTCATTTGTTAGTGATTTGAACCACTTTGGGGAGGTCACAGGCATTTGGCTTCTTGACCAAATTTCCCGGTGCAGAAGCTTTTTGTCAAGCCCTGGGTTATATTACTCGGAGCAATCCTAAACTCAGCTGGAAATCTGCTGAGGGGCCTCAGGAAGTAACATAGATGCCACTCCACTAGCAAAGACAAAGATAGTTTGGCAGGATGACACACCGGTTTGGAAGTCTCCTAATATGCCACCTGATGCAGATTTTCTACTGGCAGAGTAGTGGAAAAACAGGTTTTGGGACAGGGTGCAAACAAAGCCCTTCATCCTTCTTCATCTACCCACAGAAATGGCAGGTATAGCTAATTCCCTCTCATTTGCTGCAATTTTAAATATTAAAACCTGCATATAGGTAATACTTATAGACAATAAATATAAAGATAATAGAAGGCAGATAAAAAAACTAACAATAAAAAGAAAGGAGAAAATAGAGAAAGATAAAAAGATTCTTCTGCTTCTCTATCTGCCAATTATATATAAAACAATTATTCAAAATATCTGGCATGTGCACTCCAGAATAATTCTGACTGTAAATAATATTCTGCAAGGTGGTATTTTCCCAAATTGCCCCCCCAGGCCTTCTACTTTTGTCACTCCAGAAGTCCAGTATGCCTCTTCTTCTGATGTCCCAATTTAATATTTTCCCAGCTGTTTGTGACATATTTCTCTTAAGGTTTCCAAGGTGCCATATTAATCCACAGTCTGTTGTTGTTGTTGTTGTTGTTGTTGTTGTTGTTAAACTATTTCCCGTTTGTCATTTTCACTGAATAACCAATGTTCTGATTTCCTCTCAGGAGATGGAAAGAACGGTTCATATGTTCGAAACATTCCTGTGAACTCTTCAAGATGTGCAGGTTTTTCTTTTGATAAGCTGCTTACAGGAGAGCAGCCTACTGAGCCATTCGATTTCCAGTTGCACCAAGTATGTGCAGAGCCTTGGTCTTAACACGCTCACTCCTTGTCTCGCTTTCTGTTATGAATTTGGTGCTATTGTCTCAGGTACCTGAAACCAGCCAGCCTACAAGAACCAAACGGAACTTCATAATATTTGTATCTTGATTATAAATAAAGAATATAATGCCACAACTTGGGAGATTTTTGGTGCTACAGAAACTGCTCTCATTTCTGCTGTCTACATGCATTGTCTTGTGAGAAGCTTCTGGCAAAATGGAACAGGCCAACAAACTGGATAAAGCAGATGTAATTGTTTTTAAGTGGGCAACTTTTAAAAGAATTTTACTTTTCCCTTTTTCTCTGAGGTAATGGACAGAAGCCTGTTTTTAAAGCTGGCAGTGAAAGAAAAAATTGTGGTTAGAAAAATGAATTAACTTTGGTATACAATAATGTGAAGATGAGGCTCTCTGGAGCTGCCTTCAATGTGCCTTTTTAGTCAGTTGAGGAGGAGGACAAGGCTATTAAAATGGTTGGGATTGTAGCCAATGACAGAGTTAGAAAGTTCTTTTCAAAAGCCTGTGTTCCCAAAGAACAGTTTCAGGTTCCCACACTATCAAAATGGCAGCCAGTATTACATTTTAACATGTCTGTGTTGCTCTCTGGAAACCTAAATTATGGAAATAACCATGTTATCTAAAAATGGTAAGATGCATTTATTCCACATGTACATTTGTTTATCAAACAAATTACACTGTGAGGCTTTCACAGTAATTATTCAAAGTGGCTGTAGTTTATTTTTTTAAAGTTCCATTTTATTTCTTCAGAGTTCTTAAAAACAGGTTTCTTTCTTTCTAAACGTCCCTTATTTTGGAAGGTATAAGACTGGCTTCCGTTATCTGGGAATGTAACTTGCTGGGTGGCCATAGGCAGAGAAGTGGCAGTTTTGCGCTTCAGTCCTTTAGCCTTTTTTTTAATGAATTACGCCAGGCTCATTCAGTAGAATCCATATGGAGCAGTATTAAGTAGAAAGCAACTGACCGGCCTTTCATTTTGTTTGATTTGGACCCCTGGATGCCCTGTAAAGACTGCAGAACTCTAGAGCTGAATGACATGACAACAGTTTGAAACATTTTCTTCTTTGGCAATTAAGAGGAGACACTCTTAGGCATCTCGAAGTCTGTTGCAAAAGGCTCTGTGCTCCACAAGCCCCTCTCAGATCTTTTAGAGCAACGTGGAGAAGATCAGGTGGATTTATGAGCTGATAAGAGGTAGTTATCCATTTATGTATACATCTATATAATCTGAAAGAGTGTCTTCTCCAAAATACGAAACCCAGTAGGTTTTGCTTTAAGTAAAGAAAGACAGCCTTGGACTACTGCAGAGATACTCAGCTACCTCAGCTTTTTGTATTTTACTTACCACCAGTGTTTACGGAAGGCTGTAATCCACCATTTACGTGCCGAAGCGAAGGTACTTTGTCACTAGACCACTTCATAGTAACATGCTTGTGCTCTGAACCATACTCTAGCCCTGGGCTACTGCAGTAATCCAAAGTTTCCCCCCTCCTTCCCAGTCAGAATGTACATGCAAGCACCCTAATTTTAGCCAAGCCTTCTCCAGGCCCCCTCAAACGCCACTTGTCTTCGTTCCTAATGTGCATTTTAGTCACACTATTTTAAACGCGACTCCTGTAGAAGTGCTGTATTTTTGGTGGGAAAGTGCGATTAAAAACGAAAAGCATCTTGAACTAGTTCTTTCATTTTAGAAATTTGATTGTGGGGAACTTTTCATCTTTTAAGTTAGTATTTATTGCCATGACACCCGTCTAGGATATTTTTGCCGCCGTCAAAACCATTAGCATTTTGTATTTTGATGGAAATTGTTACAAAACTTTGAGATTTGATGAAATGAAATGTAGCAGATTTTTTGTAGTAAGTTTCTGGTAAAGCTATTTTTTTTGCAAGTCTCAGGTTCTTGCAGCATTTTTTAAAAATATTGTAGTTTAAAGGTTCTTTTGTTCAAGTAGCAGCAGCACTTGTGAAAAGAGAGACTACATACATTTTTAACAGGTTACTAAATTTGTACAAGTTTAAATCCTTTAAATATAGTTGTCAGATAATTTGAAAAGAGTATCTTAAATTCAGATCCAACATTGAAAATGCTTCCAACTGGTCAGTTAAGGGGAAGAGAGAGAGAAAAAACTTTAGTAGTTTTGAATGTTGATAAGAAAGTGAGGACTGCTTCCTAAATGTTTAGGTTTTTCGGAAGAATTAGCTTATATAAATGTGTTAGTGGGCAACATTAAAATTATATAGTCACCCTTTTTGACTCCAAAACCACACTAAAACATGTATTGCTTTTCTTTACTAATAGCTTAGTGGTTGTAGAGTTAAACCTGTTAATCTATCCATGTTGTCAAGTTGTTTACTCTCTATATTTTTGTTACTATTATTTTGCCACATAAAATTGGCAATAATCTGTACAAATCAATTCCTGTTCCTTGTTATGAATATTACCAATGAACTCCTGTGCAAAGGCCTTTTCCTAGGGCCAGATGGAGGTTAAATTTCTGTGGGGGTAATGATGGAACTGCTCTAAGATGAACATGGCTGTGGAGTTAATTGTATTTGCAAGCTTGAATTTCACCTGTGATTAATTTATGTTTTGTGTCCTTGGTATTGTTGCTTGAGTTTTCTCATATGCCAATGTATTTATTATAGGGTTTTATTTTGGTTTTGGTTTTCTAATACCTTGTCTTTCCATACTTTTTAAGTTGGAGGGTCATTTCTGGCTTCGTTTGATATTCCGAAGGGCAGGTCTTGCAGCTGGTCATCAATTCTCCCTCCCTTTTTTGTGTGTAAATTCACCTTAAGCTTGAATCTGGGCTCCTTCTACCTGCTTCTTTTCTGTATTGTACATTGGTTTACTTAGGCAGTGGGGGGTGTATTGTTGTTTGCTTTCATTCATGTGCGTCGGCTTTTTGATTAAGTAAGCTTACTTCATCAGCTATGATAAATTTTGGATTCTCTTATAAGTTGTGTTCAGGATTGTGTTTCACTTGATTTTTTTTAATTTTTTTTTTTGCATCTTGACTTCATTCTGCATTAGTTAAGTAAATTATTATTATTTTTTGAACTTTTGGATATGTTGGACATTTTACTGTAATTTGTAATATAACTGCTGTGAAATACTTGAATAAAGATGACAAGTAAAAATTCTGAGTTTCTCTTGATACTCCTTGCATTTAATGAAATGCTAATCGCAGGACTCCTATCTTGTGATTAAACAGTTTAGGCAGCATAATTTGTTATTGGAAAGATAATGGCCACTCTTTCTTAACACAAGAATGTGGAAAAATCTAGTTGGCCGAGATTCAGCGTGTGACTTTAGGCATATTGAAGGGCTTGGATGCACTTATAGGAATTTCTTTTGAATTTCCATCTATCCTCTCAACCTCTTAAGTTTAGAAAATGCCCTTTGTTGCAGAGGTTTTCCACGTGTCACTGGGGCTCGCTTGCTGTTTGAAATGTGTTGCTTGGGCTTGTGGAATTAGTCTTGCAGTTCTTTAGATCTATGTCATTATGTATTAACAGCTGGAGATAACTCCATGAACAAAAGACTGCTGGATGATTGCAGAAACTCAGATGAAAATGTTGCCCTGGCATTCATCTCTGCCAAAGAAATCTTGTGCCACCTGTACAGCCAAAGTGCCTTGCTCTGAACTTGTTTCTGCTCTTAGGAGATTGTGGTACACATACAAAGTGAATATCGTAGCAACAGGGTACAACTGGGTGTGTGTGGGAGAATAATGTATGCTACCTGGAGCTAGTTGGAAGAAGGACAGGATATAAATGTAGTTGCTCCAAACAATTGTATGAGAAATGCTTCTTTGTGTATGACTTACATTGGCATGTGGCCTCATAAAAGATGCACAGAGTTCAGAAAATGGTGGCTTTACTATTCATACACTGACTTTCCCCTCCTTACTTTATGGTTGAGCTGTGTGAATGTGACATTGTAATGGCCATTAGTTGCACTAGACAGATTTCTAGCTATGTAGTTATTGAATTTATTCGAGTAACACCTGAACTTTACTGAGCAAGGACTTTGAGTTCCCTGATCTGGAAGCATGTCAGAAAAGAAAGTGGATGAGCTGGCATGGACTTTTTTGGAGCTTTATGTGACTAGATTGCCTGGCTTCAAAACATATTTAGGGAATTTACTCTCCACCATCAGTTGTGGCAGAGATATTTGGAGGTGGTTTGACTCATACTTGCATGAGAAACTCACTTTACAGTGTAACGTATTAAAATGGTGTTGCGGAAGAGTTGTGTGGCTGGAGGACTTTTTCCCAGGATCAGCAAAGAGGGGACTTGTTGCCTTTTTCCTTTCCAAAAGATCAGTTTAAGCTCCTGTCTTCAGCCCAACGGCAGTATGTACAATTGCAGCTTTGCCCGCTTTCTATCTATGGCCTGGTAGCTTTGAGTGCTTATGAAACTTTAGATTTGTTGCAGGACCTGATAGCTTCTGTACAATTCCAGAAACCCCCTGAAGGAACAGGTACGACTCAGCCCGGGAGTGCTTCTGGATCCAACTGGAGGCCCAGGTAACTTTAGCATCTATAAACACCTTTTACCAGTTGCAATTGGTACAACTGCTGCAACCTGGACTTGTAACCTTGATCACACCAAGGCATTGATTAATTCAAGGTTTGATTATCGCAACACACTAGTGCAGGAACGAGCACTTCTGTTCAGATCAGCACTGGTTGCTCATTGGCTAGCAGGCCAAGTTCAAGGAGTTACTATTCATCTCTAAACCCCTTAACCACTTGCAACCAGTTTACTGTACCCCTAATCCATGCCCACTTTATTGCTCTGTTGGAGGTTCCTTCTGCACTTGTAAGTAACAAGACCACCGCCTGTGTAAAAACATTTTCATTTAGGCAAGCCTACGAGACATGTAGAATTTACCTTTACCCCCGCTTCTCAGCCACTTCTGATTTTAATAACCATTTGACTGTTTTTAAATACCTTGATTTAAAAATCAAGAATCGTAATGTTTTTAGTTTTCAAAAATGCTCAGAAGCTTTGTTACTATCAAGCATTATATAAATTTTGATAAACGTGTGGTTAGGAACAAAATCTCTGTTCTAGCTAAACTTGTCCAGTTTGTGCTATACCACCAAACCTCAGAGCACTTTGCACAATCACATTAACAACCTACCATGACAAATGTGATACAACATTCTGAGACTTCCTGCTTGATGACAGATGAGTTGTGCCAAACTGTGAAGAGTACAAACAACCTTTTAAAGGGTTGTGCGCTACTCCTGTAGTAAAGGAACGGCTGGTGTCAATAAAAGGTGAAAAGATGAGCCAATCTATGTTTAGAATTTCTAAAAGCTTTTATGGAGATTGCTTTTGCATCTCGTAGCAGATATGTGCATATGATTCATTTATCAAGAGGCTTTCCTCCAATTTCCCAGAGGAAACCCAGAATAATTTGCACATACAAGCAAAACTAAAATGCCCTCTGCCTTGCTCATCTTACCAAGTAGTACTGACTTGTGCTGAATAAGACATCTTCTCCAGTGTTGATAAGGTTGGCAGCTCCTTCAGCTCACCCTGGATGGTTTCAGCAACTGAATTGAAAACACGAGTCACTTTCCTGGTGTTCCAGTTGAGCCGTGACACAAAACAAAAATGATTTAAATGACTGCAGGTTAAGATCTCAGAGTTTCACACTGTCTGGAGACTCACATTTTCCTTTAATGAAGAAACCAGACCTAATCATCTTACAAAATGTTCCACTGCTGAAAACAGCCTGCACAGCTAGAGAGCTTCTTGGGACCAGTTTATTGTACTTGGCTAGCTATTTGTTCCCACCTAGCAATTTATAGCTAACCTACAATGTTGAACTGAACAGGCAAGAAACCAAAAACCTGTTTTAAAGTTTGCAGAGCTGTGGGTTGCAATTACTCCTCTGAGATACTGAAAATGTTTCACCAAATGGTAGAAGTGGCTTCCAATTTTAGCATATTATAGAACAAGGTAGTACAAATCTGTGGGTATAGAAATGTTGACAAAGCTTGATAAGATTGTGGCAGAATATGTGTTCTAGAAGTTAAAGGAAAAGAATGCCAAAACAGCAGTTGTTTCAGCAGCTAATGAATCCAGGTTAATTTCCAAGAGCTGTAAAGGGTTTTGTCACCCGTGCCTAGAAAGAAGCCTGATTAAGAACAACATAGAGTTGATCCAAGTGTTGCTGCTGGGTTTTTAAAACAAAAAATAGTCCAATTAATGCTGAATCTAGATCTAGAAATAGATTTATTTTAACAAGAACTTAACAGTAAACATATATACAGTATAATTACAGAAAACCCTGTGTTTTTAGTATTCACAGAAATAGCCAGATTTGTTGCAGTGTGAGAAAAGAAGAAGTAAGATAAATTTGGAGAAGTTGATATGCTTAGCAGGGCTTACAAGCTAGCGCCTCCTTTGGAGGCAGACACACACCAATGCTAAAAATCAACCTGCCCCAGGCAGTGAGGAACTTGTGCGCCAGTCTTTTAGGTTCACACTTTGCACTACGGTTGACAAAAATACTTCACATGACTTTTCCCCCCTTCAGAGAATAAGACAAAAACTGCATAAATTTGAACACTTGCTGTCCATTTCAGAGTCATTTTATAGATTTGCTGCCTAGATGAGCATTTATTTTGAAATATGGCAAGTTACGAATTTCATACTAGCATCTGCATTGTATAAATTTATTCTTAACAAAATAATGCAATTGGCCAGCCAGCTTATTTATTGTATGGTTATCCAAAACTTCCCAATTAAAAAAACAAAAACAAAACATTTTTTGTATCAAAATCAGCTAGCCATTGGCTGCAGTTCCCTGGCTACTTAGAAGTCAGAGTAAGGCTGTGATTCTAACCACACACTACTGGAAAAGGTCCACTGTAACTGACGAGACTTGTTTCCAAGTTAAGGTGCAAGAGTGAGAGCATCTCTTGCATCTGACTTTGGGATGCTGCCACAAACAGCATCCTCCCTCCCCTTGTCCTTTTAGGGTTCAGGCAATTGGTGCATTGTGCATTTCCCTGCCCCTTCTAGCGCTGGTAATATAGCCCAGAGCAGGGAAATGTACAAAACGACACACTGTTGCATGGGAAGCATCCCAAGTGTTATCAAGAGGATGCTGGGTTTTTTTTTGGATAGCTACCCATTACGTTTCCAGCGACTTACTAGGTCACGTCCCCTTGGGAGTAAAATCTCGATGTCACTGATTTCAGTGGCAAATATTTGAATGAAGATAGGATTTCGCTCTGTGATTACAGTATGTGGCATGCTGCACTTCTGATGTAAGTAAGTTTTCTTTCTAATGGCCGTGATGAAATTTGGTGAAAGAGCATGCAGTTGCACACATTCTGTTTCTTCCTGGCTGCTGCAAAGAAAATCGGCGCTGGCTCCAAGGCTCCGGGTTCTTCATAAGGTATGTTTACTGTTAGTATCGCAACCCAGCTTTCTCCCATCTCACCTGCTCCGCTTTACAGTTTTATAAAGAAATGTCCACGTCACAATGCTTCTCTGAATATACAATATTTTAATATACATATAAAAATATAGCCCTGCTGTGTATATACTTACAACTCTACAGAACCTTTTCCCCCCCACACCCCCTCTCTAAAGTAGGAAATAACCTGATGCGTTTCCAATTGTAGTTGTTAAACCTGTGCAGTGAGAAAGCTGCAGAAGTGTTTATTCCAAGACAAGCAGCCACCGAAAGCCTCTTGGAGGGGAGAGAGAGGGTTTCTTTTAAGACTCCCACATATATTTGGGAAAGGGGAAGGGGCAGAGCGAGAGAGTTTGAAAAAATAGATTGGATCTTGATTCATATGACAAAAATATAGACAGTGGCATATATCCTGGATAGTGGACTGTCGTTCAGTGGCTATCTTAAACCCCCAATAAAAGGCATTGCCTTAAGTAACTGGCTCAAAATAGGGAAACCCAACACAGAATATTCATTCTAAACTTTGAATAGATAAATAAAAGTTTAATAAAAGCTCCTAGATGCCTCTTGCTTTACAGAAATTTAGCTGTCATTTTGTTCATACAGTAGAAAAACAGTAGAAAGGGAGAAACAAGCCCTCCTCACGACCACACATTCACATTGGCATACAATTTCAGAAAACCTTTTCATTAAAAGGACATGGAATGCTAGTAGACAGACAGACACACTTCTATCCCTTTATTAGCTGTGCTCTAAGGAGCCGTAATAGACATCTGCTCTGGTGGAAGACTGACCTTAATCTACGCAGTCTGTCCCATAAGTTCTATCTCGGTCATTGGTATTGAAAAGCATATGTTGGTTTTAAAAGAAAAATGTAGCAATCAAAGTGGTAAGGACACTTTGACCTTCCTTTCACATAGCCTGATGCTTAACGTGTAATAGCAAAACCTAATCAGTTGTTTTAAGAACCGAGCTTGCTCTCTAGGAGTGTTGACGCCGACTCTTCCTTTCCCCCTAGTTAAACAACGTATGGGAAATGCTATTATTGCACCTGGGTAAACCAAAACTCTGTCTGTAACAAGTGCCACTACGACATCTAGTGGCACACTTGTGTTAAGTCACACTATCGTACATAGCATGGAGCTGTCCGCTCCTTCACCAAAAGGTGAGGATGAATTTCTACATTCAATGTAGAGGTTATTCCCAATTTTAGACAGGTTGTTTGCCGGTTATTCATTTCCTCGATTTTTCTCTGTAGGACAGTTTCTTTTTCTTGCCTACTTTCCGCAGGCGACAGCCTGTTTGATATCCACGTCTTCATGGCCATCAACCACTCTGAATGTACTTTTTAATTACTACGCAGCCGTGTCGGAAGACAGGGCATGGCATATTGGGCAGAAGCGTCCATGTGTTTGTTTTGGGGTCGTAGGCTTCCATATTTCCCAGAGCAGGGCCTTCGCTGCTGACAATTCCACCCGTGGCGTAAATTTTTCCATCAAGAACCACCGCACTGGGCAGAGAGAAAAAGAGAGACATGAAGTAAGTCATATTTCACTGAAGCACTCCTTGAACCCATTAGTCCAGCCTGCTGTTTGGACAAAATGTTTACATAACTTAATTATTTCACCCAAACCCTTCTGTGCAGAAAGGCTCTCTTAAGTTTAAATATGGGGACAGCAACTGGTCTTGAGGATCCCCAGTGGGGAATAAATAGGGCATCCAATGTTTATGTGACTAAGGACTGTGTCACACTTAATGTCACCAAACTGAAAAGCAAGGATTGCCTTCTCTGTGTGCTGCTGGCAAGCAATGTTCCAATGGGGATGGCTAGTGGAGGGCCAAATTTGCTCCTTGCTCCTGCTGGGGGAGTTGTTGAAGATTTACTTCTAAATAAAGAAAAATGTGGCTTTTAAATGTGCTGCACAAGAACACAAGTCTTGTGTGAGGTACATGAGCATAGGATTACGGTGCATCTCCAAAGCGTGAAGAATATACACAGGGAGCATGAGCTACACACTTGCAGCATCACCTTGCAACCACATGCTGAATACAAGCAGCGGAGGGCTCTAAATCAGCATAATATTTGTGTGTGTGTGTGTGTGTGTCCCCAAGAATTTAGCAGATTGGATCTGTGCAGAAACCCCCTATTTAAATGTTACTTCGAAGTGTGTGAGCGTAATTGGCCCTGAGTTGGGGAAAGGCAAACAAAACGACCTAGCTTCCTACCGTGTATAATACTTTACAACAGAGCTTTCCAAACTTTTCATGTTGGTGACACAGTTTTTAGACACACGTCATTTCGCGACACAGTAATTCAGTTTTCCTAGCAAACCAGAGGTTAAACTAACCCCTTTCCAGCCTCGGGGGGAGCGTTTGTGCGACACACCTACACACTGCAGCCAACACATTAATGTGTCGTGACACGCAGTTTGGAAAGCTCTGCTTTACAAAATGTGGAGATACTTGTGAGCATGTGAATTAATGATGAAGATGAGAAAAAGTTAGGAGTCACGAAGGGAGAGAGAATAAACTGAGGGGAGTGCTGAGTCATTTAAACACAATGGTGTTCCAGAACTAGAGTTCAACTGCTTAAGCAATCTGAGACTGAAGGCTAAGAAACTTCTAGACACAGAGAAGGGAGGAAAAAATAGAAATGGTGAAGTAAAGGACACAATAGGTTGTTATACTGTTTGGTGAAAGTTTGACTGAAACACTAGATTAGTATGAATAGGCAAGTGGGACATTCCATTGCCCCAAGATTTCAGTGGAATCCATTGAGTGATAGTAAATTTGTGTACTTTATGAAGGAAGTGGGAAGTTGTTTTTTGGGAGAAGAAGTCAGAATAAACAAGCTAGTTACTGACAACTTCTCCCAAAGACTACAGAGCTGATTGGAGACAACAGTTGCTTATTTATGTCTTCAAAGACTCTTTTTGCCTCTCTCACCATGCTTCCACTACACATTTGTGTTTGGAAATTAGCATCCCTCCTTCACATTTGTAAACTATTCATTAAGCGTAAGGGGGTCAGTCTGCTTTCTGAAGATGCTGTCCCTCATCAGGTGGAAAGCACACAGATGAATGCCCCATAGGCTGCTTGGCGAGTATCTCCTCCTAAAAGTGAGGATGAGCAAACGAAATAATTTCAACTGCTCACAGATTGGGCTGGCTGGGCTAATAAAATTCAGGAGACTGAGCACAACCTCATTTTAAGCACCATCACCTCTTGGAAAACAGAAATATCTATATGTTGCTTGACTACAACTCCCTTCATCCCTGAGCATTGGCCAGAGGAAGAATTGGACCATGATGGGTGGGGCTAAGGCCTGCTAAGACCTGCCCTGGTACAGCCACACAAGTCCTTTCTTCAGCGGCTTCATGTAAACTGTCCTATCAGTGTCACTGTTTAGTCCAATAGTTTGTTTCTAGGATTTAAGTGAGGAAGGAATGACAGCACATATTGAAAATGTTTTCCGTTTGTTATTAAGTGCTTGATTTTGGACAATGGGGCAATTAATTTAGCATGTATTTCTGGAACTGGAACTGCTGAAAATCTGCAGAAAGCTGGTAACCAGTTAGAAAACAAGGCCTAGACGAAATAACTGATGCGTCTTCACCAGCAGTTGTCAGACTATGCAACTCCCATGACTATTGGCCATGCTGGAAGGGATTAATGGGAACTGAAGTTCAACATATGTGTAAACAGGTTGCCAAGCCCTGCTCTACATGCTGATATATAATGAAGTGGAAGAGGAGGAGAAAAAGTACCAGTTATTTCCCTCTAGAAAGATGCAACTTCAACACATTCTCCATTAAAGCAACAACACTTTGGTCCCTTGCAAAGGCAATATTGGTGGCTGCCATGTGAAGACAGCAACTAGAAAAATCAGGATCCAAGTTTGTTTCTTAGTTCTATTAGTACCTGTTGTCCCATAGAGGGGAAAGGTTAAAATATATATACCGTATTTTTTGCTCTATAAGACTCACTTTTCCCCTCCTAAAAAGTAAGGGGAAATGTGTGTGCGTCTTATGGAGTGAATGCAGGCTGCGCAGCTATCCCAGAAGCCAGAACAGCAAGAGGGATTGCTGCTTTCGCTGCGCAGCGAACCCTCTTGTTGTTCTGGCTTCTGAGATTCAGAATATTTTTTTTGTCGTCCTCCAAAAACTAGGTGCGTCTTATGGTCTGGTGCGTCTTAAAGAGCAAAAAAATACAGTATATTATTTTTTGCTTTGTATCCAGAAGACAAGGTCCCAAGCAGTGGGGGATATTGTAACAGGGCTGAAGTGATTTTTGGGAACATATTGTCTTTTTAGAAAGAGATGGAAAGCACTCCCTACCCAACAGTGTAAAAAATAATAATACAATTTTTGACAATTCTTCAGGAAAGGGGGTGGATGACAAATTCTGAAGGTGTCTCAATCTCTCTCCTCTGTTCCAGAGGCAAAACTGTTTTATTTCTTCTTCATTTCCACCCTTCCCCCTAGCCTAGCAAAGATTGCTTCAATAAAAATAGCACACAAAATATGAATACATGCCAAATGGACAGTCTGGAAAAGATCCCCATCTACTTGATCTTTCTCTGCCTCCTTGGGTTTCAAATATCTTCTGCAAGCTCTAAGTGCCCAGCAACATAGCAGGAAAGAACAAATGGGCCTCACAAATCAAAGACGTCCCGTAACAGGAGCCTCAACTGTGTGCCTCTTGACTTCACTATAAAAAAGCTTTATTAGCAACCAGCAACTAGATGGCGTTTTTATCATGGCCCATAAGGATGAATGGGTATGATACAGTGCTTAGAAATGTGAGCCCCCAACGGAGATCCCAGCAGCCATGAACGTAGCAGACAACTAGCTACCATCAGGTTTGCACCTATATTATGTGGACAAAAAACTGCCCCACCTCACAGTGCTGTTTTAAGAATTACAGAAATAATGGTCGGAAAGCGCTTCCCAGCTGCTGCTCCAAGATGAGTCAGCCACTGTCCCCCCCCAAGGGATTGGAAGTGAGCAAGCATTACCTGGAGTGAGTAGGTGTTCGTCTCTGCCAGCTCACTTGCAGAGTCTGCTGTCAGAATTATGGGCACCAGCCTATGCCTAGCTGGTGTGAATAGGGTGGTAAGACTGCTGCCTGGGGTGAGAGTTGCCTGGCAAGGAGGGCACCATTGGCCGTTGTAGTTACAGGGCTGGATGTATCATCAGTTGAAATCAAAATTTGCCTCGCTGCAGCTAGTGCCACCCTAGACAGCATTAACCAGCATTGATATGTTCTGTCGCTACTTGTAATGTTCTCAAAGAAAAAGGAAATGACATCGGAGGTGCATATTATAGTGGGGGAAAGATATAGGCACCAAGTATGTTTCAAGAGCATCGCCAAAGCATGTGCCATCAGGACGCAACATCATCAAAGGTCTAGAAATTCCCCACATTACTTTCTCACGCATGCACTTTTGGGGTGGGGCAACTGGTTCTAAATTTGGTTCCTGTGTTTTGTTTTTGCAGGGTTGGTGTTTGTTAAAATGTTTAGTTGGGGTTGGTGGTTACAAAATAAACTGCTTATTATTATTATATTATTATTGTTATTCTTGGTTTCTACTGATTTATTGGTTTGTTTGCTGCTCGTATAGGATATTTTGTTTTTTAATGTCTGATGCTTTGTTGTATATATGTTGTAAGTCGTCCAGAGTTGATGGGCAAACCCAGCAAGATGGCTGGTATATAAATTTTATTATTATTAGTCAGTGAACTGACCTTTCTGCTTTAGAACCCAGTGCTAATTCCTGCAAGGGAGTTATTGTCTGGACACAAAAGTGCTCTAAATCCATTGATTTGATTAAGCAGGAGCTGTTCAAATCTAGGAACACTGTTCAAAGAGAAGAAAGCAGTGGTTTATAAAATGTATACTTTTAGAGAAAGACAGATCTACAAGTTTAATGCCTGTCTCTTGGTGGAAATTATGTTTAAATTAAAGCAAGTGCGAAGCTGTAATGTCCTCTACCTTTCTGTTTTATTTGGGGGGCATAGTGATTGTGGTATTTTGGAAATCTGAACAGTGCAAAGAATCTGGCATCCACAGACAGAGGCTGAAGCAAAACTTAAAACTCCCTTGTTCTGAAATGCCATCAGTGAAATATAAGAACTTGGGAATGCTGTCTACGGTTTTGACACTATAAAGGCCAAGTCTGAGGAGAATATCACTACTCTTTCTTCAAAAAATACAAATATTTTATGCATACTGTTCATACTACAGTGGAACCTCGGGTTGTGAACATGATCCGTGTGGGAGGCACATGCGCAACCCACAGCGCCGTGTCTGCGCACACGTGGGACACGATTCGGCGCTTCTGCACATGCACAAAGCGTGATTTATCGCTTCTGCGCATGCACCAAAACCCGGAAGTAACCCATTCCGGTACTTCCTGGTTTTGGCGCGTCTGTAACCTGAACACATGTAACCCAAGGTAGGTAAAGGGACCCCTGACCATTAGGTCCAGTTGTGACTGACTCTGGGGTT